GGCTCACGTCCCGCCTGGCGCGGCGTCTACCGGTCTCCAGGCTGCTCGCATGCCGACTGGGATGGAAAGCCATGGTGTAGTTACTGCACCACACTCGTCGCGAAGGATGCTTCCTCAGCCAATAGTTGAACTTTAAGCCTCTTGGGCTCCCTTAATTTAGTAAGAACCATAAAGTTTAACCTTTTTCCCCTCGGTTCTTGGAGAAGTAAGGATGGATGTGTGGTTCCCTCATGCATGCGGTGCGCCAAGGTGGACTATGGCAAAGTTCTTGACCGGAAGGTCCCCTTTTTCTGCACACCGGCCATGAAGAGGATCGGCGAAGGGCCGAGGTACAAAGATTGCAAAGGCAGGATCGTGAACTGGTAGATGCTCAGGCTGCTATTTGCTTAAGAATCCCCAAAAAAGTCAAGAATCATAATCCTTGAGCGCATATTGGCCAAATAAGGAAGAAAAGTATGTATGTTGGGTGCTTCTTAAGCAAAAAGTAGCTGGTGCTTGTGCGTCAGAACTCGCCAAACGATGGGTCTCAGTCGCCTGTCCTGCCGCCCGCCTAAGCCCAGAAAAACACGCTGAGCCTGAGCAGAAGCTGTGCGCAAGAAAGCCCCGGGCCCTTTAAACCCCAAACCCTAATCCTCCAAGCCTTAAGCCTGTAGCCGAACCTTCTCCAAAGAGAAAGAACCCCTAGGAATTATTAATTGCCTTGTCCACCCAGTCGCCGCCACTGCTGTACTAGGCCCCCCTCAAACCTTGAGACTCTAAGCCCTTTAGAAACCCCAAGGCAACTTCACCTTGAATTTGTGTTTCGAGAACTACTAAAAGGTGAGAGTATACATGGCTCCTTATAAATAGTGGTGAGAGTTACGGGTTCAGGGTTAGGGCTTTGACTTTGTGTTGTTTTTGGGATACTGCCGTATATTCCTAAACCCCAAACCCTAAAACCCTATAACCCTAAACCCTAAACTCTATGTACTTCGCATGGAAACTCCCCCAGGTTCGAACCGTCCGTGATGCTGGCGCCGTGTGCAGCAGAGGAGACGTGGATGCAGTTCGGGCCCAAACCCTAAACCCTAAACCCTAAACCCTAAACCCTAAACCCTAAACCCTAAACCCTAAACCCTAAACCCTAAACCCTAAACCCTAAACCCTAAACCCTGACAGGCCTGTAGGGTCCAGGACTTTAGCATGTGGGGATGCAGGGCATGCAGGATTGATGCGGTTTGGGCCTTCGGTCTGAGGGCTGTATGGCGCTTCTTGGAGACCTCCAAACCAAAAACCCTACCTAGTCCCTAAACCCTAAACCCTAAACCCTAAACCCTAATCCTAAACCCTAAACCCTAAACCCTTCAACCCAGAACGGCTATTTTAGCCTGAGGGCCCTGACCCCCTAAACTTCCCCAACCCCCGAAGCCCCCGACGGGTTTCGGAGTGTATAGGGACTTGAGAACCGAAACCCCAATATAGAGTTTAGGGTTTAGGGTTCAGGATTTGTTGAGGGTTTAGGGTTTAGGGTTTAGGGTTTAGGGTTTAGGGTTTAGGGCTTAGGGCTTAGGGCTTAGGGCTTAGGGACCCCCAACACCACTAAACCCTACGCCCCAGAAACCAGCGGACGCAAGGACGAAGCCTTCGTCTGGATACGACGCGCCTCCATGGACGAGGGCCACCTAGGCTGGTGGGGGGCCGCTTGAGGGCCTTTCTAGGGTTTAGGGGTTCATGGGTTTAGAGTTGAGGGCTTAGGGCTTGAGCTTGTTTAGGGCTTAGGGTTCAGGGAGTCTGGGGTGTTGAGGGGAGGGCGGAGGCTAGCTTTCAGGTTTAGGGGTTGTGGTTGAGTTAACTTGAAACCCTTTCCTACAGAATTCAGGGGCGCAGGTATTTGGGTAAGGGATACTAGAGGTACAAAGGTGGTTGCTCTTTTTCCTTTTGGGGAATCGGGCTTACCGGCTTAGGGGATTCGGGGTGAGGGTTTTAGGATCCTATGGATGCTTCAGAGGGTTCAAAATGCATAGACCGGTTGGGGCAAACCTTTCAGTGGAGGGGGTGGATCTTGGGATCGCAGGGGGCTTCTTGTGGAATCGCAGCACTCTGGAGTTATGTTTTCTTGAAAGCTTGCAGATAAAAGGGTTCGGGTTTTTTAGGGTCGGCCTTTGGCTGCCCCTCTCTCTTTGCAGGTCCCACCTGTCCCTAAGCCCTAAACCCCAGAAGCCTAAACTCTAAACTAAATCCCAATCCCGAAACCCCAAACCCTGGACTTTTAACTTCAGAGTTATCCCGAGGCAGGCCCTGGGAACCTATCCTCCTTTCAACAAAGCGTTCTGATGTATGGGCCCTTAATTTGTATAGGGTATATAGGGGGCATGTAAGGGGTACCCTTTCAAGGGCCCATACTAAGGGACCATGAAATGACCCTAAACCCTAAACCCTAAACCCTAACCCCTAAACCCTAAACCCTAAACCCCTCTTCAGGGCCCTTGTACCAAGGCACCATGTAACAAGCCCGTCGCTTTCTTGCCTCGCAGGGATGCAGACCTTCAGCCCAAAGCAGGCAACCGAGAAGCCGGTCGACCGCAAGCTCGTTTAAGAGGGAAGGGGGGGGGGGGTTTAGGGTTTAGGGTTTAGGGTTTGGGGTTTGGGGTTTGGGGTTTGGGGTTTGGGGTTTGGGGTTTGGGGTTTGGGGTTTAGGGTTTGGGGTTTGGGGTTTGGGGTTTAGGGTTCAGGGTTGGGCTTTGGGCTTTAGGCTTTGGGCTTGAGGCTTTAGGGTTTAGGATTTGTTTTTGCCCCAAAAAAATCCCTCGGGGGTTGGGTTCTCCTTCTGGTCTTCAAACGGGCAGGTCGCGATACGAGGTGTCGCGCGGCAAGAAAAGGCGCACAAGATGTGCGGCCGACCACTCGACGGAAAAGACCCGAGCACGCGACGCATGTTCGACGGAAGACTTCGGGGTGCGGCGCGGGCGGTTGGGGGATTTTTCCACAGGAGGTGATCCGCGAGACGGGGCGGAGGTCTCGCCGAGACGGGTGGGGCGGAGGTACAGCAAAAGGCTGGCACAAGCGGACGAGACCGTGACAGCCCAAAGCCGCCCAAGCGCACCAAGCGGACGAGACCGGGACAGCCCAAAACCGTCCAAGCGGACCAAGCGGACCCAGCGGACCAGACCGTGACGGCCCAAAGCCGTCCAAGCGCACCAAGTGGACGAGACCGTGACAGCACAAAACCTTCCAAGCGGACCGAGCGGACGAGACGGTACCGTGACAGCCCAAAACCGTCCAAGGGGACGAGACCGTGACAGCCCAAAACCGCCAAAGCGGACAAAGCGGACGAGACCGTGACAGCCCAACACCGCCCAAGCGGAGGGGGGGGGGAGGGGGGGGGGGGGGGGGGGGGGGGGGGGGGGTTCAGGTTTTCAGTGATTCAGAGTGTAGCGGTTTAGGGTTAAACCCCCAAACCATCCCTGAACCCTAAACCCTTAACCCCAAGCCCGAAAACTACACACTCGTCCAATATGTGGTTTGCGAAATTCGGGGTACCTTATTGGGGCCTGTATTATAAGGGAATCCTACTACTTGTGGGCCCCATATTTTCCTATAAATTCCCATGTTGAGCCCAGAAAACCCTCAACCCTAAACCCTAAACCCCTAACCCCTAAACCCCTAAACCCCTAAACCCCTAAACCCCTAAACCCCTAAACCCCTAAACCCCTAAACCCCTAAACCCCTAAACCCTAAACCCTAAACCCCTAAACCCCTAAGCCCTAAAGCCCAGGTGTCTCGCCCCGCGTGATGGCCAAGCCGGTCTCGCAGACTGTGATGAGCCGATACGCTTCTGGAAGTTTCCCTTCCATGGAGGCTAAGTTTAAGGGACGAAGAGGATTCGGGGTTTGGGGTTTAGGGTTTAGGGTTTAGGGTTTAGGGTTTAGGGTTTAGGGTACTTGGAGCTTCACGGTACTTAGTGACCCAAATATCCCTGCACTTATAACCCAATTATAACCCTATTAGGGTACTCCAGAAACCATGACTACACTTATAATTGGATGATATTTAAGTACCCTGAACCTCCAAGTAGGGGAACACCTGAAGCTTCATTGGCAGTTACAGAATTCCAGGGTTTAGGGTTAGAGGCTGAAGACTCATGGGTTAGGGTTATAAGAACCCGTAATGAGGTTATAGCCTGCTATGACTTTAGCAGACGATTGGTTGAGGCGCGCCGGAGCGGAGTCAGGAAAAGCATCGCCCGACATGACGTCTCTCGGCTTTCGGCTTCTGCTAGTGTTCATTCTTACTGTTGGTGAGCAGGAAATGAGGGAATTAGGGGCCTATATATATATATATACATATACCCTTTATAAGGCTTTAAGGGATTACATAGGGTACCTCATTCCACCATTCCCTGCTAACCAACAGTAAGCATTGAGGGCATTAGGTTTTTTTCGGCGTGAACGCAAGCTCATTAGGGTCTTGGAGGGCCCGAAGCCCAACATCCCACAACTCTGGGCCCTCTATCTGGTTTAGGGTGTAGGGTTTCGGGTTTCGGGCTTTAGGAGGGGGGAACCCTGGACCCATCTCCAAGACCTATGCCTTACATTCTGGGAACCTCATATGCCAAAATGCTACTTAGAGACCCCAATGTTCCCTAGTTAGGGAATATTCCATAAACTCAAGTAGGGCAGGGCCTAGGGGCAGTGTCTAGGTTTAGAGTTTAGGGTTTTGGGTTTTAGGGTGGGTTCGGGTTTAGGTTTTGGGATTCAGGCCCGCCCCAGGAGCTAAGCAGTATTTTGGGTCTAAGGTTTTAGGTCTAGATCGCTTTCTTGAAGGCTTCCGGACACCTGCAAGCAGGTTGAGAAGAACCCCTGCCTGGAGGGTCATACTTTCAATCCAATCACCCTAACCCAAAACCCTACAAACCCTTGTCCCTGAACCCCAAACCCCAAACCCTAAACCCTAAACCCCAAACCCTAAACCCTAAACCCTAAACCCTAAACGGGCTGCAGAGCCCTCACCTTTGCAGACAGGTGGCGGATGCGGGGGCCAGGCGCTCCCGAGGCAGAAAACCGGTCTGAGGGGCTTCCAGGCTTAGGGTTTAGGGTTTGGGGTTTAGGGTTTAGAGTTTAGGGTTTAGGGTTTAGGGTTTAGGGTTTAGGGTTTAGGGGATTAGGGGTTTAGGGGTTTAGGGGTTTAGGGGTTTAGGGGTTTAGCATTTAGCGTTTAGGGTTTGGCTGTTTAAGGGTTTATATAAGGGTGTAAGGGTTCAAGGTTTAGGTTCCTAAGAATGGCCCAGTGAACTCTAGGTCTTTGGGGGGGGGGGGGTGCATCTGAGTTCATTGCTTGTTCCTTTTGGGGGTGGGGGCGGGGGGGGGGGGGACATTTGTTGTTGGGGTGTGTGGTTTCTTTTGTGGGCTTTGCACACCCTGGCAGTCGATCTCAACGACCCAAATCCCCACAGCCCAAGATGCTACGCCTGAAGCTGGCTACCATGAGGTCTTTGTAGTAAATGATTGGGGCGCTTTCCAAAATGTAGGTGCGTATGCCCCAAACTGTGCTAAGTCCTGAATTCAGAAACAGACCCATACGACTTAGTACCGACATCGTATGTCTTCCTATGGTATCTTCAGTTCCCTAAACCCTAAACCCGTATGGCTTCCTGCCTATGGTATCTTAAGTTCCCTACGCCCAAAACCCTAAACCCTAAACCCTAAACCCTTGAACCCTGGCCAGCTTGGGGCCGCTTTTGGGGTTTAAGGCTCTCAGGCCGTGGGGCGGGCTTCAAGGGTCCTTGCACATGGTTGATGCTCACCCTAAACCCTAAACCCTAAACCCTAAACCCTAAACAGCTTGAATCCTGCATTCGAAGTCCGGCAATTACATACAGCATTTTTTTTGCAGCCTTGGCAGCGAGCTCTCAATCTGCGTAGGGTTCTACCCCATCCAAAAAGGTTTAGGGTTTAGGGTTTAGGGTTTTGGGTTTAGGGTTTAGATACCCACTCTCCCTAAACCCTAATTCCCTGAACCCGAAACCCTTTCTTAAACCTGCACTCCACGAACTCGCAATCCCCACAACCCTAAACCAACAACCCTAAACCCTAAACCCTAAACCCTAAACCCTAAACCCTAAACCCTAAACCCCCAAAAACCAAACCCCCTCATGCTTTAGCGTAGACAAGCACTTGGAGGCGTAGACAAGCACTTCGAGGTTCAGGGTGCTCATAGCCCAACCATCAATGCACAGTTGAAACCGACGGATAAGCCCCTTAAGTACCCCAACGGACGGACGGGGGGGGGGGGGGGGGGAAATGATATAAGAACAGTTATAATTGGGTTAAACCCCTAAACCCTAAACCCTAAACCCTAAATCACCCTAAACCCATACAACTGGGTGATAAGAACACTAGTAATTGGGTTTCCGTGTTCCATGAACCTCCAAGCAGGCCCCTGGCCGCTGGAGAAGCTGAGCCTCCCCAGAAGCCACGAGGCTCCTGCTGAGCTTTAGGGCTATTCCATGGGGGATTTTGGGGTTTAGGGGTTAGGGTTTAGGGTTTAGGGGTTCGGGCTTTTAGGGCTTACGGGTTTAGGGCTATTGAGTAGGAGGTTTAGGGTTTGGCATATTAAGGGTACCCCTGCTTGGGGAAACACCCCTATCGTATTGCGATGGTAACTTAATGCGAGTTCCTTTAACAACATGTGCTGAGGCTTTTGAGGGCTGTTACTTAGAAGCTCTTTTGACTTTGTAAGTCTACTTCATATCCCCTTACCTTATTCTAATCCCCAGAATCCCACATTACCAACCCCCTAAACCCTAAACCCTAAACCCTAAACCCTAAGTCAAAAGGGCTTCCAAGCAGGGAGGGGCGTTTCAGGGCTTCCGAGTGAGGTGGACGAGGCTGACTACGGCAGCCGCACACCGAAGGCCTGCAAGCTCACAAGCCGGGCAGATAGGGGTTTAGGGTTTAGGGTTTAGGGTTTAGGGTTTAGGGTTTAGGGTTTAGGGTTTAGGGTTTAGGGTTTGGGGTTTGGGGTTTAGGGTTTAGGGTTTGGGATGTTCCCCCCCTTATACTAGCAGTCCTTAGGGCCACGATGCTCCCAGTTAAGGATTGTTAGTACAAGGACTAGGGTTTCGAGTTCTGGGTCTTTGGGGGCTGTAGGGCTTAGGGAGGTGCGGGATTCTGTTTAAAGACCCCCAAAATGGTACGCAAAATGACACTAATTTCCTGCAATTCGGCTGGGGGTTTGGGACCTCTCCTTTCAGGGTTCTAGGCCCAATCCAGTCCGAGAGACAAGGCCCCCAGCTTGGGAGGTTCCCCCTTTTACTGTACTAAACATGCAGTCCTAAATCGGGATTCTGGGGATTGTGGCACCGATTATTATCCCTTATTAAGGATTGCTAGTATAGGGGGGAACATCCGAACCCTCAGCGCCTAATACTCACGCTACAGCCGGGTCGAGGTGCAGGCTCAGGGATTTGAGATCCTGAAAAGGCGCGCGTTTGGGGGGGGCGGGCCGCTGGGGCATCTCCTACCCCGTGCCCTAAGCCCCTAAACCCTAAGGCCCCCCCCCAAAGCCCTAAACCCTAAAGCACTAAGCCCTAAGGTCTGAAGCACTAAGCCCTAAAAACCTAAGGCTTAAACCCTAAGCCCTAAAGCCCTGAGCCCTCAATTCGAAGCCCTCAAGCCTAAAGCACCAAGCCCAAAACCCTAGAACCTACTACCCAGTTTGCATTTTCTCGGCCCGAGCTTGTCCTAATATCACTTTGGGGTTCATACAGGGATGAGAGTTTATTGAAACACCCTGTAAGTCTAGAACGCGTCACCAGGCTGCAGAAGTGGCGCACCTAGCCGAGGATTTTCTGGTGGGGAGGGTAGGGGGTGTGTGGGTGGGGTAGGGTTTTTGGGCGTTAGGTATTAGGGTCTCACATTTTAGTGTTTTAGGGTTTTAGAGTTTGTTTTAAGGTTTAGAAGTTCGTGGTTTAGGGTGTAGGGTTCAGGCCAGCCCCTTAACCAGGAAACGCACTCTCAGAGAATGTCTCGCCGCACCTGCAAGAATGCACAAGAAGCAGCCAGAAACCCGACTGAATAAGGCTCGAGAACTCGCTATTGTGGGGGGTGATGCGCGTGGTTCCTGCGGGAAGGCTCGTCAGCTCTTAAACGCAGCAGACTACTTTGCGGACCATAGCTGGCGCAGTTGGAACTGACACTACTCATTCATCATCGGGTCTTCTTGGAAACCATGGCCGGAAATGCTTAAAACCTCCCATCCATAACTAGCCCTATACACCCATAGAAACTTAAACTTTTCTGGTGCCTCAAAGCCCAGAAAGCCTAAACCCCCAAAGCCTCAACCCTAGAACAGTTTATTTAAGCATAGCTAGACGCTAGGCAGGAGCTGTCTGTGTCAATGAGCCCAAGATAGCTGCTGCGTTAGGTTTTCCTGCCGAAGCCACAAAGACTCTCAATTCTAAGACCGAGACCCTAAACCCGAAACCCTAAACCCTACACCCTAAACCCTAAACCCTCAACCCTCAACCCTCAAACCTCAACCCTGAAGCCCTGAACCCTGAACCCTGAAGCCTGAAGCCTGAAGCCCGAAGCCTGAACCCTGAACCCTATACTTAAACGCCTTGCTTGTTGTGGGAGGAGCTCGGAAAGGCTCGCAGTGCCACGCTGCAGCAGACACAGCTGGAGGCTAGGGATGCTCGGGAGAGTGTGACGAACCGTTTAGGGTTTGGGGTTTAGGGTTTAGGGTTCAGGGTTCAGGGTTCAGGGTTTAGTGTTTAGGGTTTAGGGTTTAGGGCCACCTCGAAGAAGATGATGTCCACCAAAGAAGAGTGTTCCTTAAGCACATTCTGGGATCATGGGCTATCACATGGCGCCAACACCTTCTGAGGCCATGGCAATGCCTTGTTTTCAGTAATCAGTCGGATTCTTCTTGTCCGCTCCATTTCTGAGGTGGTTGTTCGCTGCACAGGGAACACCCCGAAGAGCATCCCATGTCCGGCAGTCCTCGCCATGCTATACCTAAACCCTCAACCCTAAGCCCTAAACCCTAAGCCTTTGTGGTAACTTAAGGTTGTCTTCCTTCAGCCGCTTCAGCCCTCAGCCTCTCAACCCCGTGCAACCCTAAGCCCGGCACTACACCCGGCACCCACTAACCTCCAACCCGAAACCCCGAAACCCTAAACCCTAGACGCTAGACCCTAAACCCTGAACCTACACCCCTAGGTTTATTTGATCAGCAGCCCAAAGCCCAAAGTGCCTGTAAGGTTGAGTCTTCAGACTGCGAGGCTAGAGCTACAAGAAGCTTACTCTTAGGGTTTAGGGTTTAGGGTTTAGGGTTTCGGGTTTAGGGTTTCGGGTTTAGGGTTTAGGGTTTAGGGTTTAGGGTTTAGGGTTTAGGGTTTAGGGTAGAAACTCTGGTTTTCATGGCTTCCCTACCTACTCGTGAGACCCTAAACTTTACGCCTTGGACTTTCAACCGTCAACCCTAAAGTTTGAACCCCAAACCCTATACCCGAGATTCCAGCCCTAGGCTTGGGTTTCTCCTCGTACTAACAGTCCTTAATAGGGGTTATAATCGGGTACTCCCTTCTTAAGGACTGTTAGTATTCTGGGGTCATCCCAATCTAGGGTTTAGGGTTTAGGTTAACCCTAAGCCCTAAGCCCTAAACCCTAAACCCTAACCTTACACCCTACACCCTACACGCTACACCCTAAACCCTAAACCCTAAACCCTAAACCCTAAACCCTAAACCCTAAACCCTAAACCCTAAACCCTAAACCCTAAACCCTAAACCCTAAACCCTAAACCCTAAACCCTAAACCCTAAACCCTAACCCTGTAAACCCTAAACTTTACAGCCCAACAACCTCGAAGAGCTGAACTCCAGGTGCACCTGTCTGAGGCGGTCTTAGCTCTTGAGAACCAGGCCGAACACCAAGAGGATTGAGGTGCTCAGAAAGTTTAGGGCTTGGGGTTTAGGGTTTAGGGTTTAGGAGTTTAGGGTTTAGGGTTTAGGGTTTAGGGTTTCGGGTTTCGGGTTTCGGGTTTCGGGTTTAGGGGTCTCGGATTCAGGGGTTGGGTCCTTAAGGCCTTGGGGGATGCTGGAGTCCTGCGAGGGGGGGGGGGGGGGGGGGGGGAATAACAATTTGGGGCTTGAGGTGGGGTAACCATGGGTGTACGTTCTTCTTCATTCTTACATCCAAGCCTAAACCCTAAACCCCAAACCCTAAACCCTAAACCTCACTACTCTGGTATCAAAGATCGACCTACCCACCTTTTTGGATCCCATGACATTAGGGACATATTCTAGTTATAACGCAAGAACGCAGTTGTTCTGGAGGGAGGGTGAACGCAGTTGTTCTTCAGGGAGGGTGTTCAGCTCCAAGCACCCGCATACGGGTGGCCCCCGAAGACCCCGGGATGGATGGTCATGGAGTTCCCGGAACTCTATGCCCCACCCAATGCCCTAACCCCCCTATACCCCAAACCCTATAGGCCGAAGCCCCATGCCCCAAAGCCTCGGGCCCTAAGCCCTGTGCCCAAAAAACAGTTGACATTTGCCTGTAAACTTTTGACGTTTGCCCGGCAAGTGTCAACACTGCGCCGGCAAATGTAAACAGTTCGCCGGCAGATTGTTCCTTGCAATTGCCGGCGAACTTTGGATAATCGCTGGCGGACTTTTGACATTTGCCGGCGAAGTTTTGGCACATGTCGAAACTTCGCCAGCAATTGGCAAAAATTCGCCGGCAGTTCTAATGAGTTCGCCAGCAAATGTCAAAGTTCGCCGCGGCAAATGTAAAAAGTTCGTTGGCAATTGTTTTAGCAAACGCCGGCGATTTTTTGACAACTGCCGGCGAAGTTTTGACAATTGCTGGCGAAGTTTTGACATTGGCCGGCGAACTCATTCGGGTGTGGAATCAATGAGAGGTTTAGGGTTTAGGGTGAGCCCGTTGGAATGCAGGGGCAGGAATGCGAGAATGCAAAGGGAACCTTTCTAGGCATACCATGGGAGTATCTCATGGTGTCCTTTCTTCTGGGGTCTGGCGTTTCGCAGGGTTGCAGGAACTTCGCCTGCGTTAAACCACAACCCTAAACCAAGCCCGAAACCCATTTCATCAGATCTTCCACTCGAAGTTCCTATCAGCGCAATTAAAGCTTTGCGGCATCTCCTTGCCCCACCCTAAACCCTAAACCCTAAACCCTAAACCCTAAACCCTAAACCCTAAACCCTAAACCCTAAACCCTAAACCCTTGAGTTGAGCGGCGTCACCCTCCGCCTGGACGACACCGAAGCCCGGCTTTGCGAGGCAATGTGTGTCAGGGAAGCCTGGCTGGGGTTTGGGGGTTGGGGGTTGGGGTTTGGGGTTTGGGGTTTGGGGTTTGGGGTTTGGGGTTTGGGATTTGGGGTTTGGGGTTTGGGGTTTGGGGTTTGGGGTTTGGGGTTTGGGGTTAGGGTTAGGCAACCATAGATGGGCGCCCAGACAGCAAGCGGTCATGCTGGGAGAGGCTGTTTGGCCCAATGTGTGCATCCCTGCACGCGTGGTACGAGGTCATTGCGAGCATCACGGACCTGTAGCCAGCCCTCCCGGTCGGAACCACCGGCACCATTTTCTGCCGCTTTCGACAGTCCAACTTTAGCGTGGTCGCCCGGCAACGTCATGTAACAAGGGCAGCACGGTCAAGCTTATTGATTTCGGTTTAGGGTTTAGGGTTTAGGGTTTAGGTTTTAGGGTTTAGGGTTTAGGGATTAGGTTAGGGTTTAGGGTTTAGGGTTTAAGGTTTTGATGCAATGTTTTGTCCAGAGAACACCCGCGAACCTTCCCCCCAGGCTTCTCGCAAATAGGTAACTGCACAGGCCTTCGCCCATGCCACAGCGAGCTCTGCAAGAGCAGCGCTGTCCGCCAGTTTTATCACGACGGATTTAGGGTTTAGGGTTTAGGGTTTAGGGTTTAGGGTTTAGGGTTGGGGGGTCAGGGTGGCCTGCAGTAGGTTGTTACACTGGTGTGGTCCGGACAGTTTGGAGCTGCTCAAACAAACCTTATAAAGTTACATGCCTCAGCCTACATCCTTAATCCCATCATTGAACTTTAAGCTTTTGCGGCTTCCTTATGTAGTAGCAACAATATAGTGTATCCTTATTTACTCCTTGGTTCTTGGAGAAGTAAGATCTTCTGACCAAGAGCATGGGATCACCAAGCATAGTATGGGGTAGTATGGGGTTTCTAGCCTACACCCCAAAGCCGAAGAAATTAATTTCTAGGGTTGAGGGTTGAGGGTTTAGGGTTTGGGGGTTTTGGGGCGAAAAAGCTGGCATGAACATGAGGCTCGGAGGCGCAGGCTCTGCAAAAGCTTTGGAGATGTCAGGAGCGTGGCCCTCGAGCTCAAACACGATCGATGGCTGAAAGGAAATAGGGTTCAGTTTGGGATGTTTCCCCTTATACTAGCGTCCTCTTACTAGAAGAGGAGGTACTATAATCCCCATGAAGGACTGTTAGTATAAGGGGGAACAAGGTTCAGATCTTGTCGGGTGAGGAGGATGAGGGCGGTTCGCGCCAAACTGCAGTATTTTGGAGGAGCCCGATGAAATTGTCGAGTCGCTTTGCTTTGGGTTTAGGGTTTCGGGTTTAGGGTTTAGGGGGTTTAGGGTTTAGGGCACGCGGCAGGTTTCACACTCCTGCGTTTTCCGAGAGGTGATAAAGGGTCGCAAGCATGGAAGGAGTCCCTAATTCCCTAATCCCCTAAACCCTTAAACACTTAGATCCCTAAATCCTGAAACCCCTAAACCCCTAAACCCTTGAACCCCTAAACCCTTAATCCCCTAAACCCGTAAACCGCTAAACCCCTAAACCCTTAACACCTTAAACCCCCAAACCCCGAACCCTAAACCCTTAAACGCCTAATTAAACCTTTATTTCCCTAAACCCCTAAACCCCGAAACCCCCTAAGCCCCCAAACCCCCAAACCCAAAACCCCAAACCTTAAACCCTTGAACCCCTTAAAACCTTAAGCCCTTAAACCCCTTAACCCTTAAACCCTCAAACCCCTAAAACCCGAAACCCCTAAACCCCTAAACCCCCAAACCCTAAACCCCAAAACCTTAAACCCTTAAACCCCCAAACCCTTAAACCCCTGCCCCCCTAAACACCCTGAACCCCTAGTCCTTCTAAACCCCAAAAACGTTAAGCCCTTAAACCCCTAAACCCTTAAAACCTTAAACCCCTAAACCCCTAAGCCCCAAACCCCAAAACCTTAAACCCTTAAACCCCTACACCCCGAAGCCCTAAACCCCAAACCTTAGACCCTGAACCCTAAACCCCTTAAGCCCCATACCCTAAACCCCTTTAAGCCCTTAAACCCTGTTCTTAAACCTTAAACCTTAAACCCAAAACCCTAAACCCTAAACCCTAAACCCTAAACCCTAAACCCTAAACCCTAAACCCTAAACCCTAAACCTTCAAACTTGGAACCTTTGTTCTTAAAGGCAGAGCTGAGCTTGGATGCAGTGAGCCGTGGCGGCGTCGCCTTGCGGCTCAGGTGCGGTTCGGGATGGACTGATTGCTGTTTAGGGTTCAGGGTTCAGGGCTTAGGGTTTAGGGTTATTGTTTAGGGTTTGGGGTTTTGTTGGGGTTTAGGGTTTTGGGTGTTGGGTTTTTGAGGATTTAAGCGTTTAGGGTGCGGAGGTTCAGGGTTTCGTGGCTTAGGGGGCCCGGCGTCGAAACGGCTTTCGGCTCGGGGGTTTAAAGTTTCAAGTTTTGGGCTGTTTAAGGTTCTGAGTCTTAATTTCTTCTTGAGTTACGGGGAAATCATAGGACTCGGGTCTTTAGCGTTTATTGCAACTTGATAGCCTCACGAAGGTGCTTTATGGCCACTTATGAAGTTGCATAACGACCCTACACTCCCCCCCCCCTCTATAACTTAAACTCCTAAGGCCCCTTACGCCCTTGAAACCCTAAACCCTAAACCCCCTAAACCCTAAAATTTGAACCCTGAACCCTAAACCCTAAGCCCCCAAAGCCCTTAAAGCCCCCAAACAAGCCTTTAAGAGGCTCGAGCAACTCCAAAGCTCTGCGCGGTGCCCAAGGGGGCAGACATTTGGGGGGGGCGGGGGGAGGGGGTGGGGTGGGGGGTGCATCGAGAGACCGTGTGAAACCCTCGCAGCCTAAAGGGTGCATAGGGGGTTTGGGGTTTAGGGTTTAGGAGTTCAGGGTTTAAAGGGCTTAACTTGTTTAAAGGGTTTAACAGGTTTAGGGTTTGGGGTTAAGTGCTCAACCCACTGAACTTGAGCCCAAAAGCTTCCTCCTCACAATCCACACAGATGCCCTTCAGACTCAGCAAGTCAGGTGGTAGAATATGGGAAGAACACTCGGCTTTCTAGCAGATACCTAGAGTTTCTAAGTCAAGAGAGGTTCCAAGTACTCCAAAAGCCCCTAAGCCCAAAATCCTGCAAAACCCTGAGCCGCTAGGAACCGTTGTCCGGGCTTCATACGCAAGGCTCAGAGAGCAGGTTGCTGTGCAACACCTCAAGGTAGCAACTAAGCCCGACGATACCAAACCCTCCACCCTACACCCCCTAAACCCCCTAAACCCCCTAAACCCCCTAAACCCCCTAAACCCCCTAAACCCCCTAAACCCCCTAAACCCCCTAAACCCCCTAAACCCTAAACCCTTTAAACCCTTTAAGGCCCCTAAGCCTCTCCTGGCTAAACAAGGTGGAGCTGCGCCTGACGTCCTTGACAGCCGACCTGGCAGATGTGGCTTTGCTCTGTTTGAGGATCTAAGGGCTTTCAGTAGGGTTTAGGGTTTAGGGTTCAGGGCTTAGGGTTTAGGGTTTAGGGTTTAGGGTTTAGGGTTTAGGGTTTAGGGTTTAGGGTTTGGGGTTCAGGGCTTAGGGTACAAAACAGATGTGGCTTTGCTCTGCTTGAGGGTCTTAGGGCTTTCAGGCTGGGGGGGCGGCCCGGAAACCCTGAAGCCTGTAGTTTAGGGTTTAGGGTCTAGGGTTTAGGGTTTAGGGTCTAGGGTTTAGGGTTTAGGGTTTAGGGTTTAGGGTTTAGGGTTCAGGGTAGAAAGCCCGTCACCCTTCTCCCTAAACCCGATATCCCTCAAACCCCCAATTCCCCCGAACCCTCATACACTCAGAACCCAATAACCCCCGTGCCTCCACCCTATCTAGAACCCAGTACCCCAAACCCCAATTTTCCAAGCCCTAAACCCCCAACACCAATAATGTCTAAGTCCCAATACCTCTAAACGTTAAACCCCAACTCCCTAAACCCCAAGCCACAATCATTCCCCGAATGGCCCTAACCCTAAACCCTAAACCCTAAACCCTAAACCCTAAACCCTAAACCCTACACCCGCAGGATCCTAAACCCTAAAACCTAAACCCTAAAGAAACCCTAAACCCTAAAGAAACCCTAAACCCTAAAGAAACCCTAAACCCTAAAGAAACCCTAAACCCTAAACCCAAAAACCTAGACCCTAAAGAAACCCTAAACCCTCAACCCCAGTAAGATTCCGAGGAGGCACCCCGAAAGGGCACGGAGCAAGGCCTGTCGCTTTCCAAGGCCCGGGACGCGAGCTTACGGTTTGCGTTTAGGGTTTGAGGTTTAGGGTTTAGGGTTTAGGGTTTAGGGTTTAGGGTTTAGGGTTTAGGGTTTAGGGTTCAGGGTTCAGGGTTTAGGGTTCAGGGTTTAGGGTGCAGGGTTTCTAGGGCTTATAGGGGTTTGTAGGGTTTCTAGGGCTTATAGGGCTTTGTAGGGTTTCCAGAGCTTAGAGACTTGTACGGTTTTTAGGGTTTCTAGGTTTGCAAGGGGTTTCTAGAGGTCTAGGGTCAAGGGTTTGAAGGATTTAGGGGTGTAGGGCCAGCACGCAGGATTCTCAGCCGTCTACCGGAAGCCTGCAAAGCCCAAAGCCCCCCCCCCCCCCCCAAAGCTATGAACCCGCAAACCCTCAACTCTACAGTCCCCAAAAAGCCCCCAAACGCCTAAACCTCTACACCCTAAACCCTAAACCCTTAAACCCTAAACCCTAAACCCTAAACCCTAAACCCTAAACTAAGCCCTGCATCCCAGAGCCCTAAACCTCTAAGCTCCCCTACCTGCCAGCGAATGCCAGCGACCCGAAAACCCTCAGTCCCTCGTAAGCCCAACGCCTCGAATACCCTAAGCGCCTAAAGCTCGAACCCTAATCCCTAATCCGTACATTCTTTTCTAGAGGGTTTAGGGTTTAGGGTTTCGGGTTCAGGGTTTAGGGTTTAGGGTTTAGGGTTCATCTGTAGTACAATTATGGAGTTTGGTACCCCAAAACCATGCCAGAAAGGGCTTGGGGGTACCTGATTCCATACTACAGATGGACCTTAAAAGCCCAAACCCTGGACCCCACACCCTAAACCCTGAGCCCCAAACGATAAGCCCTAAACCCTAAACAACAAACCATAGACCCTAAACCCCAAGCCCCAAACCCTCAACCCCAAATCCTTTATCAGCCCTAAACCCACTTTGCAGGGCCCACCTCTGACATCGAGGCGGGACCGGGCGAAGGCTGAGGCGACCGTGCAGGAGCCCCCCCCTGTGCGGTCTGGGTTGAGGGTAAACCCTAAACCCTAAACCCTGAACCCTGAACCCTAAAGGCTTAGGGTTTCGGGTTTGGGGTTTGGGGTTTGGGGTTTAGGTTTGGGGTTTGGGGGTTTAGGGCTCATCATCGGGGCTCTGCAGGAGTGAGGGCCTTCTCGGGGCGTACGTATTCAGGGTGTCTAGAGAGGGGCTCAAGGTGGGATGGCTTACGCTTTTGTAGGGTTCAGGGTTTTAGGTTTTAGGTGTTAGGGTTTTGGGTTTCGGTTTTAGGGCAGCTTCGAGAGAAGACGTGCGCTGCAAGCAGGAGAAAGCAAGCTCAGCAACAAGAAGAGCCGGAGGCCTTACCCCTAAACCCTACATACCCTCTAACCCGATAACCTCCTGCAAACCCTATAAGCCTTACATACCAAAATCCTACAAACCCTAAGCCCTACACCTAGTGCGAAGCCGCAGGAGCTGTGGGGCAAAGTGCGGCGGAGCTGAGAGTGCAGCTCCGCCACACAGCGGCTAATGGACGAATGGACCGACACCAGGCAAAAAAAAAGCTGCTTCTGCAGCGCCACATGGTGAGTCTCCAAAGACGGCAATCTGACAAATTAGCATCCCCGGGTTATCTTCTAAGGATTGCCGGAATTGTATCACAGCTACCCGACGCCCTGAAAAATCTACACCCGAGAAAGTTGAGGTTCTTGGAGGGATTTAGTAGCAACCGCGAGTTCGACAGCTCGCGCATGTCATGCGGATCGATGCTTGCCCTAGACCTGCCTCATTTTCACTTATAGGGTTTCGGGTATGAAAAACCTCCTGAATTCCATTCAGACTTGGGGTTTCCAGTAGGATTAGGGTTTAGGGTTTAGGGTTTAGGGTTTAGGGTTTAGGGTTTAGGGTTTAGGGTTTAGGGTTTAGGGTTTAGGGTTTAGGGTTTAGGGTTTAGGGTTTAGGGTTTAGGGTTTAGGGGATGCTTGAGGGTTTGGGGTTTGCTGTTTGGGGGTCAGGATGATTCATGGTTAGAGGCCACGGACGTCGAATTCAAGGTCCATGATCTACGACCTGTTCCGCAGCTTTTCAGCCTCAGCACAGGTCCTTGAGGCATGTGCCACCGTTGTCTGAACTCTTCTTAGCAAATTGCCGTTATTCCAAGCTGCTTCAACAACTGGAGTGTCCCCTTATGGGGGGGGATGGGGTCCCGGTAAGGTTGCGCAAAGGGTTTGGTCTTAAGGAAGGGCTTGCAAAAGCTTACATATACCCCTTTTGCATCCTTGCTTCCATGTATGTCCGATGGTGATGCCGGCCACTGCCGTTGTGTTCCTGAGAGCCTCGCCTATCTGGCAGGAAGTGCATGGGTCAGATTCCTTTTCGAAAATTTGGGGGGGGGGGGGGGGGGGGGGGGGGGGGGGGGGGGGGGGGGGGGGGGGGGGGGGGGGGGGGGGGGGGGGGGGGGGGGGGGTTCGAGGCCTGTGGCTCGCTGCATGTAGGAAGGTCCAGGATTCCTCTTTCTCAAGCCGTTTATGCCCTAATTATCTGGTCAGTTGTCAAAATCATGGTCCGCTTTGGGGTCCTTATTATAAGGCGGCCCCGAATTTTTCGGGTGCCCAAAAGGGGCCCAGAATTTTGAGAACTCACCGTATCTCAGCTACCTTGGTGACTTGTCGCAACACGTGACTTCAAAGAGCCAAAGGACCCAAGCCTTCGCCTCAGCCCCCTCAAGAAAGTTGCCTCAGCCGGACCAAGCCTACATCTACTTCCCCTACCCTAAACCCTAAACCCTAAACCCTAAACCCGAAACCCTACTTGTTAGGGTTTAGGGTTAGTACCATGAACCTCCAGGTGCCTTCAAAGCAAAACCCCGCCCACAAGTATGCCCAAAATCCGCGGACGTTCTTACACGCAAGCCCTATAAACCCCATAAAACCCTAAGAACCCTAATGCCATAAAAAAAAAAAAAAAAAAAAAAAAAAAAAACCTAAAACCCCCCAGAACCCTAAACACCTCTAAACAGCCCTAACAACCCTAAAAAACCCCAACACCTCCAAAAAAGCCACCAAAAAAACCTCAAAACCCCTTCAAAACCCTAAAGCCCCTAGAAAGCGCCAGAAACCCCTAAAACACCCCTCAAAAATGCCAGGGAATCTCTCCACTTCCCGCAATCCCAGGCCTGTGCCTCGCTGAGGCTGTGCGGCCCGCACCGAAGGGCCTCTTAGGGCTGGAGGCCGCTGTGTTGAGGGTTGAGGGTTGAGGGTTGAGGGTTTAGGGTTTAGGGTTTAGGGTTTAGGGTTTAGGGTTTAGGGTTTAGGGTTTAGGGTTTAGGGTTTAGGGTTTAGTGCTAGGTGTCTTGCTGAGGCCGGTGAGAGGGCTTTTATAGGGAGGGCGGGGGGGGGGGGGGGTATTACGGTTAATAGGATTCAGAGTTTCGGGTTTGTAAGGGGAGGGGGGGGGGGTTCTCTTAACAGGCTAACAGGGTTTAGGGTTTAGGGTTCAGGGTTCAGGGTTCAGGGTTCAGGGTGTATAAGGTCTGGGGTTTAGAAGGGGGGCTTTAAAAGGGTTCAGGGCTTCGGGTTGGTTATGGTCCTTGGGAGGGGGGGGGGGGGGGGGGGTTCGAGTTTAGGATGTCTGTGTGCTTTACGGACTTGAGGCTTCGGATTCAAGGGGGGCTGTGTTTGCAGCGTTCTATTTTTGAAGCAGGGCCCAACAGCACTTTACTTAGCTTTTGCCACCAGGTCGACATCTCAACCCAGGGCAGATATCTGCAAAGAAGTGCGCTAACTGAATTACGGCTAGACTGGTTCAAACTGAGCGACCTCAGCAGGCAGATGGTACGAAGATCGAGGCTCCCTCGCCTGCTTCTTTCGAAGAGGCCATCGGGCTGTGCAGTCACTTCCGCGTAATGTGTCGAATTCTGGAGGCTCGAGGTTTGGCTGGCATTCCGGTCCAGTTCAGTCCCCAAATCGGCTTGCAGAATGCTTAGCTTCACTTCACGGTCGGCACAGTTGCCATGATCAGGGCTTTTTCCCAAAAACACCCTGGGGTTGCGGTCGCGTTCGTGGTGCCAAGCGGTGCGGGTCTGCGAGTGATCAACCTGCGTACGCAACGCTGAATCCTTCGACAGCAAGACCGGTAGGAATTGTCCTATAATGGAGAAAAGGGGTCGGAATAGTTACGAATCATATTCCCTTATGGTCCCTCTATTCTTATATGTTTATAAACCCCCAAAACCCTAAATCAGAATGCGCCCTCATGCAAAACCCCCGAGTATCCGTCGTCTCAGACCCAAAATGGTGCTTTTCCAGAGGCAAAACGCGACGTCGTGGGCGCCTTGAGCTCCATTGAGGCAGGGTGGAGGGTTTAGGGTTCAGGGTTAGAGGTTCAGGGTTTAGGGTTTCGGGCTTGGGGTTTAGAGGGCTGGGTTTAGGGTGTAGAGCTTCAGGATTTAGAGGGTACAGTTTGCCGTTTAGGGGCATTGGAGCCTCTAGGGTGGAGCTGAGGGCTGTTTTTTGGCGCCAGGCACTTGTCTGTCTAGGTTTCGGAGGGACTGCAGCATGTTCGAAACTCTCACAAAGGGTTCAGGATTTTGGGTTCATAGGGTTTAGGGTTCAGGGTTTTGCTTGAAGCTGATTGGAGATGAGCTCTCCTGCGCCTTCTGGCCTTGACAAATTAGAGCTGTAGCGGTACACTCAGGTACGTTGTGTGCTACAACGATTGCCATGGTTTTGCCAGAGAAACTGTCCTTTCACCTGCAACATGGTCCTACTATCTACATCTACATCCTCTTCCTAAACTTGAAACAGAGTCCTTTAAAGGAGAGTCCCTTCCTTGGTGACATAAACGAGACTACACTAGGACAAAGCCCAAACCCCAACCCCTCAACTCCAAACACAGAAAGCCTTTGGACGGCGAGGCCGGATCGTCCATTGTGGAAGTCCCGTCCGCATCTTGCCCGGCATTGCAGTACCCTTGGGCTCAGAAAAGCCCGACAGCCTCATACAAGAAGGCCGCCCTAAATGAAAAACTCCTTAGAGCCTTCGGGTTTGTGATTTTTAGTTTTAGGGTTTGAAGTTTGAGCAGCTGCTGTTGCAGCCTTGTCCCTTACAGAGGTTGTCGTAGACCATCAGTCGGCTCAAAAGCTGAGGCCCTCCCCGCTTGCGGTCTCCCAAACTCGGGGCATCACGTCTTGACCTCCATGACCTTCAATGACAGCTGCGTCTGGCGCGGAGAGGAGGGACTGAAGGCCCCAAGGGTTGCGGAAGAGGACAAAGTTATCATGCTTGAGGGGCTTTTTTTTGGGGGAGGGGGGGCTTCACCCATGACTTTTTGGAGTGAGGGCCTTTTCCGATTTTGGGGGGGGGCTTGGCTTCGAAGGCTCAGAGCTCGATTCTTTCGGAAAACTGGCAATCGCCCTTCCGAATGGAAGAGAGATGGCGCCAGTCATGTTCTTTTTCTTGAGCCGGGGGGGGGGGGGGGGGGGGGGGGAGGAATTTGCGCTCGCGCCCCGATGTTTTCTTACGAGCCCTCTTGAAAGCGAAAACGTGAAGTTCTTGCCAAGACAACCTCTAGACTTTAAACCCTAAGCCTAGAAACCCTAAACCCTATTGTCAGAGAGGTCACCCTGGAGGCGCCGCTCACGTTCAAAGGCAGGGGGTTGCCTCCTTGAGGGCGGAGTTGTTAAACTGTCTTGCAAGGCTTCCTCCAACTTACAAGGTGGCGCGTGCGCCAACTTGTAAACTTCCGGATTCCTCCAACGTTTGCAAAGTAGTGCTGTGTAGATAGCGTTCAGCCCGAAGGGCGTAGAGCTTCAGCGATTGTCAAGTGTCGCGGTGCGGCAGTTCGTGGCAGCAACAGTGAGCTGTCCCTTGCAATTTCGTTGGTGCACAATTCAAGCAAACCTGTTCTTTCTTGAGCGAGGGATTTGGGCACTTCGGCCTCGGACTGATGGAATGCTTCAATGTTGCAATCTTCTGATTTCAACACAGGGTGGCTGGAATTGTCTCCTTGCAACACCCTAGTAGGTTTTGGGGATTTTCTTTTGATCATGAGGCAACCTCTTCCTGGAGGGCGAGCTGCGTGTGGAAGCTGCCGGCCCACCGAGGGCTCCCTGCGTGACGGTGCTGGGGACCCTGTCACTCCACGCCGCCCGCGCAGTCTTCGTCGGCTGTAGAAACGAGGCCCTGCTGGCTTCCTAGGGATTCTGAGAGCCTCAAGCTTATTCGAACCCCTTTGTGGCCCAAATATACATTCCACATGCACACGGATCCTTAGGGGCTGGTTTCGGGATTTTGGTTGTGTACTTGCAGTCTGCGATCTCGTGTTGTGGCGGAGGGTGGGGGATCAGAACAATTTCTTATCTCCCTGCCAGTCGTGCCTGAAACCCCTTTGTGGAGGCTGGACATGGGGGCGCCGTGTACGTAGGGAAGGACTTCATCCTCAGCCGCAGCCACCTCCAGATTGAAAACTGCACTGCCAAAGAGAGTCCGGCGCCCCAGCTCTTCCGTGCTCCTCCGAGCAGTGGAGGCCGCCATTGCCATGTCGAGTCAATCATCTAAGTGCATTTTCATCGTCATCACTGTCTAATCTCCACATGTCGCGGAGCAGCACTCCCAGACCTTGCAAAGCCCAAAATCAAAGCGGCTCCTGCTCGATGGACGGCTCAGGCGGCGGCGGCGCTTATGTCACCGGATCCTTCCGGCAGAGCAACGCCAGCTCCGCGCGCTTCCAGAACTGCACTGCGGGGAACGAAGGTGCAGGGGTTGCAAAGCTGGGCTCCTGACAGTCGCGCGTGTGCGCGCTGTGGCAGAACCCCTTCGAGTTGGGGATCAGGACCATTGTTTGGAGGTGTGAGAATGGAAAGACTGAGAGGGCTTCCGTGTAGGGAGCCGGGATCCGGAAGTAGGGAGCTCTGCTCAGCAAAGCATCAAGAAGCGTTTATTCAAGCAATCTTCAGACTGTTCTGTGCTGTGATTCTACGAAGCACTTTCCATAGTCAGGGCAGGGCTTAGGGTTCTGTAGGGCTTCGGTTTAGGGTTTAGGGCTTAGGGTTTAGGTTTAATGTCACAAAGATTCAGCAAAGAAGGGAAAGTTCATGACAATAACCACCTTTCAGCTCTGGGGAAATTCAGGCGGCGGCGCTTTTGTCGCCGGATCCTTCCGGCAGAGCAACGGCAGCTCCGTGCGCTTCCAGAACTGCACTGCGGGGGACGACGGTGCAGGGGCTGCAAAGCTGGGCTCCTGAAAATTTATTCTCTTCGAGCTCGGGGTTCAGGTAGCCGTGTAAGAAGGGTCCGGAAGCACGGTGCTCTAGACTGTTCTGTGCTGCAATTCTAGGAAGCCCTTTCCACAGGGCTACTCTCCCAGTACCTCTCTGGAGCAGAAAGTCCTACGACCCCCGGCCCAGAGTCGGGAGTTTTGCTTCTCTTGCTTGTGCTAGACTGCCGTCTGTAGCCGCGCGGGTCAGGGCTTCGGTTTAGGGCTTCGGTTGAGGGCTTAGGGCTTATAGGGTTTATGGCTTATAATGTCACAAAGATTCAGCACTGAAGGAAAAGCTCATGACAATAACCTTTAAACAGCTCTATAGGGGCGACACTTCAGACTCTCAAGCTTTTGCAGTCGACGAGGTGAGGGTCTGGGTCTTCAAACTACGTTTCCAACAAGCATCCCCAAGCCTCCCGAGTTTCGCGAAGCGCTCCCCGCGCATCCGAGCGGCTGGGAACCGCCGAGGTGGCGGCATCCGTGTCCAGAAGGACTTGCTTCAGGAAGCCAAGAGCACCCTCGAGGTGGAGAGCTGTACTTCGAATAAGGGATCCGCGGCAGCAGCTGGGTGACTGTCCAGGGGGCGTGTAGCGCAAGTGGGCGAGGGATTCTTGTCAGGAGGAGCGCCGGGCGTGAGAGTAGGGGAAGGGCTTCTGAGATGTCGAGGCTTTGCTCTCGACATGAGGAGTTTAGGGTCAGCCATTCGAAGCACGACCGCGAGCAGCCATGCAGAAACCCCTATTTTTAACGAGCAGTGTTCCAGGGTTCGAAGGACAGTGTAGCAATCCACGAGCCTTCCTTGACGAACAGTCTGCACACATCTTCATCTTTGCGTTGGTTTCTAGGGTGTCTCCACATGTCGCGGAGAAGCACTTCCAGACCTGGCAAAGCCCAAATCGAAGAGGCTCCTGCTTGCTGGGGGCTCCTGCTCGGTGGGATGGACAGCTTAGGCGGCGGCGCTTATGTCAAGGGATCCTTCCGGCAGAGCAACGGCAGCTCCGCGCGCTTCCAGAACTGCAGTTCGACGTTTGGTGGTGCCGGGGCTGCAAACCTGGGCTCCTGAGTGTCCCTCTTCGAGCTCGGGGTTCAGGTAGCCTCGGCAGCGTGGACCATTTGTTTTGGAGGTGTGAGAATGGAAAGACTAAGACGCCTTCCGTGTAAGGAGGGTCCGGAAGCATGGTGCTCTATACTGTTCTGTGCTGCAATTCTACGAAGCACTTTCCACAGTGCTGCTTTCCAAGTCCTCTGGAGCCACATGAAGTCCTACGACCCGGCCCCGCCACAGTCGGAGTTTGTTTCCTGCTCTTGCCGTTGCTAGACTGCCGTCTATAGCCGTGCGGGTCAGGGCAGGGTTGAGGGTTCTGTAGGGCTTCGGTTTAGGGTTTAGGGCTTAGGTCTTATGGCTCAATGTCACAAAGATTCAGCACTGAAGGAAAAGCTCATGACAATAACCTTGAAACAGCTGTGGGGGCGACATTTCCGCTTCTCAAGCTTTTGCAGTCGACGAGGTGAGGGTCTGAGTCTTCAAACTCGTTTCCAACAAGCATCCCCAAGCCTCCCGAATTCTTCGAGCACTCCGCGCATCCGAGTGGCTGGGAACCGCCGAGGTGGCGGCCTCAATGTTGAGGAGGACCTGCTTCAGGAAGATTGGAGCGCCCTCGAGGTGGAGAGCTGTACAAGTGCGTTTTGGGGAGCCGCGGCAGCAGCGAGGTGACTGTCCAGGGCTTGTGGCGCGAGTGAGGGATTCTGCTCTGCGGAAGGGCTTCTGCGATGTCGAGGCTTTGGGCCAACCGTTCCAAAAACGACCGCCCGCAGCCATGCAGAGCTGACTTTCACAAAAACCCCCGTAACGAACGGTGTTCCAAAGTTCCAGCGTTGAAGGACACATGTCGCGGAGAAGCACTTCCAGACTTGAAAACCAAATGTTGACTTCACATTAACAATTCCCGCTACAATTATAAAATCCAGCTGCCGGAACACAATAATGTAGCCCCCCACAATTATAAAATCACCCCCTTTTTTTTTTTGGGGGGGGGGGGGGGAGCTACCTAATACTAAAACTAATAGAAAATCCCACCAGGTCCTACCAGGATTTAGGCGAATATTATTGAGGAGGCCCTGGCCGGAGAGATTGATCAATCAAGGGGGGGGGGGGTTTATTAATGCGAAGTCAACATAAAGAGGCTCCTGCTCGGTGGGGGCTCCTGCTCGGTGGGATGGACAGCTCAGGTGGCGGCGGCGCTTATGTCTCCGGATCCTTCCGGCAGAGCAACGACAGCTCCGCGCGCTTCCAGAACTGCAGGGCAAAACGTGAAGGTGTGCAGGGGCTGCAAACCTGGGCTCCTGAAAGTGTCCCTCTTCGAGCTCGGGGGTTCAGATAGCCTCGGCAGAGTGGACCATTTGTTTTGGAGGTGTGAGAATGGAAAGACGAAGAGGGCTTAAGATCCGTGTAAGGAGGGTCCGGAAGCACGGTGCTCTATCGACTGTTCTGTGCTGCGATTCTACGAAGCACTTTTCCATAGTGCTATTCTCCAAGTACCTTTCTGGAGCCACAGAAAGTCCTATGACCCCCCGGCCCAGAGTCGGAGTTTGCTTCCTGCCCTTGCAGTTGTCTGCCGTCTATAGCCGTGCAAGTCAGGGCAGGGCTTAGGGTTCTGTAGTGAGAACATTTCTCGAGGACAACATATTTTTCTGCAGTCTCAGACCCTGTAAAGACTTGCAAGCGACCTCCTTCATTTCAGGCGGCGGCGCTTTTGTCGCCGGATCCTTCCGGCAGAGCAACGGCAGCGCCGCACGCTTCCAGAAGTGCATGGCGGGAGAGGACGGTGCCGAGGCTGCAAACCTGGGCTCCTGAAAGTGTCCCTCTTCGAGCTCGGGGTTCAGGTAGCTTCGGCAGCGTGGACCATTTGTTTTGGAGGTGTGAGAGTGGAAAGACTAAGAGGGCCCCCGTGGAGGGTTCGGAAGCACGAGCCGCAGAAAGTCCTACGACCCCCGGGGAGTTTTGCTTCTCTTGCAATTGCTAGACTGCCGTCTCTAGCCGTGCGGGTCAGGGCAGGGTCTTAGGGTTTAGGGCTTATAGGGCTTATGGCTTATAATGCCACAAAGATTCAGCACTCAGGACAACAACCTTTAAGCAGCTCTGGGGGCGATATTTCAGACTCTCAAGCTTATGCAGTCGACGAGGTGAGGGTCTGAGTCTTCAAACTCGTTTCCAACAAGCATCCCCAACCCTCCCGCATTTTTGGAGAACTCCCCACGCGCCCACCTGGCCGAGGTGGCGGCCTCAATGTTCAGAACCACCTGCTTCAGGAAGATCGGAGCGCCCTCGAGGTGGAGAGCTGCGCAACTGCGAATAATGGAGCCGCGGCAGCAGCTGGGTGACTGTCCACGGGGCTTGTGGCGCAAGTGGGCGAGGGATTCTGCCCAGGATGTGGAGTGCTTGGCGTTCAAGTAGATGAAGGGTGCGGAAGGGCTTCTGAGATGTCGAGGCTTTGCTCTCGACATGAGGAGTTTAGGGTCAGCCGTTCGAAGCACGACCGCGAGGAGCCATGCAGAGCTGAAATTCATCAAAACCCCTCTTTAACGAGCAGTGTTCCAGGGTTTGAAGGACAGGTTTCTTCCAGGGTGGTCTGAGGCTTGTATGGCAATCCACGAGCCTTCCTTGACGAACACTCTGCGCAGATCTTCATCTCTCCGCAAGTTTCTAGGGTGTCTTCGGATGTCGCGCAGAAGCACTTCCGCACCTGGAAAAGCCCAAAATCAAAGCGGCTCCTGCTCGGTGGGGCCTCCTGCTCATTGGAATGGACAGCTCAGGCGGCGGCGCTTGTGTCTTCGGATCCTTCTGGCAGAGCAACGGCAGCTCCGCGCGCTTCCAGAATTGCAGGGCGGAACATGAAGGCGCCGGGGCTGGAGCTCGGGGTTCAGGTAGCCTGGACCATTTGTTAGGTGCGAGAATGGAAAGACTAAGAGGGCTTCCGTGGAGGGTCCGGAAGCACGGTGCTCTATACTGTTCTGTGCTGTGCTGCAATTCTACGAAGCACTTTCCACAGCGCTACTCTCCAAGTACCTCTCTGGAGCCGCAGAAAGTCCTACGACCGCCGGCCCCGCCAGTGGGAGTTTTGCTTCTCTTGCAATTGCTAGACTGCCGTCTCTAGCCGTGCGGGTCAGGGCAGGGTGGTTCAGGGCTTCGGCTTAGGGTTTAGGGCTTATAGGGCTTATGGCTTAGGGAAAGCTCAGGACAACAACCTTTAAGCAGCTCTGGGGGCGATATTTCAGACTCTCAAGCTTTTGCAGTCGACGAGGTGAGGGTCTGAGTCTGAAAACTCGTTTCCAACAAGCGTCCCCAAGCCTCCCGAATTCTCCGAGCACTCCCCGCGCGTCCGCCTGGGAACCGCCGAGGTGGCGGCCTCAATGTTCAGAACCACCTGCTTCAGGAAGCCAAGGGCACCCTCGAGGTGGAGAGCTGTGCAGCTGAGTTTTCGGGAGCCGCGGCAGCAGCTGGGTGACTGTCCGCGGGGCTTGTGCGCAAGTAGGAGAGGGATTCTGCTCAGGATGTGGAGTGCTTGGCGTTCGAGTTCATGATGGGTAAAACCCCGCTATAACGAGCAGTGTTCCACAGTTCCAGTTATAGCAATCCACGAGCATTTCTTCACGAACATTCTGGGCACATCTCATGTCGCAGAGAAGCTTTTCAGACCCTGCAACAGCCCAAAATCAAAGAAGCTCTTTGTTTGTGGGATGGACGGCTCGGGCTCAGGCGGCACTCATGTCATCGGATGCTTTCGGCAGAGCAACGGCAGCTCCGCGCGCTTCCAGAACTGCACAGCGACAAATGTTGGTGCCGGGGCTGCAAAGCTGGGCTCGCGATGGTCGAGCAAGCACGGCGCTCTGCTCAGCAGAGCATCAAGAAGCCTTTTGTTTCGAGCAATCTTCAGATTGTTCTGGACTTTTCCAGAGTGCCAAGGGGATCCCGGCAAATTTTGACGGCAAATGTTGTTCCCACCCTTTCCCGTTTTGTGTGGTCTTTGCAGGACTTTTGCAGGGTGCCAAGGGGATCCCGGCAAATTTTGACCCGCAAACCTTGTTCGTACCCTTTCCCGTTTTGTGTGGTATTTGCAGGACTTTTCCAGGGTGCTAAGGGAATCCCGGCAAATTTCGACCCGCAAAGTTGTTCCTACCCTTCTTCAACCCAAGCAAGCACAGGCAAGGGAGCGGTCGGATCGCACCAAATTTTGACGCAAAACCCATGGTCAAATTTGGTGCGATCCGACCGCCCCCTTGTAGCCGGGAATTAATCAGTTCAACTTTTGCTCCGAAGAGTCAAATCGCAAGCCCTGCTTCCTAAGATTTGTGGTTCAGTTTTTGCTCCAAGAAGTCAAATCGCAAGCCCTGCTCCCTGATATTTTTGTTTTTTGCTCCCAAAAAGTCAAATCGCAAGCCCGGTCCCTAAGATTGTGGGTTCTGTTCCTCCAAAGAGTCAAATCGCAAGCCCTGCTCCCTAAGATTTTGGGGTTTATTGCGACAAAAGAAGCCCGAGCCCCCCCTTCCAAGGACAGGCCGGGAATTTAAATTGTTTACATATTTTTAATATCTAGGGTGCTCCAATATTTAAATTGGTTATTATTTAAATTCGGTGAATTTAAATAGTTTAAATTATTTACACAAATTAAATAATTACATAATTTAGATTCTGATGAGGGCCTCGGGGAGAGTGGCCTCAATATTCAACTTATTAAATTATTTAAATTCCAGCCTCCCCAAGGCAACCCCCAGGATTTAGTTTTTTGATTATGTGAATTATTCAAAGTCGCCGAATTCACATAATTTAAATAATTTGGAAAATTTAAGTATTTCGCTCCCCCCCCCCCCCCCTGTTGAAATTATTTAAATGGTTTATATTTGGTGAATTTCGAAAATTGGAAGAATTTAACTAATCGAAATAACTTAAATCCCCGGGACGGCCCTGGGGAGGGGGCTGGAATTTAAAAAATCAATAATTTAGATATTGACTGAGGCCTCCCAAATTTAACATATTTAGATTCCCAGCTAAATAATGTAAATATTTTATATATTGGGTGCCCCCAATATTGATGTTGTTTAAATTATTGAAATTCGGGGACTGTAACCAATTAGTTTTTGGATATTTTAAGCCCTGGGGATTGCCTTGGGGAGACTGGAATTTATACACTTTAAACACTTCAAATTTGGGAGGCCTCAATATCTAATTTATTTAAAAACATAAATTCCAGCCCCCCTCCCCAGGGCAGTCCCCAGGATTAAAGTTATTTAAAGTATTTGCGTTATATACATTATTTATGTTTCCCGAATGTCAATATTCTAAATAGTTTAAATATTTTGGGGCCCCCAATATTTAAATTATTCGAGCTCTTTAAGTTCGGGGAGTCTTTAAATTTGCATAATTTAAGTAATTTGCATCTTTTTAACCATTTAAATCCTGGGACGGCCCTGGGGAGGGGGGCTGGAAATTCAGTAGTTTAGATAACTTGAATATTGCGGCCGGCTGGTCTGAGTGAAGTCTGTTCTAAATCTCCCGATTTCGCGACGTACTGCCCGCGTCCAAGTGGCTGGGAACCGCTGAGGTGGCGGCCTCCATGTTGGGCAGGAGCTGCTTCAAGAAGCCCAGAGCGCCCTCGAGGTGGAGAGCTGCGCTGCGAATAAGGGAGCCTTGGCAGCAGCTTGGTGACTGCCCACGGCCTGTGGCGCAAGTGAGTGAGGGATTCTGCTACGGGAAAGTGCTTGGCGTTCGTGATGGGTGGGGAAGGGCTTCTGAGATGTCGATCGTTCGAAGGACCCTATAACGAGCGGTGTTCCAGCGTTCCTGCGCACGTCTTCATCTTTGCGTAAGGGGGGTCTCCACGCTTCTCTCGCGGGATGGACGGCTTAGGCGGCGGCGCTGATGTCTCCGGATCCTTCCGGCAGAGCAATGGGAGCTCCGCGCGCTTCCAGAACTGCATGGCGAAATCTGGCGGTGCCGGTGCTGCAATTCTGGGCTCCTGAAATTCACACGCACGCTGGCAGAACCCTGTCGAGTTCGGGCTGCAGGGGGCCTCGACAGCCAGCATTGTTTGGAGGTAAGGACATGGAAAAAGGACTTCCATGTAAGGAGCTGGGATCAGGAAACAGGAGCAATCTTCAGATTTTTCCCGTGCTGCGATGCAGCCTTACCTATCGTGTAGTCAGAGACTCTAGTCCTAAGACCCAACCCACCGTGCCGTCAACTTGGAGGTTCACGGTACTTAGTAACCAGAAGTACCCTGAACCTCCAAGTAAACTGCCTTGTATAAACGGCGGGCCAAAGCGGGCCGCAGGGCATCACAAACAGCGAAGGGAAAGCTCTTGAGAACAACCTTTAGCCCTCGAGATTTGTGACGCGCTCTGGAGAAGAGGTCGAATCCCTCAAACAAGTTGATGGAACGTGTTGGTCATGACGTCACCAAGCCCTGACCCCCCACCCCGCCACCCCCAAACCCTTCACCCCAGCCCAAAGAAATTACGCTTGAACCCCCAAAATCAGCCTTTGGGCCACGGCCGGCAGGTGGAGGCTTCCACGTTGGGAAGGACATCTCGCAGGACAACAGCTACCTTTCAGCGAGAGGCACTGCAGGGACCAGAGCTGCGGCAGCAATTGGTCCAAGACGGGCGTAGGCTCTGCTTCTTTGCGTGACTTCACCCGAGCCTCATGCTTTCCAACAAGCATAGTCGTTCTTTTTGTCATGAAACGTGCGCCGGTGCAAGCGCACCGTGGAGGAGCCTTGCATTGGCGACGGGATCGCGGCAAGATCGAACCGAAAATGACACTCTCAACTGCGCACCTATGTCTTCCGAAATTGATGACTCTGAGGTGTACACCTCCATGGAACCTTGCGCCAGTTGGGGCGTGCTGCAAAGTTCGAGGACCTTGTTGCCAGTCTGAGCATCCGATGTTCTGCTTGCCATCCGTTATGCTGCTTTGTTGTCGCTTGGCCTATCAGCCGGTCGTACTGCGAACAGATGCAACTCCTGCAGCTTCTCTGGCTTCAGTAGTGGTATGCCTGCTGCTGTAGCACTCACCCCAAAAATGAACTACTCGTACAGTGGCAGCACGTATGATTTCCTAACCTTTTTTTCGTTCGCCTCTTTTCCCACTTCAGTATCCACCAGTTCGAGTTGCGTACAGAGGGCACGGTTGCGAGTCCACAAGGGCAGGCAGCCCCACTTGCCCTTGCTTTTAAGCCTTGCTTGCTGACTCCAGCTTCAAGCTGTGCAAGGTCAATTCCACGTTGTCCCACAATCGTGATTGGTTAGGTTTTGTTCATGCAGGCCAGAGGTAACCATTGCAAGCTACCGCAGAAGTGCGCAACAGCTGTCAACAGTCTTGAATGAAGGGCTGCAAGAAGCCGTGAGCCAGTATCAGTGTCAGCTCAGAGGGTGAGGCTGCCGGCTTCACCCTTCATTGCCGGGAGGGCCACATTGTGTGGTCCGGGGACATCGAGGCACGGTTGTGGGCCCAGGACTGGCGCTAGTTGTTTTCACCCATGGAAGGTCACGGTGAGCTTCATCCTACTCACCCCGTGCAACATCACAGCAAATCGCACGGGCCTCAGGTCCAAGTTGGGGTGCTGTCAGCATTTTCTCTTGGTCCTTGTTTTGGGGTTGTATATTGCTGTGATCAAGAGGCGCGATGCTCCGGCTTTGGGCCCCCATCGCTTTCAGCGCCGTGGCTCTCAGCGGAGACCTTCGGGTGGTGGCCGGGCGCAAGGGACACTTTGAGCGAGCCTGCATCGCGGTGGACAACACGCTCCGCTTGAATTCCGGAGCGGGTGAGTAGCTGAAGTCACGTGTATATGGGGTTGTTTCAGTGCTCTTATACCAGGGGCATAAAGAACATTAAAGAACATCCCTTGCAAGCCCGCAAAGAGTCTTCGAGAGCTTCAGTCCCAGTTGCAAAAGGAGCTCGTTTGGGCATCGAAGGATGCCGCAGCAATAGCACCGAAGGAGGTGGCCTTCGAATCGCAAACGACCTCAAAATCCAGGGGACCCTCGCAATCAGCGACTGCCACGCAGAAGGACAGCAGGGTCGAGGAGGGGCAGCTTTCGTCGGAGGCCAGCTCAGTGGCAGCAAACGCAAGACAATAATTGCCCGTAGGGCCGTAGGGCCGTAGGGAATTTTCTGCTTAAAGCTTACCTGTGTACAGGTATGCTCCACGTGGAAGCGGGGGAGTTTCGCATATGGGGCTGCGGCGCAGAGGGTTCCGGAGGCCGGGCGCCTGCGGGGAGGGAGCAGCAGAACACCTCGTCATAAAGCGGGGGCGTGCTCGGCAGATGCAATGTCGCCAGTTAAATTTTAGCGCCGGCCCAGCCCAGCTTCTTCTCTCGCAATCATACCAGCAGCGCAGGTGCTGTTCAGGCCACGAACGTCAGCGTCGCTTCTGGCGGCATGGTGCACGTTTGGAACTCCTCGGCTGGAAGCTCGGGAGGCGCAGTGTGTTGCACCATCACGCGGTGCTGCACACATGTGCTTATTCTGGCCAGTTCTGGCAGTTATCATATTGGTGTAGCTGTTGTGGGTTTACGGTTCAGAGTTTTGAGTTCAGGGCTAAAGCCTCTTTGCCTCTGTGGTTAGGGTTTTAAGCTTCAGGGCTTAGGGTTCGGGGTTGAGGGTTTAGGGGCGGCAGGTGGCACCGGGAAGGGGGTGGAGTGGGAGGGGCAGGGTAGGGGGAGGGGGGCAAGCCACAAAACAACCCAGATGCGGGGGGTTGGAGGATCCACCTCAAACACAGATTGGGCGGTTGGAAAAGCAGGGAAGGGGGGAGGGAGGGGTGGGGTGGGGGTGGGTGAGGGCTGCAGAGAAGGATGAAGGTTTTGGGGCCCCAATTCCGGGTTTCAAAACCTGGGTCTGGGCCAGATGGGCTGAACCACCCTCACCGCATGGGGGCCGTATCAGGGGCCGTATCAGGGCCGTATCAGGGCCATGTCAGGGAGAGCCCTGATACGGCCCTGATACGGCCCTCACCCCCCCCCAAAAAAAAAACAAAAATTTACTTCGAACATCCCCACCCTCTCTTGGTAGAGAGACATTCGCCGACAAAGCCGCCCAAGTATTTGCGATGGTTTCGACATCCCGGAATTCGAGTCCCACGATATTCACGAGAACTGCTTTGCGAATCACGGAGGCCTCCGCACGGAACAGCCTCCGTGCCTCCAGTTCTTATATGAATCAAAGGTCATGGAGATATGCGCGGCCTGTGCGCTTGCAGCACTTGTTTCTGAAGACGCCCTTTCCCCGACGGCAGCCATCGCATGTTGTCACAATCACCTTGCGGCCTTGCGGATGCGGGCCGAGCGTCTTTTTTATGTACTTGCGCAAATGCCATGAGAAAGCATCTCGAAGGATTAAGCCTCCTTATTCCTGGGCCACCTATCTGCCTGCTTTTCTTGTCTTTCGGGGGAGCCCACGTCATGTACTTCAGCCCGGGGTAGATTTGGTGATCGTTTTGGCGCCCTTCTTCATTAGCAGAAACCTATCTCTCATAAGCAGCTGTGGCACATTGCACGCAAGGTTTGCTCAGGCTTCCCATGCTTCCATATCATATGTCAATGGAGTGTTTTGCTAAGCCCCAGACCTCACCGACTGTTTGTCAAGCTATGTAAGACTCCACCTTTCATGCCATAGTGCAGGTGCTGTTCAGGCCACGAACGTCAGCGTCGCCTCTGGCGGCATGGTGCACGTTTGGAACTCCTCGGCTGGACGCTCGGGAGGCGCAATGTGTTGCACCATCACGCGGTGCTGCATGCATGTGCTTATTCTGGCAATTTTTTGCAGTTATCATATTGGTGCAGCTAGCTAAACCTCTAACGACACAATGTGTTTGTCAAGCTTTTTCAGGCTCCGAACATGCGAAAAGAGCTCGTTCAACCGCTTGGGCAGGGATGGATGTTGCTTTTGCGAGAGACGAAGGAGAGGTTAAACAAAAATAGAAGAGGGATGGCCCGAAAGCATCGATTTGCCGTGCGTTGACTCCATGCACTTGACTCTTTGCACTCGAACTGTATGCACTTTGACAAGTGTATGCACTCATATGGTTGCAGACTCACTTGTATACTGGACGTGTGTGCGCTTGAACTGCATGGCATTCAAGTGTGTTGAGTTGAATGCCATGCACTTGTGGTCAACTCTATACACTTCATTGGAATTCTCTACATAGGAGGTTCACGGACTTGAACTCCACACTGTTGAACTCAATGCACTTGAGCAAGTGTAGGAACTTCACTTGCATGGACCCGACTCGGCTGAGCACGTCCAATCCACGCGAAGCTATGAAAGAAACGATGAAAGAAAAGACAAAAACATCTAACGCGAGAGCCGTCGGCCATCAGCATCATCGGCAGTCGCTCTGAAGTCCAAGCTCATATAGTCCAGAGCGCCTTCCAGGAAGCAAGAACTCAGCAGGCGCGCGTATAGAGCATCCGTGCTTTCAAACGTCCGTTACCATGCTATTTGCGGTGTTTTCATGCGCGCAAGTCCGTTACCATGCTATTTGCGGTGCTTTCAAGCGCCCAGATGTCCGTTACTAGACTATTGGCGGTGTTTTCAAGCGCGCAGATGTCCGTTGCCGCGCTATTTGCGATGTGTTCAAACGCCCGGAAGTCCGTTACCGCGCTATTTGCGGTGCTTTCAAACGCCCGGAAGTCCGTTTCCATGCTATTTGCGGTGTTTTCACGCGCGCGGAAGTCCGTTACCTTGCTATTTGCGGTGCTTTCAAGCGCCCATGCAGATGTCCGTTACCACGCTTATTGGCGGAGTTTTCAAGCGCGCAGAAGTCCGTTGCCGCGCTATTTGCGATGTTTTCAAACGCCCGGAAGACCGTTACCACGCTATTTGCGGTGTTTTCAAGCGCCCAGATGTCCGTTACCAGGCTATTTACGGTGTACCCGGGTGTCCGTTTCCAGGCTCTTTGCGGTGTTTTCAAGCGCCCAGATGTCCGTTCATGCTATTTACGGTGTTTTCAAGCACCCAGATGTCCGTTGCCGTGCTATTTGCGGTGTTTTCAAGCGCCCAGATGTGCGTTACCATGCTATTTAATCCGAGCACCTGTTTAATTAATCCCCCCACATTTAAAGAAAATTATTTCGCCGAGAATCCCGCCGGAAGACTACTTTCCATTACGGTGGATTTCGTATGGGAGAATACCCCCACATTTAAAGGATTTTTTTCCGGCGGGTTCCAAAATTTCTGGTGCGTGGGGAGCCTGGTCCTGTAGTTTTTAAAGAAGCCTTAAAGCTTAAAAGGAAAAGCTTTAAGGAAGCCGGGGCTTCGGTTTTCTAGAAGCTGAGGGCCTTCAGAAAGCAAGGATTTCTTATGTAATTGCTTACTAAAGGAGAGAAGTTTTCATTCTTTCCTGAGCTATAACCCTTACGGGCTCTGGCGGGAAAGGAAGAGTCACATTTAGAATTATGGGAGGCTGGCTCGTGGGGAGCCCTGGTCCTGTAGTCTTAAAGCAAGCCTTAAAGCCGGAAAGCTTCGGTTTTCTGGAAGCTGAGGGCCTTCAGAAAGCAAGGATTTCTTATGTAATTGCTTTCTAAAGGAGAGAAGTTTTCATTCTTTCCTGAGCTACCCCTTACCCATATGCTCCAAGATTGGTCTGAACCAATAGAGATTGATTTTTTCGAGCGGAGATTGGTTTGCGTAAAAAAATCAATAGAAACCGAGTGTTTTTCAATAGCAGGGCAATCAATAGCAACTTCGTTGAAAAATCAATAGAAAAATCAATCTTGGAACCAATAGAAAAATCAATAGCGGCAACTTGGTTTTGGCGAGCGTTCACGTGTGAAAGTTGTAGATGTGGTTAAAGGTTTCTGGTGAACTTAAGCTATTTCTGGTTCCTGAGAGCAAAAAGGATTTTGGGTATATTTGACTAACCCACAAGTTATTTGTGTTTATCCAGGCACTTGTTTCAACAAAGTAGCACCGCTGTGGGTTTAGGGTTTAGGGTTGGGGTTTACAAGGTGTGTATAGAAGTTGTGTAGGGTTCAGGTCCGGAGTTTTTGTGCAGGTTGCGGGCTGGCTTTGGGTGGGTTCCGGTTTTTGCTTTTGGGAGGTTTTGTGTTTTTTGGGTACAGTTTGGCGAATGAAAATCTCAGGACTGATTTTGGATAGGAATTATAAAAGGTTCAGGTCCGGAGTGTTGAGTTGTGGGCGAAAGTTTTGGGCGAGTATTTTGTGTTGCTTTGACACAGACGGGTTTTGGGGTGAACGTTTGGGCTGAAAGTTTTCACGGAAAGTTTCCAGTTTTGCGACAACGTTGTTAAAATGTTTGGGGCGTCTTGAGGCCTTAGAAGCCTTGACCCCCGACCCCAGAAAGTTTCTCCGTTTGCTTGAGGAAAAAAAAGAGGGCAAGGGACCCCCCGACCAATGGTATTTGACCGAAAGTTTCGAGCGAGTTCTTTTGTTTTGCGTTGATGTCTTGGGGGAATCTTGTACGGCTTTTGAAACCTTGTTTAAGTTGAAATTTCGGCGTTTTGGATCAACCTCCCTATAGATGTTAGAACCTTTGTTCGGAGACGGCGCTTTGTGTGGCGCCAGCTTGTTCAGACAAACAACTTTTTGTAAGTTCCGAATGATACCACGTACGGTTTAGGGTTTAGGGTTCAGGGTTCAGGGTTAGGTTCAGGGTTTGGGTTTTAGGGTTTAAACCTTTTGCGTCGAGAAGAGAGAAGAGAGAAGGGAGAAGACAGAAGACAGAAGAGAGAAGAGAGTAGAGAAAACAGAGCAGAAAGCGGAGAGAGAGAGAGGGAATAGCAGGGGAGGAAAAGAAACATAGAACGATAGAGAGAAAATTCAAAGGAAAAACGACAGAGGAAGGACAGAGAAACAGAGAGCAAGAGGCAAAACAAAGCAAGATAAAGAGAAAGAGGAAGAGACAAAGAAAGAAAAACAGATAAAGCAAGGAAAGAGGAAGAAAAAGAGAAAAGAAGAGAACAAGAGAAAAGGAAGAGAACAGAAAGAGGAAGAGACAGAGAAAGAGAAAGAATAATATGGAGGAAGAGAAAGAGAAAACAAGAAAGCAATATAATATGACATGAAGCGACGAGAAAGAGGAAGAGACACAGAAAGAAAAGAGAACGTGCAAGAGACAAGAAAGACGAAGAAGGGACAGAGAAAGACCAAGACAAAGAGAAAGCAAGCAAGAACGAGGAACAGAGAAAAGAAGAGAGCAAGAGAAAGAGGAAGAGAAGAGAACGAGGAAGAGCAAGAAAAAGAAAGAGGAAGAGAAAGATGAAAGCAGAGAGCAAGAGAAGGATAAAGAGAATGACAAAAAAGAAAGAAACATATAGAGAGAAAGACCGAGTGGAAGAGAGAAGGAAGGGAGAAGAGAGAAAACAAGAATAATACTGTGTTTGGCCATGTTTGGCCTGGTCCTGTGTCGTTGGCTTGCGGCTCTTGCGTCCTGCGAAGTCTTTAAACCCTAACGCCTAAAACCTTTCTTCTTCGGCTGGACTTCCTGGTTTGTTAAATATATTTTCGAAAAAACACATCCACTTTATGGCCTGGGCAGCACATTGGCGCTTCATTTGCGAAGGGGATCCCATGGCTCGATACACAAATTTCAAACCTGGTGCAACATGTTACCAGAACTTTTGGGCCAACGACTGGCCAACGTATACATCTGACACAAAACTCCAAATATCATGAGTTGACTCATGACGTCCCATGACGTCTCATGACGACTCATGACGTCTCACGACGTTTCATGATGTCCCATGACGTCCCATGGCGTTTCATGACGTTTTCATATTTAAAAAATCCCAAAATGATTGACAGTTTATCAGCCCAGGCACTGAAACCTGACATGAAATTGCGATACCAGTGTTATCCCCAAAACCGATTTAGTTTCAGTGGCAGTCCAGACACTGAATACAGAATCTCTTCGCACCAAACCCCACACCCTCAGCCCTAACCCTGAATCCTTAACCCGTGCCAGTTTAAGTGTCTGGATAGTTTAGGGTTTGCGGTTAGGGTTTAAGGTTGAGGGTTTAGTTAGGGTCTAGGGTTTAGGGTTTAAGGTTTAGGGTTTAGGGTTAGGGTTTAGGGTTTAGGGTTCAGGACACAGGAAAGAACACCCTTCTGTGTTACTTCGGTTTAGGGTTTACGGTTAGGGTTTAAGGTTTCAATAGGGCTTTTAGGGTTTAGTTTCCTTTTGCCACCCGCCTAGCAGACACTCAGGCCACATTGCAGGTTTAGGCTCTAGGGTTTAGGGCTTAGAGTTTAGGGTTAGGGTTTTGGGTTAGGGCTTAGGGTTTAGGGTCTAGGGTTTAGGGTTTAGGATTTAGGGCTTAGGGCTTATAGAAAGCGCATAGGGTTTGGGTCCCAATAATCCTTTGAGCGAACGTTTTGAGTGCAAGTTTCTGTTTCGTATTGTTTCTAGATTTTTGCGGGGTGCCCAGATGTTTAAGTGAATTGGAAGTATTGGGTCGAAGTTTCTGTTTGTTTAGGGTTTAGGGTTAATATCATCGTATAGGGTTTGGGTCCCAAACTCGTTTTGAGGTAGGTTTTGAGCGAGTGTTTAAGGTGTAGGGTTTAGAGTTTAGGGTTAGGGTGTAGGGTTGGGGTTTAGGGTTTAGGGTTAGGGTTTAGGGTTTGGGGTTAGGGTTTATGGAAGTTTGTAGGGTCTGGGTTCCCGCACCGTTTCGAGCGAAAGTTTCTGTTTTGGAACCTATAGTTTCTACATTTTTGCGGGGCGCCCAGGGGTTTAAATGAACTGAAAGTTTTGAGGGAAAGTGTTGAGGAAAAGTTTCTGTTTGGCAGAGGGTTAGTTTGAGGTTTAGGGTTTAGGGTTAACAGACATTGTACAGGCTTTGGGTCCCAATATCGTGTTGAGCGAGGTTTTGAGCGCAAGTGTTCAGCGAACGTTTCTGTTTATGAAGTTACAGTTCTAAATTTTGAGGGTCCGGTCCAGAGGTTTAAGTCTAAGCGATTTGAAACTTTTGAGGGGAAGTTTCTGTTTTGGAACCACGGGGCTAGGGTAACCTACTTATGCATTTTTTTGGAGTCCCAATAACGTGTTGAGCGAAAGTGTTGAGTGAAAGCTTTTGTTTTAGAACCAAAAGTTTCTAGATGTTCGCGGAAAAAATTTTCTTTTCCTCGGCTTGGCAGCAGTTTAGACGAATATCTTGGGACATTCAGAACCACACCGCAGGCCATTTTTAGTTGTTTTGTCTGGCGGGTTTAGGGTTTGGGGTTTAGGGCTTAAGCCTTTTGTGTCTATCCAGACACTGAACAGCCTTGCCTGCTCAGGCGTTTAAATATTCTTAGAATTGTTCAATTACTATCTTCTTGTGCTAAGTCCAAACACTTCAACTTGCCTGTCCACCATGACTGAAGTCAGTTAAGTCACCTACAAATGTTTGTTTGAGTATAATCCCTATATACACACATGCCAAATACATTGGTAGATATAGGACCACTTGGTAGATATAGGACTTTTGGTTGCAGCACAATATCAATAGAAAAATCAAAAAAGAAAATTCAAAAAAGAAAATCAATAGAAAAATCAATAGCGAATCTGGTTTTGAATCAATAGAACATTATTTTTTCCGAGATTGATTTTGCAGCCCAAGAATCAATATTCAATAGAAGATTGATTCGGATTAAAAATCAATAGAAAGATTGATTCAGACCAATATCGGAGCATATGGGTACGGGCTCTGGCGGGAAAGGCAGAGTCACATTTATAGAATGGGGCCAGAATGATGGGAGGCCCTGGCCCGTGGGGAGCCCTGGTCCTGTAGTCTTGAAAGAAGCCTTAAAAGCTTAAAAGGAAAAGCTTTGAGGAAGCCGGGGCTTCAGCCAACTATTGCGGAACCCTGCATTCCAATTTGTGGGGGGGGCAGGGGGGGGGGAAGGGGGGGGGGCCCCAATTTAAACAGGTGCTCGGATTACGGTGTTTTCAAGCGCCCAGATGTCCGTTACCATGCTGTTTGCGGTGCTTTCAAGCGCCCATGTCCGTTACCATGCTATTTGCGGTGTTCTCAAGCGCCCAGGGCGTCCGCGGCGTACTACGTTTGTACTACAAAAGTCGACTGTCCAGCCACGGAAGCTCCGGGTGTCCGCGGCGTACTGCGTTTGTACTACAAAAGTCGACTTTCCAGCCACGGAAGCTCCGGGCGTCCCGGCGTACTACATTTGCCACGGAAGGCGTTTCTATGTGATCACAAAACGCTAAAACACGACGGTTTTGGCGCCGCGACCACGCGAAAACCCGGGTTACGTTTGTATGTCAGAAAACGCAAAAACACGACGGTTTTGGCGCCGCGCCAACGCCGAAACCCGCAGAGGGTTGACCCGCACCCGCAAAAATGTGCAAAACACGACGGCTTTAGCACCGCGACCCGGCGATTGCCCGCAGAGGGTTGTCCGCGGCCACAAGAAACGTAAAAAAACAACGAAATAGCACCGCGACCACGCCGAAACCCGCAGAGGGTTGTCCGCGCACAGCAAGAAAGATTAAAAAACTACGGTTTTAGCATCGCGACCACGCCGAAACCCGCAGAGGGCTGCATTCCCGATTGGCGACGTCAACCCAGCCCGCCACCTGAAAAAGAGTAATTGGGCTGGGCCGACTGGGTACGAAGGTCTACTAAACTCTACGTAAATCCCGTAAATTCTATGAAATTGTACTAAAATCTCGTGAATTCTACTCTATGCACTTCACTCTTTGCACTAAACTCTATGCACTTGACTCTATGCACTTCACTCTATGTACTTCACTCTATGTACTTCACTCTATGTACTTCACTCTATGCACTTATAGCTTGACTCTATGCACTTCACTCTATGCACTTCACTCTATGTACTGAACTCTATGCACTTGACTCTATGTTGTTGGGTCAGAGGGCTCCGCTCGGAAGAACCCTTCGCGATGCTTTCGGGAAAAAAACAATCCCGAGCACATAGATTGACTGTCGCATGTTCAAAGTTTCAGCTCCGGCCCATGACCCTGACAAACATTGGCCAGGCGGCCTCGATGCCGGGACTCTCGAGGTGGTCAACGGGCAAGTCCTCGTGGAGAACTGCTCTGCGAATCACGGAGGCCTCCACACCTGGGACAGTTTCCGTGCCTCCAGTTCTCGTATGAGTCAAAGGTCACAGAGATATGCGCGGCCTGTGCGCTTGCAGCACTTGTTTCTGAATACGCCCTTTCCCTGACGGCAGCCATCGCACGTTGTCACAATCACCTTGCGGGTGCGGGCCGAATGTCTTTTGCCTCTTGACGGATTAAGCCTCCCTATTCCTGGGCCACCTATCTGCCTGCTTTTCTCGTCTTTCGGGGGAGCCCACGTCATGTAATTCAGCCCGGGGTAGGTTTGGTGATCGTTTTGGCGCCCTTCTTCATTAGCAGAAACCTTATCTCTCATAAGCAGTTGTGGCACATTGCACGCAAGGTTTGCTGAGGCCTCCCATGCTTCAATATCATATATGTCAATGGAATGTTTTGCTGAACCTCAGACCTCGCCGGCTGTTTGTCAGGCTGTGTAAGACTCCACCTTTCCTGCCATATAGTGCAGGTGCCGTTCAGGCCACGAACGTCAGCGTCGCCTCTGGCGGCATGGTGCACGTTCGGAACTCCTCGGCTGGAAGCTCGGGAGGCGCAGCGTGTTGCACCATCACGCGGTGCTGCAAGCATGTGCTTATTCCGGCAATTTCTGGCAGTTCTCATAATGTGTTTGTCAAGCTTTTTCAGGCTCCGAACATGCGAAAAGAGCTCGTTCAACCGCTAGGGCAGGGATGGATGTTGCTTCTCCTCGCTTTCATATTGCTTTTGCGAGAGACGATGGAGAAGTTAAAAGAAAGAACCCCGAGCATGCTTTTGCAGATTGACTGTCGCGTGTTCAAGTTTCAGCTCCGGCCCATGACCCTGACAAACATTGGCCAGGCGGCCTCGATGCCGGGACTCTCGAGGTGGTCAACGGGCAAGTCCTCGTGGAGAACTGCTTTGCGAATCACGGAGGCCTCCACACCTGGGACAGTTTCCGTGCCTCCAGTTCTCGTATGAGTCAAAGGTCACAGAGATATGCGCGGCCTGTGCGCTTGCAGCACTTGTTTCTGAATACGCCCTTTCCCTGACGGCAGCCATCGCACGTTGTCACAATCACCTTGCGGGTGCGGGCCGAATGTCTTTTGCCTCTTGACGGATTAAGCCTCCCTATTCCTGGGCCACCTATCTGCCTGCTTTTCTCGTCTTTCGGGGGAGCCCACGTCATGTAATTCAGCCCGGGGTAGGTTTGGTGATCGTTTTGGCGCCCTTCTTCATTAGCAGAAACCTTATCTCTCATAAGCAGTTGTGGCACATTGCACGCAAGGTTTGCTGAGGCCTCCCATGCTTCAATATCATATATGTCAATGGAATGTTTTGCTGAACCTCAGACCTCGCCGGCTGTTTGTCAGGCTGTGTAAGACTCCACCTTTCCTGCCATATAGTGCAGGTGCCGTTCAGGCCACGAACGTCAGCGTCGCCTCTGGCGGCATGGTGCACGTTCGGAACTCCTCGGCTGGAAGCTCGGGAGGCGCAGCGTGTTGCACCATCACGCGGTGCTGCAAGCATGTGCTTATTCCGGCAATTTCTGGCAGTTCTCATAATGTGTTTGTCAAGCTTTTTCAGGCTCCGAACATGCGAAAAGAGCTCGTTCAACCGCTAGGGCAGGGATGGATGTTGCTTCTCCTCGCTTTCATATTGCTTTTGCGAGAGACGATGGAGAAGTTAAAAGAAAGAACCCCGAGCATGCTTTTGCAGATTGACTGTCGCGTGTTCAAGTTTCAGCTCCGGCCCATGACCCTGACAAACATTGGCCAGGCGGCCTCGATGCCGGGACTCTCGAGGTGGTCAACGGGCAAGTCCTCGTGGAGAACTGCTTTGCGAATCACGGAGGCCTTCAGTGGAGCTGGGGCATTGCGGGGGACAGAAGCCTCCCTGCCTCCAGTAGTTTATGTACGTCTGCTCAAGGCAGCAACTACGCAGAAGCAACGTTCGAAACTTTCGTCCTGTAGGGTTTTTAGCCATCGTCCATAAAACAGACGACGCCCGAAAACTCAGTGCAGGCGGCATTTTCTCGAAGTTTGGTATCGGCATTGGCTCCGCGGGGCAGGTGAAACTCAGCAAGTGCGCTGCGTTCTTCGATGGAGGCGGACTCTTCCTCCAGTCTGGCAGGCTCCTGGGCCAAGATGTGTCGAGAGGTGACCTCATCGTCGAGGATGGCATCGCAGTCAAAGGACGCGGCGGAGGTCTGTTTCTCGGGTCAGGAGACATCAAGATGAGACGGGGCACCTTCACCGGATGCTCGGCCGCTGTTCACAGTGGCGTGGACATCTTTGCAAACGGCACTGTGGCCATTTCCATCCTCAAGCACCACAATTCGAACGAGGAGGCTGTGAGCAGCTCCATCAACAACGAGCAGCCTCTCTCCCTGAACATTGCTTCAGTCGACCCTCCACCTGGGTCAGGTGTGGTCCGAAACCCGGACAACACGACGCTGGCCTTCTACACCTGTCCTCCGAACTTTGTGCGCCTGTCTAACAATGCAGAGAGTCGATGTGTGGAGTGCCCTACGAGCCCCACGAAGGAATGTTCTTCCAGGCACTTGGAGCTGGAAGGTGGATTCATGGCACTCGCCTCAATAACCCTACGTGAATGCATGTCAAGCCGGTGTCTTCACGTGGCAGTTTGATTCAGGTCGACCTGGCCGACCCCGCGAACCTTTCGGGGTGGTACCGGTGCCCGAATGTGCAAGCCTGTCCAGGCAGTTTAGGGTCAAATCTGAGTGATCCCACAGTCCATGAGCGATTCACAAAATAGGCTTCTACTCAGAGTTGTGCGCAGCTCCATATGGTGCCGTCAGCGTTGCCTTGTCCTGCTGTGTTGAGGTGACGTAGCTTCCTGTTACACCCTGTATAAGTAGGACTCCAACTTCCCCCGGCAGATGTTTTGGAGCAACGCTGTCCAGGCGGTGTAGTGGAAGCTGCGGAGGTTGAGGGCGAGCGCTGTCGGATTCTGAAGCCCATGTGCCAGGAAGGCTTCATCGGCTTGGGGCTCCCCGGTCACAATTCCTTCTCCGGTCATCGACGCAGAGCTTTTTTCCACAGAAAAGGCTTTTGCCTTTAAGGTTCGAGTCGAAAGGCTTTTACATTTGCATCCCCCGGCTTGTAAAACTCAAGAGGCGCGCCAGTTTCTTCGGGTGGTGACTCTGGGCACTGGGCATAACGCACGTAAAGGGGTTCATCACGTATGCCACCGGCGAAGTGTAGGGCAGAGACCAGGCACAGAGACCCAGATGTCGGGCCCCGAAACCCAGGAAGCAAGCCGATGCCCTCAACCACCAAATCCTCCCAGAGTAGGCCAGTGTTCCCTTTTTGTCGGGCTTAGGTTCCTTTATACGCCCTTTATTATTTCTTGGATACTTTGGGGGTCTGGTAAAGCTTAAGACCCCATCTCAGGTGCGCCCAGTGCAACAGCACCACGCACGCACGAGCCGACAGGAGTGTTCTGCAGTGCGCAAAGTGCACGAACTCACGTCTTGAGGCAGGGAAGCGACTGCTTTAAGCTTTATCCCACTAAGAAGCTCAGGGCATACGTGCAGTTTTTTGGCCTTTAGGGCTTATGATATGGCTTTAGGATTTAAGGTGTCGGGGTGTGAGGGTTAAAGTTTGGTGCTGCTTGGTCAAGCCATGCGCCCACGGAGATGCCATACCTTGCTGCCATACATTCTGTAACAGCTTGTAAGATGCGTTTTGCAGGTCTCATTGCAGGTGCTCTTCTATGCCGTGACAGATACATCGCTCTTTGCCTGTGCCGCCTTGAGCGTGCTGAACGTGCCCCAGTCTGCGTATACAGAGATCTGCTGTTCCAGCAGTTCGTTTCAACTGCTTGGACATCTTATAAGCTACTAGTTGCTGAAGAACTCCCCCCCAAAAAAACAAAATTAAGATGAATCATCCCTATACATTGCAGTAATAGGGCTTCTTTTTTGGGAGGTCCTGAAGCAAGTAGTTAATGTAGCCTAGCAGGCTAGATCTTCAGAAAGAAGCAAACACGGGCCCAGGCGGGATCCAAAAAGACCAACAGCGGAGTTTTACTCAACCAGCTGATGGCCTTCACCGCCGTCTCTGGCAGCATCATGCCGCTCGGAGGAAGCGAATGGCTTTGAAGACGTCTGCCCGTGAGGTTCCGACTTTCATCATGAAGACTATCCACGCTAGATTCTCCACAGCCACGATCATCAGTACTCAGTACATAGCGCAATGGACAGTGCCAAGGTGCAAAAAAGGTAGCCAGTAGCAACGCTACAAATGCGACAGAGACTCGACTCACGCACTTGGGCATCTTGGCACTTGATCTCAACCGCAAGCACGGGCCCTTTGCTTGAAGCTGTCAAGGCCCATGGGTTGGCCGTGATTGCCACAGAGCCTCTCTGCACCCCTCCTCCTCCTCCTCCACGCAACCCCACGATTTCTATCATGCACTTCAAGAAAAAGCCACTCAATTAAGTCCTGAAAAAGTGAGGTCCGGCATGATGCAAAGCCAGTCTTTCGGTCAGCTGCAAGATGACACCAAGACTTGGCTGCGCGGCTAAAATGGTCACTACAGTCTACAGGGCACTCGAGCTATTCGATACTTCGTAGAAGAGTACGAAACGACACACGTGGATGCCTCCGCAAGCCCCCCCCCCTTCCCCCCCGCAAAGGCCGACAGGCCTGAACCCGACATCTGCTTGAGACAAATAGGCCAGCCTCCAACAGCAGCGCTGCATTCTAGGCCCTTCGAACTCCTCAAAGCCCTCCATAAGCAGCCCCCCCCCCCCCAGAAAGAGACCTTGAGTCGTGGTTTTGATCCAAGGCTTCATGGCCTGGGCTTGGCGGTGGACGTCGTGCAGGGCCAGCATCTGGGGCAGGGATGTTTGGGAGTTTAGGGTTTAGGGCTTTTCGGGGTTTGGGGAGTGGTAGTTCAAAAGTGGAGAGTTCTCCAAGGAGCAGCACCAGCGACATGTCCTTGGAGTGCGTCCTGCACTACTTCGGCTTCGAGCAGTCCCTGTTCAACGCGCACTGTCTGTCATCGATCATGCCTCTGATCCTGATCGCTCCTTCGACACACTTCAGTTTTGGGGGGGCACGTGGAAGCTCTTCTGACGTAGAAAACCTACTGACGTTGTAAGTCAAAGGGGCTTCCAAGCAGGGCAGGGAGGAGTGGAGGGGGAAGGGGGTCAGAAATCGCGGATGGAGGGGGGGGGGGGGGTTGCAAAGAGCTTAGGCTGAGGGATTTGGGGCTAGCCTTTGGTTTGGGGTTCGGGGGCGGGGGGCCATTGGCAGTTGGGAACCGAATCTCAACGCGCTCTCTCTCTGTCTCTCTCTCTCTCTCTCTCTCTCTTTCTCTTTCTCTCTCTCTCTCTCTCTCTCTCTCTTTTTTTTTCTCTCTCTCTCTCTCTCTCTCTCTCATTTTTTCTCTCTCTGACTGTAGGCGGTGCTGGCCGTCGCCAACAACCCCTGGCTGGCCATGGTGGTCGGCACCAACGTGTTCCTTCCGGGCTTTGTCGCCTTTTTCGGCAAGTACCTCGTCATGCTCCGGCTCCGGCCAGAGAAGGATCCTGTGGGAGCAGCTCGTCTGCATCACTGCAACCAGGGGCAACCTCGCATGTCAGGATTTCGCGTGCACGTGCACGCGCATGAGCGCGAGATCCCAGCATGACATCTGAGCTGAGGAGGCTCGCTTCGAGTACCTGCCACGATTTGGCTTCCTGCCCTCCTCCTTCCCGGCCGACCTCTGTGCCATCACCGCCATCCTGATGGCAATCTTGGTCTGCGGCGCAGCAGGCGTCAGCGGTTGGCTCTACACGGCAGCTCGGCTCTGACTGCGTCCCCCACGTTCCCATGTCTTTTTCATATCAAGGTTCGAACCCTTGTGAGGGTTTAGGTTTTAAGGTTTAGGGTAGTAACTGTCAAGACTGAGGTGTTTCGGCACCACGAGTCGCCACCCGCACATGTGAAGTATCTGACCATGGCATACAAGCCCGAGTTCGCCTACTGGGAGGCGCTGCCTTAAACACCATGTCTCACAATTATAGTCCACTTTTTGGGCCTGAGGCGTAGGTCTTGTGTTAGCCGTGCACGGGTTCTCAGTGTGACAGGCACTGCACCAAGCCTGCCACGGAGCCATCCGTTTGCAAGCGCTTTTGCAAGCGTTGCAAGCACCCACGCATGCCGCGTATTGCGAGGTAGAACGGCTGGTTCGCAAGACGTTCATTCTGCTCGCGAAGTTCACACTCCCCATCATGGTCTCACCTGCCACTCGTTTGGCAATTGCGGCATAACCTAAACCCTAAACCCTAAACCCTAAGCCCTAAACCCTAAACCCTAAACCATAAACCCTAAACCCTAAAACCCTAAAACCCTAAACCCCAAGCCTCACTCCCGAGGCTCTACAGATGGAGACCATTGCCAGCATCTTGATGCTGTCAGTCGCTCTCTATGTCGTGTGCCGCCCTTATGAAGACCCTTGTCAGAATTGATTCGGCGTCGTTCTCTGGGAGTTCGTTTTGAGGCTGTGGCCCCGCGGTGCTTCTGTTAGCTTGCCATTTTCCGGCGCCAAGTCTGGGATGAATGTAGGGTTTGCGAGTGCCGGGTTGCCACCGAAGGACTCTTTAGGTCCGAAGGTTCTGGGATTCGGGCTGCGGGGTTTGGGCTTGGAGGGCTTAAAGTCATGGAATAAAAGGTTTGGGGGGGCCTGAAAAGCACTTGGAATAGTGTGCTTGCAGGGGGGAAAGTAGTGCAGAAATCTGTAACCATGGGGAGGTGAGGGTCGAAAGCGCGTTCGTGCTTCGAAGGTTGGGAAACTTTCTCTCCTGACTCTTCTTGAGGTTTGGGAGCGGAATGCGAAGAACATGCACTCGCGTTTCTGATGGTACATGGTGTGCGATGAACGTATTCCCCATATTCGTTCATCATCCTGTTTGCCGTTCATGATGACGGGGGTTTGTCTCCTGGTTGTTTTAAACCTTGTTTCTCGTGTCGTGTCGCCCTTTCTCAGTCTTAGCCATCAGCAACTTGGCACCATGCCACCGTCCAACACTCCAGGTCGTCACATTCAGCTCATTGTTCTTCTGGATAGCTCACCCTACATTGCATTCTCAGCACGCTTGGCTGATAGCAAATCGAAGGGGTGGTGTAGGTTCGCAGTGCGAAGTCCAAAGCACTGAAGGGTTGCTTACACTTTTGGGGATCCTTTTCAGTCCTTGTGTTTCTCCCAGATTGGCGCATGGAACTTGGCCGAAGCCGGTCTCTTGCTCGTTGCCCTGTTCATGACCAACCTGACTACGTGCCTGAGCAGATCTTGGGATCATGTTTGTTTACAGCTTGAATTCCAGGTCTCCTGACCCCTTGGAGTCCCGTTTCCATGGAGCGCAGGCATTTCCCCTATGCTCCCAAAGGCTGAGCCCACAAGACCTTCCCCGCGTCACCTCCAGCACCAACTACCTGCATACAGCGGAAGGTGCCTGCTGGCCAACGACTTGCACTGGGCACACTCCCAGGGAACACAGGTGGGGGTTTCCGAAATCCCCTAACCCCTAAACCCTAAACCCTAAACCCTAAACCCTAAACCCGTATTTTCGTAAACTCCCAGGTGGCCCTCATCTTTCTGATCTGCTCCTTGGCCGGTGAACCCTGGCAGCAGAGATGGAGATGTAGGGCGCCGACTGCCGGACCCTGTTCTTGGGGCCAGAGGGTTTGCCATCATTAGGCTTTAGGGTTTAGGGTCTAGGGTTTAGGGTGTATGAACATTAGGCAAAAGGGTCTGCAGCTTCCAAAAGTATGTGGCCTTTCAGGGATGCTTTCAGGGATTCTGGGAGTATAGGCTGCAGCTTCGGAAGTTCTTTGTTGAGCCATTCTGGAGGTTGGGTTTACATGGTTTTGGGGGGCTCGGGTTTAGGTATGTTTAGGGCTCAGATTTTAGGAACCCCGTTCCTTTCGGAAGCCAGGGTGGATTGCAAAGCTTGGCACCCAGCCTCAGGTTCAGAGGGTTTCGGATGATTTCGGGTTCTTGAGCTCTCCCAACCTGGTGCCGCGGCGTCCGCCAAGTCAAAATTCCCGAAAGCCTGAACCCTGGCTCCTCACTTGCTCCTCCTCGGACAGCCTTTTAGGGTTTAGGGTTTAGGGTACACAGCCCCAGTTGCCTCAAGGGGATCTCGATCGGAATGGCTGTCCTCATCGCCTTTGCCCTTCTCAGCGAGCGGCAGGAAAGACAGGCTGGGCCTCCCATCTTTGCACGATGTTTCGCACCCTTTGTCTTTTTCCTCTTCAACAGTTGGCTTGCAGCCAAAAACGGCTTCGATCGGCTTCGTGACACAGGTACTAGAGCTGACCCCCCCCCTAATCAAGGCAATTGCACGCCGTGAGGTTTGTAAACAGAGCCCAAATGGCTCCTTCGTGTTTGATCGTTTATGTCATCCCCCTTGGGATGTTCCCCCCTTATACTACCAGTCCTTAATAGGGATTATAATCGGGGTACGAGAAATCCTTTTCAGGAATGCTAGTATAGGGAACATCCCAACATCCCCAGTTGAACGCCGCCAAGAAGCAACAGAAGGAAGCAGAGCATGTCAGCGGCGACGTGGGCGTCGCCGGGCACAAGGCAGCTTCACTGCGGCTCTCGGTGTGGGAACGGAAGAAGAAAGACTTTCACGGCTACCCAGAGACCCCAAAGGGATTTCGGAAATATTCCTGAAATTCTCATTGGGGTTCTAAGGAACTGTTTACGGAATTAAGTCAGTATTGGGGTCTCTAGGGGCTGGTGCGGCTTCCAACCTTCCCTTCTGCAGTCTAGCAGCAAGTGGCCGAAAAGGTGAGAGGTAGTCGCAAGTGAGGTGAGGTCTTCGTCAACAACAATCCCTTCAGGAGAGAGAGGAATACAAAATATACGATAAAATGTCGATGTGACCTTTAAAACATGCCCGCGCCCCAACACACACGAAACAACTTCTGCACCGAAGCTCATGACAGCCCTGAGCCACAAAAGCCCCGAAGTGCAAGGGTTTAGGGTTTAGGGTTTAGGATTTAGGATTTAGGGTTTAGGGTTTAGGGTTAAGCCCAATGTCCCTACTGCTCAGCACTGGCAGGAAGCGAACCAGGATACAAGCTGATCTCTGTGTCTGCTGATCTGACCGGCCCACAGCTCTTGCTGCAAAAGCTTCGTCTGAGACCGTGTTCAAGGACAGAGGGATCCTTCGCCGAAAGGCAAGGTGCCGTGTGATGGGTTTCACATGTGTCTCAGGCCAACCAAGAGGGTCTGCTTGTAGTACCATTATGGGAGTAGGTCCCCAATACCCCATGTAGAATAGTTAAACCCTAAACGCTCAACCCTAAACCCTAGACCCTAAACACTAAACTAAACCCTAAACCCTAAACCCTAAACCCTAAACCCTCTGGGGAAAAAGCGCCAGTGAGTTCGAAGCATGGCCCTCGCACATCTCGAACCTCCCAGCCGGCATCCGAAATCATCAGAGGCATCTCGGGGATCCCAGAAGAGGGTTTGGGGTTTGGGGTTTGGGGTTTGGGGTTTGGGGTTTAGGGTTTAGGGTTTAGGGTTTAGGGTTTAGGGTTCAGGGTTCAGGGTTTAGGGTTTAGGGTTTAGGGTTTAGGATTTAGGGTTTAGGGTTTAAGTTTAGGGTTTAGGATTTAGGGTTCAGGGTTTAGGGTTTAGGGTTTGGGGTGTGTTACCCCCTTTTGTGAGCGAAGGCCAGAAAAGAGAGAATAGGAGGCCCTGGGCTTGCACATGAAATTCGCACTTTGCTTGTGCTTGGGATGGGGCGGCCCAATTTGTGCGACTGAGCAGCTCCACCCGGTACTCCAAAAACCTTGATTCCATATCTTATTTTCACTAGTGGACCTCAAGGAAAGAAAAACCTCCTCAACTCCTTTGGTACAGGGCAGGAGGATTCCGGGCTTAGGGGTGCGCGTGGGGTTTAAGATGTTTTAGGGTTGGGGTTCAGGGTTTGGGGGGCACGCCGCGGACGTCGAGTTCAAGGTCTATATGCTCCGCGACCTGTGCCGCAATGTTTCGGCCTCAGCACTGGCCCTTGAGGCCTGTGCCACCGTTGTCTGAGCTCTCCTTAGCAAACTCCCTTCATGCCAAGCACTTGAGCGTCCCCTTATTGGGGGGCGGGACGGGCCGTGGGAAAGGCTGCAAGGCTTGGGATTAAGGCGTAGAACCTTGCCTCCACACATGCTCGGATGGCGATGCGGGCCACGGCCGTTGTGTTCCTGAGAACCTCGCCTATACATTTAAAGAAGAACTTCAATGGGTCAGGTGCCTTTTTGTTGAAAGTTCCGCCCCTCTTGGGAACTTGCGGTCAGGAGCCCCAATCTATTCCTCTGCTTCCCCCCAAGCTTCCCAAGCCTTCACTCGCCTCAGAACCCTCAAAGGCTCATCTCAACCGGACTCAGCCTGCATCCCTAGCTTCCCCATAAGCGCGCCCAAAATTCGCTCCCTGGAGCCCTTGAAGAGCTGCTTAAGCGCCCTAAACCCTAAACCCCCTATCAGAGCTCTCGCAACCCTGTGGCCCGCGGCATGTAGGAACATCCATTCCACAACACGATTTGGAGCCCTGTTGTGGTTCCTCTTTCTGACGTCTTTTAAAGCGCCACTTATACGGTCAGTTGTCTAATTTATGGTCCCTTTTGGGCTGATGATAAGGCGACCCCGAATATTTCTCGTATCCAACAAGATGACCATAATTTGGGCAACTCACCATAACTCAGGGGCCAAAGGACCCAAACCTTCAGCCCCCTCAAGCTTCCAACCCACTTTACAACCCCTCAAGTATTGGGTTACTAAGCATGAACCTCCAAGCACCTTCCCCCCGAAAGCAAAATAAACTCCAAAAACCCTAAAAACCCTAAACGAGCTAAAAACTAAAACCCCGTAAGAACCCAACAAGCTCTCTAAAAACAGCCTGATTAAACACCTTCAAGGGCTTTCTCAAAAACCCAAAAAAAAACTTAAAACCCCCTAAAGCCCCTCAAAATGCCCTGGACCTCTCCAGCTTCCCGCAATCCGAGGCCTGTGCCTCGCTGAGGCCGTGCGGCCCGCACCGAAGGGCCTCTTGGGGCTGGAGGCCGCTATAGGGTTTAGGGTTTAGGGTTTAGGGTTTAGGGTTTAGGGTTTAGGGTTTAGGGTTTAGGGTTTAGGGTTTAGGGTTTAGGGTTTAGGGTTTAGGGTGTGTCAGGGGAGGGCGCGCGCTCGGGTGTGGAACACCCCGGGCCGCGCGCTCGCGTTGCCCGTCAGCCCACCCCGGCCACCCAAACTATACTCTATTATTTTTAGGGTTTATGGAACTTATTTTCTTGTGCTCTGATGCTTGCTTTGATGTTTTTAAAGTTGCGGTGTTAGGGTTTAAGCTGGGGTTGGGGGTAGCCTCGGCCCTTTTCGGGCCTTCGGCGTGTCAGGGCCCGTAGAGGCCCTTATTTATTTGAAGGTCAGGCCCTTTGTGCCTGCTCCTGGATTCCCCTTCTTTAAGGGCCTCAAGCCTTTTTGGTGGCTCTTGGGGCCTTTTGGGGTCTTCCTGAGGGGCTTTCCTGGCCCTTCTGGGGTACCTTGACAGGGCCTTTTGAAGCCTTTTCAAGTTTTTTGGTGGCTCTTGTGCCCAAAACCATCGATTTCAGTACTAAAAAATCGCATTTTTCATTGCGGGTACGGGCAAAACCTGGGGTCCCCTCGACCGTCCGGGGGCGTCCGGGGGCGTCCGCGGGGGCTCCCTGGACGCTGTCCCGCTCCACGTCTCGGGGCGGGCGGACGCCCCGGACGCCCCCGGACGCCCCGGACACCCCCAGACACCCCGGACGCGCCTGGACACCTCAGGAGACGCCCGGACTCCGGTCGGCCGCTGAAACCCCGAACCCCCTCCAGAGCAGAAGCCGCACGATTTGGGGTTACTCTTTAGCTACGCTAAAGGTGGTCTGGATACGGCCATCCCTTGTTCGAGTGCTGACGTTGTCGTAAGAAGGGCCAATATCCGTTGGCCTGTCCAGGACAGACGGTGAGGCTTAACCCTCACCTTTCCGTCTCTCTTTTCGTATGGGCGCTCGGGCTGTAAGGCCCTCGGCCGAGCGTTCGGGCTGTCGCTCGACGGAAGCGACCCCCCAAAATCACGAAATTGAGCAACCAGCCTGGACCCCCTCGCCAGCCTCCTGGTCCAGGAATCCAGCCACCAGGGGCCAGGGGGCCCCCGGGGGGGGGGGGGGGGCCCGGCAAACCCTGAACCCAAAACCCCCTCCAGAGCAGATGCCGCACGATTTGGGGTTACTCTTTAGCTACGCTAAAGGTGGTCTGGATACGGCCATCCCTTGTTCGAGTGCTGACGTTGTCGTAAGAAGGGCCAATATCCGTTGGCCTGTCCAGGACAGACGGTGAGGCTTAACCCTCACCTTTCCGTCTCTCTTTTCGTATGGGCGCTCGGGCTGTAAGGCCCTCGGCCGAGCGTTCGGGGTCTGTCGCTCGACGGAAGCGACCCCTCACTTAGTTTAGGGTTTGAGTTTACAAGGCGCGGGCTTCAAAGGGTTCAGGGCTTCGGGTTGATTATCGGACTTGGGGCTTCGGATTCAGGGGAGACCCAACAGCCGTGTACTTAGCTTTGGCTACCGTATGTCAAGCATGCCCTCAGGGCAGATATATCTTCAAGAAGAAGTTGCCCTAAGGAAGTGCGCCAAAACTGAATGACGATGAATGACAGCTAGACTGCTTCAGACTGAGAGACCTCAGCAGGCAGATGATACGAAGATCGAGGCTCCCTCGCATGCTTCTTTCGAAGAGGCCATCGGGCCGTGCAGTCAGAAAGCGTGTAGGGCCTGTTCTGCGTAATGTGGTGTCGAAATCTGGAGGCTCGAGGTGTGTCTGGCATACCAGTTCAATGCCCAAATCGGCTTGCAGAATGCTTAGCTTCACCTCATGGCCGGGTTTTTTCTCAAAGATTTCCTGGGGTTGGGTTTGCGTTCAGGGTGCCAAGCGGGGCGGGGGGGGGGGGGGGGGTCTGCGAGTGACAAACCTGCATACGCTTTCGGACAAGAATGGTAGGGTTGTCTTAAATCAAAAGCGCCCTGATGCAGATTCCCGAGTGTCCGTCGTCTCAGACCCAAAACGCCCTGTACTTTTCCAGAGGCAAAGCGCGACGTCGTGGGCGCCTTGAGCTCCCCCGAGGCAGGGTGGAGGGTTAAGGGTTCAGGGTTAGAGGTTTAGGGTTTCGGGCCTGCTGTTTAGAGGGCTGGGTTTCGCGTGTAGAGCTTCAGGATTTCGAGGGTACAGTTTGCCGTTTAGGGGCATTGGAGCCTCTAGGGGTGGAGCTGAGGGCTGTTTTTTGGCACCAGGCGCTTGTCTGTCTAGGTTTCGGAGGACTGCCGCATGTTCGAAACTCTCACAAAGGGTTCAGGATTTAAGGTCTCCTTCGCCCTCTAGTCTTTGCAAATTAGAGCTGTAGTGGTGCACTCAGGTACTTTGTGTGCTACAACGCTTGCCAAACATTCCTCTGCAATACGGTCCTACCATCTACATCGTCTTCCTAAAATTGAAACAGAGTACAGTTGTGAGAGAGAGAGAGAGAGAGAGCGAGAGAGCATCATTTAACGGAGAGTCCCGGCATAAACGAGACTACAGTCGGATGTTGTGGACAAAGCAGAAACCCTACTCCAAACACAGAACAGAAAGTCTTTGGATGGCGAGGCCGGATCGTTCATTTTGGAAGACCCGTCGGCGTCTTGCCCGGCATTGCGACAATTACCTATACAAGAAGGCCACCCTAAAAGAAGAGTCCTTAGAGCCTTCGGGTTCGTAATTTTTAGTTTTAGGGTTTGAGCAGCAGCCTTGTCCCTTACAGAGGTTGTCGTAGACCATGTTCGGCTCAAAAGCTGAGGCCCTTCCCGCTTGCGGTCTCCCAAACTCGGGGCATCACGTCTTGAAGACCTCCATGACCTTCAATGACAGCTGCGTCTGGCGCGGAGAGGAGGGACTGAAGGCCCCAAGGGTTGCGGAAGAGGACAAAGTTATCATGCTTGAGGGGCTTTTTTTTGGGGGAGGGGGGGGGGGGGGCTTCACCCATGACTGTTTGGAGTGAGGGCCTTGTCCGATTTTGGGGGGGCTTGGCTTCGAAGGCTCAGAGCTCGATTCTTTCGGAAAACTGGCAATCGCCCTTCCGAATGGAAGAGAGATGTTCTTTTTCTTGAGCCGGGGGGGGGGGGTGGGGTGGGGGGAGGAATTTGCGCTCGCGCCCCGATGTTTTCTTACGAGCCCTCTTGAAAGCGAAAACGTGAAGTTCTTGCCAAGACAACCTCTAGACTTTAAACCCTAAGCCTAGAAACCCTAAACCCTATTGTCAGAGAGGTCACCCTGAAGGCGCCGCTCACGTTCAAAGGCAGGGGGGTTTGCCTCCTTGCACGGAGTTGTTAAACTGTCTTGCAAGGCTTCCTCCAACTTATAAGGTGGCGCGTGCGCCAACTTGTAAACTTCCGGATTCCTCCAACGTTTGCAAAGTAGTGCTGTGTAGATAGCGTTCAGCCCGAAGGGCGTAGAGCTTCAGCGATTGTCAAGTGTCGCGGTGCGGCAGTTCGTGGTAGTAACAGTGAGCTGTCCCTTGCAATTTCGTTGGTGCACAATTCAAGCAAACCTGTTCTTTCTTGAGCGAGGGATTTGGGCACTTCGGCCCTGATGGAATGCTTCAATGTTGCAATCTTCTGATTTCAACACAGGGTGGCTGGAATTGTCTCCTTGCAACACCCTAGTAGGTTTTGGGGGGTTTCTTTTGATCATGAGGCAACCTCTTCCTGGAGGGCGAGCTGCGTGTGGAAGCTGCCGGCCCACCGAGGGCTTCCTGCGTGACGGTGCTGGGGACCCTGTCACTCCACGCCGCCCGCGCAGTCTTTGTCGGCTGTAGAAACAAGGCCCTGCTGGCTTCCGAAGGATTCTGAGAGCCTCAAGCTACTCTATTCGAACCCCTTTGTGGCCCAAATATACATTCCACATGCACACGGATTTTGGCGGAGGGTGGGGGATCAGAGCAATTTCTTGTCTCCCTGCCAGTCGTGCCTGAAACCCCTTTGTGGAGGCTGGACATGGGGGCGCCGTGTACGTAGGGAAGGACTTCATCCTCAGCCGCAGCCACCTCCAGATTGAAAACTGCACTGCCAAAAAGAGTCCGGCGCCCCAGCTCTTCCGCGCTCCTCCGAGCAGTGGAGGCCCCCATTGCCATGCCGAGGCAATCATCTAAGTGCATTTCATCGTTATCTCACTGTCTAATCTCCAGATGTCGCAGAGCAGCACTCCCAGACCTTGCAAAGCCCAAAATCAAAGCGGCTCCTGCTCGATGGACGGCTCAGGCGGCGGTGGCGCTTATGTCACCGGATCCTTCCGGCAGAGCAGCGGCAGCTCCGCGCGCTTCCAGAACTGCACTGCAGGGGACGAAGGTGCAGGGGTTGCAAAGCTGGGGCTCCTGACAGTCGCGCGTGTGCGGGCTGTGGCAGAACCCTTTCGAGTTGGGGTTCAGGACCATTGTTTGGAGGTGTGAGAATGGAAAGACTGAGAGGGCTTCCGTGTAGGGAGCCGGGATCCGGAAGTAGGGAGCTCTGCTCAGCAAAGCATCAAGAAGCGTTTATTCAAGCAATCTTCAGACTGTTCTGTGCTGCGATTCTACGAAGCACTTTCCATAGTCAGGGCAGGGCTTAGGGTTCTGTAGGGCTTCGGTTTAGGGTTTAGGGCTTAGGGTTTAGGTTTAATGTCACAAAGATTCAGCAAAGAAGGGAAAGTTCATGACAATAACCACCTTTCAGCTCTGGGGAAATTCAGATATTTCAGACTCTCAAGCTTTTGCAGTCGACGAGGTGAGGGTCTGAGTCTTTAAACTCGTTTCCAACAAGCATCCCCAAGTCTCCCGAATTCTGCGAGCACTCCCCCCGCATCCGAGTGGCTGGGCTTTGCTCTCGACATGAGGAGTTTAGGGTCAGTCATTCGAAGCACGACCGCGAGCAGCCATGCAGAGCTGAAATTCACCAAAAACCCCTCTTTAACGAGCAGTGTTCCAGGGTTTGAAGGTCAGGTTTCTTCGAGGGTGGTCTGAGGCTTGTATAGCAACCCACGAGCCTTCCTTGACCAACACTCTGCGCACATCTTCATCTTTGCGTAAGTTTCTAGGGTGTCTTCACATGTCGCGGAGAAGCACTTCCAGACCTGGCAAAGCTCAACATCAAAGAGGCTCCTGCTCGCTGGGGGGGGGCCCCTGCTCGCTGGGATGGACAGCTCAGGCGGCGGCGCTTATGTCACCGGATCCTTCCGGCAGAGCAACGGCAGCTCCGCGCGCTTCCAGAACTGCACTGCGAGGGACGAAGGTGCAGGGGTTGCAAAGCTGGGGCTCCTGAAAGTGTCCCTCTCGAGCTTGGGGTTCAGGAAGCCTCGGCAGCGTGGACCATTTGTTTTGGAGGTTTGAGAATGGAAAGACTAAGAGGGCTTAAGATTCCGTGTAAGCAGGGTCCGGAATAACGGAAACTATAGATTGTTCTGTGCTGCGATTCTACGAGGCACTTTTCCATAGGGCTACTCTCCAAGTACCTCTCTGGAGCCGCAGAAAGTCCCACGACCCCCGGCCCAGAGTCGGAGTTTTGCTTCTCTTGCTCTTGTGCTAGACTGCCGTCTATAGCCGTGCGGGTCAGGGCAGGGTTGAGGGTTCTGTAGGGCTTCGGTTTAGGGTGTTTCGGGCTTAGGGTTTAGGGCTCAATGTCACAAAGATTCAGCACTGAAGGGAAAGCTCATGACAATAACCTTTCCAGCTCTGGTACCTTCAGATATTTCAGACGTCCTCTCAAGCTTTTGCAGTCGACGAGGTGAGGGCTGGTCAGAGTCTTTAAACTCGTTTCCAACAAGCATCCCCAAGTCTCCCGAATTCTCCAAGCACTCCCCGCGTCCGAGTGGCTGGCAGCCGCCGAGGTGGCGGCCTCTGTGTTAAGGAGGACCTGCTTCAGGAAGTCTGGAGCACTCTCGAGGTGGAGAGCTGTGCTGCGAAATGGGGAGTCGCGGCAGCAGCTGGGTGACTGTCCAGGGCTTGTGGCGCAAGTGGGTGGGGGATTCTGCTCAGGATGTAGAGTGCTTGGCGTTCAAGTAGATGAAGGGTGTGGAAGGGCTTCTGAGATGTCGAGGCTTTGCTCTCGACATGAGGAGTTTAGGGCCATTCGAAGCACGACCGCGAGCAGCCATGCAGCCATGCAGAGCTGAAATTCACCAAAAGACCCTCTTTAACGAGCAGTGTTCCAGGGTTTGAAGGTCAGGTTTCTTCGAGGGTGGTCTGAGGCTTGTATAGCAATCCACGAGCCTTCCTTGACCAACACTCTGCGCGCACACCTTCATCTTTGCGTAAGTTTCTAGGGTGTCTTCACATGTCGCGGAGAAGCACTTCCAGACCTTGCAAAGCCCAACATCAAAGAGGCTCCTGCTGGGTGCTCCTGCTCGGTGGGATGGACAGCTCAGGCGGCGGCGCTTGTGTCTCCGGATCCTTCTGGCAGAGCAACGGCAGCTCCGCGCGCTTCCAGAACTGCAGTGCGGATTATAGAGGCACCGGGGCTGCAAACCTGGGCTCCTGACAGTCGCGCTTTCGAGTTGGGGATCAGGACCATTGTTTGGAGGTGTGAGAATGGAAAGACTGAGAGGGCTTCCGTGTAGGGAGCCGGGATCCGGAAGTAGGGAGCTCTGCTCAGCAAAGCATCAAGAAGCGTTTATTCAAGCAATCTTCAGACTGTTCTGTGCTGCGATTCTACGAAGCACTTTCCATAGTCAAGGCAGGGCTTAGGGTTCTGTACGGCTTCGGTTTAGGGTTTTTCGGGCTTAGGGTTTAGGGCTTAATGTCACAAAGATTCAGCACTCATGACAATAACCTTTTCAGCTCTGGGGGCGATATTTCAGACTCTCAGGCTTTTGCAGTCGATGAGGTGAGGGTCTGAGTCTTTAAACTACGTTTCCAACAAGCGTCCCCAAGTCTCCCGAAGCACTCCCCGCGCATCCGAGCGGCTGGGAACCGCCGAGGTGGCGGCCTCCGTGTCCATAAGGACCTGGCTCAGGAAGCCAAGAGCACCCTCGAGGTGGAGAGCTGCGCTGCGATTACGGGAGCCGCGGCAGCAGCTGGGTGACTGTCCAGGGCTTGCGCAAGTGGGTGAGGGATTCTGCTCAGGAGGAGCGCTTGGCGCTTGAGTAGGGGAAGGGCTTCTGAGATGTCGAGGCTTTGCTCTCGACATGAGGAGTTTAGGGTCAGCCATTCGAAGCACGACCACGCACAGCCATGCAGAGCTGAAATTCACCAAAAACCCTATTTAACGAGCAGTGTTCCAGGGTTTGAAGGTCAGGTTTCTTCGAGAGTGGTCTGAGGCTTGTATAGCAATCCACGAGCCTTCCTTGACCAACACTCTGCGCGCACACCTTCATCTTTGCGTAAGTTTCTAGGGTGTCTTCACATGTCGCGGAGAAGCGCTTCCAGACCTTGCAAAGCCCAACATCAAAGAGGCTCCTGCTCGGTGGGGGCTCCTGCTCGGTGGGATGGACAGCTCAGGCGGCGGCGCTTGTGTCACCGGATCCTTCCGGCAGAGCAACGGCAGCTCCGCGCGCTTCCAGAACTGCAGTGCGAGATCTGGAGGCGCCGGGGCTGCAAACCTGGGGCTCCTGAAAGTGTCCCTCTCGAGCTCGGAGGTCAGGTAGCCTCGGCAGGACCTTTGTTTTGGAGGTGTGAGAATGAAAAGACTCAGAGGGCTTCCGTGTAGTGTAGGACACTTGTGTACGAAATGACACAGTAGAGCGCGGAACTCCGCCAGCGCGGGCTCGAAGAAGGCCCGGCTTCGAGCCACTGTGAGCCATGTAGGCGTATTTCAAACACGGAGGGTGAGAGTCGGTTTGATGCGGCCGCTGAGAGAAAGTTAAAAGCTTTTCTTGCGCAGCGCTTGTGTTGGTGAACTGTGTTATTGCGCCTCGCGAGTTGCTTTTGAGCAGTGATGTGTCTGCCGCTATTCTGGTGTGTGTCGGAATGCGTATTTTGCTCTTCAAGTAGTTGCCGCGTCTTAGTTCCGACGACAGCATGTATTCAAACAACTTTGCTGGCGTGGTGCAAGCAGCCATGGATGCTGGGGAGCCGGGCGAAGTGTTGATAGAACTGGAGGAGTGCGGCGTGTGTTCGCTTGAAACAGCTGCAAATATGTTGGCTGCCAGAGTTGGAGATCAGCAGTTGCAGGCGCATTTGCACGCGCTCGTGGCCACAGCTTTCAAGAAGTTTGCGTCGCCGATAGTGTCTTCCACAGCCGGGTGCCAGCCAGCAGGAGCAAAGTGCACGCCTCAGACGCCTCATGTCGGGCGCAATGATATTCCAGTGCCACGATTGACAAGTGGGGGTTCCATGCAGAGGGCTCTCGAGGCAGCGTTGCCGCAGAACAGGCAAGCTGCGTTGCAGGAGTTCCGCGAAGGAATTTGGGCCCGAAGCAACAAGCGGCCTCAGGATTCGAGGTGGCGATCTTGGTGTCGCATCTGTAGCGCATGGCAAGTCCCGCCTGTGCCATTGACGACAGAGGTCATCGAGCGGGTAGCTGCGTCGCTCAAAGTGGGCGGGTACCGCTCGGGGCGGCAGTTCTTCAGCAGGGCTCGTCGAGAGCATATAGTGCGAGTGCGCCAACCGGTGCCCGCCGACGTTGAGTTGGCCAGGAAGGACGCAGTCAGATCTTTGGAGCGCGGTATTGGTGGTCCGGCCCTGAAGGATGCCTTGCGTGCTGAAGCCGTTTCCATTTTGGGTGAGACATTTGTGGCTGCGCTGTTTTCTTTTGGGGTGTGGTTCTTGCTGCGCGAGATTGAGATAGCGGCACTGCTTTCCAAGCACATGCACATTGATGAAGTGGCAGGTACTGTGTCTCTAACGCTGTGGGCGACGAAGAGTGACCCTGTGCAAGCGTGTGAGAGGGGAGAGCGTTGATTACATCCTTTTGAGCTTCTTTGACGGTGTCGGTTCAGCGGGCTTGATTTGCAGCGACATCTTCGAAGCAGAACAGAAGCCATGGGTGGGCTTCGCATGGGAAACCGACAGCGAGTTGGTTTCCCTGTCACACGAGAAGTTTCGAAACATTCGGCATCGCGGCAACATTGATGATGACGACCCGGCACGTGTGGTGCAAGAACTTCGTAGAATCGACCCTGGCGCACGCGCCACAGTGATCGTGGCGGCAGGCCCGCCTTGCCATGATCATAGCCGTATTCGTGCTGATGCTCCGGGTGTTCGTTCGCGGAGAAGAGGGTTCCAAGTTCGCCCGCTTCGCAGAGTTTTTGAGACAGTTGAAAGCGTCTTGGGATTATGCGCAGCCTATCCTAGTCGTTGAGAGCGTCGTGCCGGAGAACAAGCAGGACGTGAAGTTGTTTGAGCGTCGCCTGTCAGCTCAAGCTGTTGTGTGTGACGCAGCGGACCTTGGGGTGATATCGCGACCGAGAGTGTGGTGGACTCGGTTGCCATGGCAGGACCTCAGCAACCGGAGAGGCGCGCCTACCTCCATGCGCTGGAGCTCCTACCAGGGCATCCCTAAAGTAACCTTTGAACAGCCTGCCGATGATTTGCAGCAATACGACCTCGGCGAGTTCGAGTGGCCAAGGAATGTTTCGGAGCGCCTTCGACCTCTCCCATGCTTGACGACGCCCTCTAATGACCCTGCAGGCCGTCCAGCTCCTCGATCGTGCAGAGGGAAGGTGGATTCCCAGACGCAGAATCGCTGGCTTCAAGACAACAGACGCTACGCTCCCTGGCACTACCAGGAAGACAATATGTGGGTCGATGTAAGCCAACATCGCCGTCTCGCGCTTGCCACAGCGAAAATCAAGGAGCAACTCCATCACCTGCCTGTGGGGTGGACCCAACCTTTGCGTGAGCACTCGAGGCACAGGGCCATAGCAAATGGCTGGCATATTGGAGTGGCCAAATGGTTCTTCATCTTTGGCGTCTTTTGCGCAGTGGCGCCGACTGCAGAGGCAGGCGAGATCGTCGGCCCAACACCAAGGTTACAGCCTTCGCCTCTGGGAAGCAGTGCCATCGCGACCATGGCGTCATTGTGGCGTTCGTCCCCCCTGCTCAACGGTCCAGGTGTTCCCATCTTCGACGATGCCCTCGACCTCGCGGCCATCGAGGATGCCTTGGAGCATTGGAGCGCAAGTCGAGCAACTTTGCATCCAGGTCAGTCCCCCCCACGGCTGGAGCCAGGGCTTGTGCAATGGCTACCGCTGTGGAAGCATTGGCGGCCTCACCTGCAGCATCTTCGTGCGGCAGTGGTCAGCGAGGTTACGCAGATGGTCGAGGACAGGCAAGACGAGATCGAGGACTGGTTCGAAGGCCTTGATCCGCATGTGCAGTTGGCTTATGGTGGGAAGAGCAGGGATTGCACCATGAAGCTCCCCATCATCAAGGAGTTGGCTGAGGAGTTCGGGTGGCGTGACATGGAGCTGCTTGAGGAGATGCAGCATGGCTTCCCAAAACTTGGAGTTATACGCCCAGGGTTGGGATGGCGACTACGAGATGACAAGCGCTATGCGGAGCCGACCGACATCGAAGAGGTCTTCCGACAGAATGAAAAGTTTGTGCAGCAAAAGCTCAGCCGCGGCAAGGTGGACCCGTGTTGGCAGATCATGGCTGACGAGATTGCGGCCGACGTGTCTCTCGGTCGCATGGAGGGCCCTTTCGCGGCGCCAGAGCACTGGTGTCGAAGAACAATTCCACTATCGTCACACTCCCATACGGCGCAGCTGTTGCCGCGCCTGAAGGCAGGGTTCCTTGCTCTTTCGCGTTTGCAGTGCATCAGATTGGGTCAGACGGCAAGGAGAAAGTCAGGCGGGCGGAAGATTGGCGGCGGTCAGGCGCCAATGGCACAGTGGGGGCGCCGGACACGCCAGCTTATCATGCCATTGATGCCTTCGTGCACCTCGCTAGGGCTGTGAACCGACATGCTGGTCGATTGGAGTGTGACTCATCTCGCAGGTTCTTGCAGCTGTGGGGCTTGGGTCATGATGCGGCGTACCGCCAGCTTCCTGCCAAGTAGCCGAACCACACGTTTGTGATCTTGCACACGCCGCAGGGGCCACCTTGTGGCGACACAACGTGCTTATGTTTGGTAGCGTGGCTAGCGTCTGGTCCTATTGTCGAGCTGCAGATTTCATGACGTGGTTGAATCGATGTGCGCTGTTGTTGCCAATGCTGCACTTCGTCGATGATTTCGGCTCGGTCGAGACGGACGATCTCGCTGACAGCGGCTTTTCAACTACGCAGAAGCTTGGTGGTGCCTTGGGGTTCAGGTTTAAGCCTAGTAAGGCTCAGCCGCCGGCTACGCGACACAAGATTCAGGGGGTGACCGTCACGCTTGAGGATGGCGAGGCGACCATAGCCATGACCGTGGAGCGGGCCGAGCGCATCGACGCCCACCTCAGGCAGGTTCTCCTAACCGACCAGCTCTCGCCGAAGGAGGCCTCTTCGTTGGCTGGGAAGCTGCGGCAGCCCTGCGACCGATCCATAAGCGGGCGCAAGCAGCTCAGTTTCGGGCTTCGCAAAAGAAGTGGCAGCTCACCGAGGCGTGGAGGGAGGCGATCAGTTTCCTGAGGGTTTGTTTTCGCCAGAGTCGGCCATGGGTTGTGCGTTATGAGGTGCAGGAGCGTGCAGTGATCTACGCGGACGCGTTCTTTGAGTTGGCTGGAAGGCGGTACAAGCCTGTCGACTTCGAGTCAGTGCCATCTTGGGGCAACAAGCCACCGGCGTCCTTCACCAATGGTTGGGGTTTGTAGTGACGGTCGGCCAACGCACATTCTTTGCTGCAGGGTCGGTGCCCTTCTGGTTCGCGAGACACTTCAGCTCCAAGAGAGCCTACATATACGTGCTTGAGATCATCGCCCAAATCATCCCGTTGATGGCTCTGCGGGAGCTGTTGCCGCCGCATCTGTTGCTATTTGTGGACAATGAGCCCGCTCGCCACGCCCTCACCAAGGGCTTCGGGAATTGTAGGTTCCCTCAATCGACTGCTGCAAGTCGCGTGGAGCTTCTTTGAGAAGCGAGGCTGGTGGCCAGCGTGGCAACGCGTAGCCAGCTCTGCGAACGTGAGCGATGGTGTGAGTCGCTTCGACTTCGCTCTGGCTTATGAGCTAGGCTGGGAGTGGTGCGCCCTGCAGCGAGTATGATGAGCTTTTTCGTCGACTTTTGAGCGCAGTGGATGCTTTTCCGGCTGAGGGGCTTTGAGGGCTCAAGGGGCGATTAGGTGCGAAGTCATGGTGGCAGGCGTCGCACCTATGGTGACGATCGCCTGTCGCCCTGCACAAATGCCAAAGCAGGTGCGATCAGGACGATGTCGACGCCGCCTGCTGTTGAATTTGCAAAACAGGGTATGCCGTCCTTGGTGCTTGATTTGGGTCTTGTGTTGCTGTGCTTGATTGTTCACGGCGTAGTAGAGCGCTCGGGTGTCAGGAGGGTCCGGAAGCACGGTGCTCTATAGACTGTGCTGCGATTCTACGAAGCACTTTTCCACAGTACTCTCCAAGTACCTCTCTGGAGCCGCAAAAAGTCCCACGACCCCAGGCCCAGAGTCGGAGCTTGGCTTCTCTTGCTGTTGTGCTAGACTGCCGCCGCTGTGCGGGTTAGGGCAGTGGGCAGGGTGGTTCTGTAGGGCTTCGGTTTAGGGTTTTTCGGGCTTAGGGTTTAGGGCTCAATGTCACAAAGATTCAGCACTGAAGGGAAAGCTCATGACAATAACCTTTTCAGCTATGGGGGCGATATTTTAGACTCTCAAGCTTTTGCAGTCGACGAGGTGAGGGTCTGAGTTTTTTAACTCGTTTCCAACAAGCATCCCCAAGTCTCCCGAATTTCGCGAAGCACTCCCCGCTCATCCGAGTGGCTGGGAACCGCCGAGGTGGCGGCCTCCGTGTCCATAAGGACCTGGCTCAGGAAGCCAAGAGCACCCTCGAGGTGGAGAGCTGCGCTGCGAATGCGGGAGCCGCGGCAGCAGCTGGGTGACTGTCCACGGCTTGTGGCGCAAGTGGGTGAGGGATTCTGCTCAGGAGGAGCGCTTGGCGTTTGAGTAGGGGAAGGGCTTCTGAGATGTCGAGGCTTTGCTCTCGACATGAGGAGTTTAGGGCCAGCCATTCGAAGCACGACCACGCACAGCCATGCAGAGCTGAAATTCACCAAAAACCCCTCTTTAACGAGCAGCGTTCCAGGGTTTGAAGGTCAGGTTTCTTCGAGGGTGGTCTGAGGCTTATATAGCCTTCCTTGACCAACACTCTGCGCACACCTTCATCTTTGCGTAAGTTTCTAGGGTGTCTTCACATGTCGCGGAGAAGCACTTCCAGACCTGGCAAAGCTCAACATCAAAGAGGCTCCTGCTCGCTGGGGGCTCCTGCTCGGTGGGATGGACAGCTCAGGCGGCGGCGCTTCTGTCTCCGGATCCTTCCGGCAGAGCAACGGCAGCTCCGCGCGCTTCCAGAACTGCAGTGCGGAGTATAGAGGCACCGGGGCTGCAAACCTGGGCTCCTGAAAGTGTCCCTCTTCGAGCGCGGGGGTCAGGTAGCCTCGACAGGACCATTTGTTTTGGAGGTGTGAGAATGGAAAGACTAAGAGGGCTTAAGATTCCGTGTAAGCAGGGTCCGGAAGCACGGTAACTATAGATTGTTCTGTGCTGCGATTCTACGAAGCACTTTTCCACAGTACTCTCCAAGTACCTCTCTGGAGCCGCAAAAAGTCCCACGACCCCAGGCCCAGAGTCGGAGTTTGGCTTCTCTTGCTCTTGTGCTAGACTGCCGTCGCTGTGCGGGTCACGGCAGGGTGGTTCTGTAGGGCTTCGGTTTAGGGTTTTTCGGGCTTAGGGTTTAGGGCTCAATGTCACAAAGACTCAGCACTGAAGGGAAAGCTCATGACAATAACCTTTTCAGCTATGGGGGCGATATTTTAGACTCTCAAGCTTTTGCAGTCGACGAGGTGAGGGTCTGAGTTTTTTAACTCGTTTCCAACAAGCATCCCCAAGTCTCCCGAATTTCGCGAAGCACTCCCCGCGCATCCGAGCGGCTGGGAACCGCCGAGGTGGTGGCCTCCGTGTTGAGGAGGACCTGCTTCAGGAAGCCAACAGCACCCTCGAGGTGGAGAGCTGCACAGCTGCGAATTACGGAGCCGCGGCAGCAGCTGGGTGACACTCCAGGGCTTGCAGTGCGAGTGAGTGAGGGATTCTGGGAAGGGAAGTGCTTGCAGCAACTTCGGATTTCCAGGCAGTGTGGGCCAGCCATGCGTGCCACTGCCATGAGACTGCCTCCAGAGAAGATTTGGGCTAATGTGACGAAGAGCCTTGTAAGTGGATCTAAGACCCGTGTGAGAATATTTCTCGAGAACAACATATTTTTCTGCAGTCTCAGACCCTGTAAAGAATTAGCAAGCGACCTCCTTCACCTCAGGAGGCGGCGGAGCTTACATCAGCGGAGTCTTCCGGCAGAGCAACGGGAGCGCCGCACGCTTCCAGAAGTGCATGGCAGGGGTCGAAGGCTGCTGGGCCTCAACTCGTTTGCATCTCGTTAAACCCTAAACCCTAAACCCTAAACCCTAAACCCTAAACAAGTGCAGCACAGACTATGTTCGCCTAAGCTGCTGTTGCGACTCTGACGCAATCATGATCTGACCCTGCGGTCACCATTGCTGAGCTCAGGCGGGGGCCTCCACATTAAGAACTCTCAGGGCTCCTTGTTGGCAGCAAGCACAGCCGCACCCTTCATTGCCCTTCATTGTGTTCTATGGCCCATCACGCCAGGCAGCCTCGATGCTGCGATGGTGGACGGACAGGTCATCGTCGAGGACTGCTCGGCAAACGTCGGAGGCCCCGGATCGTAGCGCAGGACTGCGAGCGGATGTGAGTGTACTCCTATATATTACCTGCAGCTTGAAGCTATGTGTAAAACCGACGGGGATCCCAGGTCACCCAGTTGTTTGCGGCCACTTCCGCTTCAAACCTCAAGACATGAAGACCCCTGCAGAGTAGTTACAGCGCAGGCGGCATCTTCTCCAAGTCCGGCATCCGCATGGGCCTTGCAGGTTCGTTGCAGCTCAGCAAATGCACCGCGCTTGTCGACGGAGGAGGGCTCTTCGTCCAGTCTGGTGGCCTCCAGGGGCTGGAGGGCCAGCAGGGAGGTCGCCTCATCGTCGAGGATTGCATCGCAGCCACTGGGCGAGGGGGAGGACTGTGTCTGAGGGCAGGAGATGTCAAGATAGCGCACGGTGCTTTCGCCGGATGCCGGGCCGCTTCTCAAAAGGGGGATGGAATCTTTGCGAACGGCACTGTGACGATGTCCGTCCTTGACTATCACGGGCTGGACACGAAGGTTGTGGGCAGCTTCATCAAGACTCAGCAAGAGCAGCCTCTCACGATCTCCTCGGTCATCCCTGCAACTGGAATCGGTGCTGTCCGAAAGCCGGACAACACGACGCTGGCGTTCTACACCTGCCCTCCGGGCTTCGTGCGCCTGGCTGCAGACACAAGCAGTCCCTGCGTGGCGTGCCCTCTGGGTCCCACGAAGGAATGTTCTTCCAAGCGCCTCGGGCTGGAAGGTGGATTCATGGCGCTCGCCTCAGCCCTCACTGCACGCTGTGAACGTATGTCAAGCTTCCAAGCCGGCGGCTTCACGTGGCAGTTTGCTTCAGGTCGACCTGGCCGACCCGACGAACCTTTCGCGGTGGTACCGGTGCCCGAATGCCCAAGCCTGTCCAGGCCTGGGGTTGAGGGGCCGGTGGTGCTGCTGGCCATGTCCGCTTTCCTTCACCCCCCCCTTTTACCGTAAGAGCTAAGCGCAACACTCTGCAGGCGGCGTTGTGGAAGCTGCGGAGGTTGAGGGCGAGCCCCCTCGGATTCTGCAGACCATGTGCCAGGAAGGCTTCATCGGCTTGGGGCGCCCCGGGTCGCCATTCTCCGGTCATCAGCGCAGGGCGCAGGGCTTTTTCAAAAGAAGAGGCTTCCTGGTAATTTATAAGGCTAGGCTTGCAGGGTGATTCAAATGCGCCCCGCGACTGTTAACTCAAGAGCTTCCCAGCCGCATGAGCCTGCGTACCTCAGGGCGGTGTTCTGGGGCTAGCTGCTATTTTCTCTAGATGACTCTGGGTACATTGCCGGGTCACGTAAAAGAGTTCATCGCGTGCGCCGACGACGAAGTGTAAGGCACAGAACAGGGACCCAGATGACTGGCCCCGAACCATGGAAGCAAGCCGATGCCCTGAACCCCAACTCCCAAACCCTGGACATAGAGGAGGGCCTTTATTCCCTTTTTTAGGGCTGAGGTTCCCTTCGAAGCCCCCTTTGAACCAAGGTAAATTATACTTCTGGGTCAGGTAGGAATGCTTGGCGCTCCAAAACCCGATCTCAGGTGCGCCCAGTGCAACAGCACCACGCACGCGCGAGCCGACCGGAGTGTTCTGCAGTGCGCTAAGTGCCCGAACTCGCGCCTTGAGGCAGGGAAGCTTTTAACTGCCTTATAAGCTTTAACCCACTAAGAAGCTCAGAACTTAGGGCTTCAAGCCATGCAGCTTTAAGCTTATACGGCTTTCTCGTAGTATAGGTATATTATATGACCCCAATTCGGGGGTTCATTTGGTCCCCCAAAATACTACCAGCAGCCACATCCTGTGGGATGGCAGCTTGTGAGATGCGTTTTGCAGGTTTCATTCCAGGTGCTGTTCTATGCCGCAACAGACACGTCGCTCTTTGCCTGCGCTGCCTTGAGCGTGCTGAACGTGCCCCAGTCTTCACATACAGAAGTTGTTGTTCAAGCGGTTCGGTTTTAACTGTTTGAGCATCTTACAGGCTACTACTTGCTGGAGAACCCCTGCCCCCCACCCCCCAAAAAAGAAGAACCCCTGCTTTTGCCTGAGAAGGAGAACATGTTTTTGGGAGGGAGGTTCTTAAGGACATAGTAGCGAATGGAGCCTTAGCAGGCTGTAGATTTTCTGAAAAAAAGCAAGCACGGGCCCAGGCGGGGTCCAAAAAGACCAACAGCGGAGTTTTGCTCAACCAGCTGATGGCCTTCACCGCCGTCTCGGGCAGCATCATGCCGCCCGGAGGGAAGCGAACACACCGAGACTGGCTTTCAAGAAATTGAGTCTGCCCGTGAGGTCCCGACTGTCATCATGAAAGACTATCCATGCCAGATTTTCCACAGCTAGATTCTCCACAGCCACGTTCATCATTAGATAGCGTAATGGACAATGCCAAGCTGCAAAAAGGTAGCCAGTAGCAACGACGCAAGTGCGACAGATACTCGACTTGCACACTGCATTTGGGCGTCTTGGCACTTGATTTCAACCGCAAGCACAGGGCCCTCTGCGTGAGGCCCATGGGCTGGCCCTCATTGCCGCAGGGCTTCTCTGCCCCCCTCTTCCTCCAGCACGCAACCTCACGATTTCTATTATGCACCCAAGAGAAGCCACTACGTAAATTAAGACCTGAAGAAGTGAGGTCCGGCATGATGCAGAGCCAGTCTTTCAGGCAGCTGCAAAATGAGACCAAGACTTGGCTGCGCGGCTAAAAACGGTCACTACAGTCGACAGCTGTACTGTATAGCTATACGATACTTAGCACAAGAATACGACTGCTTATTTCTATACACTGCTACACCACACACTTGTACGCCACAGGGTACCTCAGCCCTTACCCTGCACTACCCAACCCAAGGCCGAAACGCCTGAACCCGACATCCTAAACCCTAAACCCCAAACCCCAAACCCTAAACCCCAAACCCCAAACCCCAAACCCTAAACCCCAAACCCTAAACCCCAAACCCTAAACCCTAAACCCTGAACGTAGTGATGCGTGTTTTTCGATCCAAGGCTTCATGGCCTGGGCTTGGCGGTGGACGCCGTGCAGGGCCAGCATCTGGGGCAGGGATGTTTTTGGGGTTTGGGGTTAAGGGCTCAAGGGGTTAAGGGCTCAAGGGCTTAAGGGGTTAAGGGTAAGGGGTTAAGGGGTTAAGGGCTTAAGGGGTTAAGGGCTTAAGGGGTTAAGGGCTTAAGGGCTTAAGGGCTTAAGGGCTTAAGGGCTTAAGGGGTTAAGGGGTTAAGGGGTTAAACGAGTTTTTTTTTTTTTTTTTTTGGGGGGGGGGGGGGGGGGGCGGGGGGTAGTGTAGGTCAAAAGTGGGAGGGCTCTCCAAGGAGCAGCACCAGCGACATGTCCTTGGAGTGCCTGTTGCACTACTTCGGCTTCGAGCAGTCCCTGTTCAACGCGCACTGTCTGTCATCGATCATGCCTCTGATCCTGATCGCTCCTTCGACAGACTTGAGTTTTGAGGGGACACTTGGAAGCTCTTCTGCCTTCGCAAGTCTACTCAGTGAGGAGGGGGAGGGGCTTCGGCATTGGCAATTGGGAAGATCGGAGTCACCTGTGACCGAATCTCAATATCTTTTTCCCTTTCCCCCGCTCTCCTCCTCTCACTCTCTCTCTCTCTCTCTCTCGCTCGCTCGCTCTCTCTCTCTCTCTCTGTCTCTCTCTCTCTCTCTCTCTCTCTGTCTCTCTCTCTCTCTCTCTCCTTCTCTCTCTGTCTCTCTCTCTCTCTCTCTCTCTTTTCTCTTTCTCTTTTCTCTGTAGGGTTTAGGGTTTAGGGTGTAGAGCTCTCTATCTCTCTTTCTCCCTCTCTCTCTGCGACTGTAGGCGTTGCTGTCTGTGGCCAAGAACCCCTGGCTGGCCATGGTGGTCGGCACCAACGTGTTCCTTCCGGGCTTTGTCGCTTTTTTCGGCAAGTATCTCGTCATGCTCAGGCTGCGGCCAGAGACGGATTCAGTTGGAGCAGCTCATCTGCATCACGGCAATTAGGTGCAACCTCACAGAACAGAATTTGGCGCGCATGCGCGCGCGCGAAAGCCTAGCATGACATTTGAGCTGAGGAGGCTCGCTTCGCGTACCTGCCGCAATTTGGCTTCCTGCCCGCCTTCTTCCCGGCGGACCTCTGCGCCATCACCGCCATCCTGATTGCAATCTTGGTCTGCAGTGCAGCAGGCGTCAGCGGCTGGCTCTACACAGCATCTCGGCTGTCTCTGCATCCCCCACGTTCCCACGACTTTCTGATCAAGGCTCGAACCCTTTTTTGGATTTAGGGTTTAGGGTTCAGGGCAAGTGTCGAGACTAAGGTGTTTCGGCATCACGATTCGCCACCCGCGCATGTGAAGTACCTGACCATGGCATACAAGCCCGAGTTCTCCTACTGGGAGGCGCCGCCTATAGCTTGTGATGTTAGACACCGTGAGGTCATTTCTCAAAATTATGGTCCCAGTTTGGGTACCCTAAAAATATTAGAGGCCGCCTTACAAAACGAAGCCCCGAGTTAGGAGAAGTGACCTTGGGCGTAAGTCTCGTGATAGCCGTGCGCGACCTTTCAGTGCAACAGGCACTGCACCAAGCCTTCCACGGAGCCATAACGCATGCCCCATGGCGAGGTAGAACGGCTGGTTCGCAAGACGCTGCTTCTGCTCGCGAAGTTCACACTCCCCATCATGGTGTCACCTGCCGCTCGTCTGGCGTATTGCGGTGTGCCCTAAACCCTAAACCCTAAACCCTAAACCCTAAACCCTAAACCCTAAACCCTAAACCCTAAACCCTCACTCCCGAGGCCCTACAGATGCAGACCATTGCCAGCATCTTGATGCTGTCAGTTGCTCTCTACGTCGTGTGCCGCCCTTATGAGGATCCTCGTCAGAGTTGATTCGGCGTCCTTCTCGATACCATCACTTACTCTTCGAATTCTGACTCTTCATTCTGATTATACATGGTGTACGTTGAACGCATTCTCCACATTCGTTCATCATCCAGTTTGCTCTTCATGATGATGGCGGTTCGCTTTCCTGGGCTCCTCACCTTTTGTTTCATCTGGCTTCATGTGTCGTTTTGACCTTTCTCATTAGTAGCCACCAGCATCTTGGCACCATTTCTCCGCGCAACACTCCCGGTAGTCACACAGGTTCGAAGCTTCGTACTTTGTTGCATTGTTCTTCTAGGTAGCTCATCCTACATGGGCTTAGGGTTTAGGGGTTAGAGTTTAGGGTTTAGCAAAGGGTTCGGCAGCTTTTCGGGGATCATTTTCAGTCCTTGCGTTGCTCGCAGATTGGTGCATGGAACTGGGCCGAATCCGGTCTGCTGCTCGTGGGCCTGTTCATGACCAACCTGACCACGTGCCTGCGCAGATGTTGGGACCATGTTTGTTGCAATTTGCACCTGGCTTTCAGCCAGCTGTCTCGGGTTTTGGGTTTTGGGTCTTGGGTTTTGGGTTTAGGGTCTCCTGACACATTGGCGTCCCGTTTCCATGGAGCCCAGGCACTACACCTTCAGAGTATACTCCCTAAGGCTGCGTTCCCACAAAGCCCCACTTCACCTCCACAAAGGTGCTTACTGGCCAACGACTTGCACTGGGCACGCTCCCAGGGAACACAGGTGGGGGTTTCCGAAATGCGGGGCACCTTATTGGGGTCCTTATTATCAGTGAATCCTACTATTTGCAGGGGTCTATTATAAAAGGTCCCTAAACCCTGCACCCTAAACCCTAAACCCTAAACCCTAAACCCTAAACCCTAAACCCTAAACCCTAAACCCTAAACCCTAAACCCTAAACCGCGAAGCCCCGAAGCCCCAAAGCAGCGAAACCCTCATTTTTGTCAACTGCCAGGTGGCTCTCATCTTTCTGATCTGCTCCTTGGCCGGCGAGCCGTGGCAGCAGAAGAGGGCTTAGGGTCAAGGGTTTAGGGTTTAGGGTTTAGGGTTTGGGGTTTAGGGTTTGGGGTTTACGGTTTGGGGTTTGGGGTTTGGGGTTTAGGGTTTAGGGGATTTAGCGTGCTGGGCCAGGGCCGTGGGAATTTTCGGCACCCTTTGCAGGTTTCGGGTTGCCGGGATGTGCATGGAGTAATCGAGTAGACTGGATTCAAGCCCTAAACCCTAAACCCTAAACCCTAAACCCTAAACCCCCAAATGTTTAATTTGGGTTGCATGCATCCAGTGTGGAGTCCCTGCGAAGCTTTGCCATCGACTGTGGCGGTCTCTCTGCCCTCTGTAGAAGAAAGGTTCCACAAGGAACAGGGTTCCTAAACTAAACCCTTAACCCTTAACCCTAAACCCTAAACCCTGAGGTTTAGGTCTAGGATGATGTTGAGGTTCTCTAGCCCCAAACCTTGTGCCGAGGCGTCACCAAAGTCAAACCCTAAATGCCGGGTCTCCACCTTGAACATCGTACTTGGAAGCCCTTTTGACTGAGGGTTCCGGGTTCAGGGTTTAGGGTTTCGGTTTAGTAATGTAGGTTCTGGAAGTTATAATTGCGTTTCTAGGAGACACTAAGTAAACTTGCTACTTCCAAGAAGGTTTCAGAGGCTTCGAGGTTTACGGGTTTACGGTTCAGGGCTTAGGGTTGAGGGTCGAGGGTTTCGGGTTTACACAGGGTTTATCGGGTCTAATTATCGGGTTTATGGTGTAAAGGGTTTAGGGATTCGGGTACACAGCCCCAGATGCCTCTCTAGGGGATCTCGATCGGAATGGCTGTCCTCATCGCCTTTGCCCTTCTCAGCGAGCGGCAGGAAAGACAGGCTGGGCAGGCCTTCTTAAATAAACTTTTGGGGGCCTTTTGAGACTCTTAGCTTAGGCTTTTGGGGCCAGGGGCCTTCTTATATAAGCTTTTCGGGGCCTTTTGAGCCTAAAGGCTTGTCGTTTTCCTCTTCAGAGTTGCAGTTGGCTTGCAGTTGCACGGCTAAAAGCGGCTTAGTGGCCAAGGAAGTAGAAAGCTCCCTCAATTCAAGACTCGATAACCGGGCTTAGGGTTGAGGGTTTAGGGTTGAGGGTTCAGGGTTCAGGGTTTAGGGTTGAGGGTGTAGGGTTTAGGGTTTCGGGTCTAGGGCAGCTTGCAAGCCCTTTGAGGTTCCAAAACAGCACCCAAAAGGCCATAGTTTTTTGTTTATATTAACCCAAAGTCCTTTATAGGGATTCGAGTCCCCCTATTGTCCCGATTCAGGAGTGTTCGTATAAGGGTCATCCTAGTAAGTAACCTAAACTTGGGACTTTTTACTAACCGTCCTTAGGAGGGGTGATAAAAAGGGTGGTACTAGAATCACGATTATCCCCTTTTTACTAACCGACCTTAGTAGGGGGTGATAAAAAGGCGGGGTACTGGAATCACGATTAAGGACTGTCATTATAATAATTCCTAGGTAGGAGAAGGGGGACCCTGAAAAGGGAGCCCCTTCTGAACCCTCTTCTGTAAACCCTAAACCCTAAACCCTAAACCCTAAACCCTAAACCCTAAACCCTAAACCCTAAACCCTAAACCCTAAACCCTAAACCCTAAACCCTAATCCTATCCCCTATATAACGGGGGAATATCCCAACATGCCAACGTCGGAGGCTGCAAAGAAGCAGAAGCAGCCCGAGGTTGCCAGCGGCGACCCGGGCGCCGCCCGGCACAAGGGGTTTAGGGTTTAGGGTTTAGGGTTTAGGGTTTAGGGTTTACAGTTTACAGTTTACAGTTTACAGTTTACAGTTTACAGTTTAGGGTTTACAGTTTAGGGGTTTAGGGTTTAGGGTTTAGGGTTTATGGGGCGGCTTTTCACTGCGGGCTCTCTGCCTTAGAACGGAAGAAAGGCATTCAACGCCACCCAGAGACCCCCAGCATCCCTTGATTAGGGAAGATTTGGGGTGTAGGGGGGGTACCAGAACCACAGTTACCCTACTTATAACCCTAGTTACGTACTTGGACCCGGCTACCCTCGTTACAGTCCGGAGCTCTGGAAGGCGTTCTCTAGAGTTGCTGCTGAAGCCTTCCTTCCTGTACATAATGCATCGTTTGGCCGATTACAAGACGAGAGTTGCGGCGTATGGTGTTGCCATCTTGTTTTCATATTTGTTTAAGAACCACCCGAAGAAAAAATGTTTTCCTTACACGGACAATAATTCTAGGGACCATGATCTTTTGGGTTTTTTGGCGGGTTCTGAAGGAAAAAAAAGTAGTTTGCTCTAAACAAACCCTCCTTATGTGAGGGAGGGGTCCTGAGAACTGCAGGGCGCTGTCGAGCCCTATAGGGTGTTTTATGTAGAAGTATACTATCTACATGTAAAATACCTCCTCACACAGTAGTGCAGTTGTTATTGTTGCTTTTTGTTGGGGGGGCGGACGGGTCGGGGGGGGGCGGGGGGGGCGGGGGGTGGGGGCGGTTAGGGTTGCGGGTTGCGGGTTGGCAGGGTTCAAACAGGGTTATACACATGTCTTGTATTGTTCCGGCACTGTACGGTTCAAAGCTTTACGGAGCCTTTCGAGCGCCTTCCATCACTCAACGATTCGAGGCCCCAGATTGCCAACCCCGACACCAAGCTGAGGACAAGCAGCTCAAGCCCAGCGAGGCCGGGTGTTGGGGGTGTTGAGGGTTTACACGGTTTTTTTTTTTTTTTTGGGGGGGGGGTGGGGGGGGCGGGGGTTGAGGGCTTAGGGTTTGTGGTAAAGGGTTTGAAGGGTTTAAAGGGTTTCAATGCTTAGGGTGTTTGAGCATTAGAATTTCAACATGCGGCAATGGCTCCATGTTTGTCAGCACCTCGCACTGTTGTCATTGCACTTCCCGGCAGGACATGCTGCTACACATGTGGCCTATTTCTTCATTTTTTTCATTTTTCGTTTTTCGTCTCGTCGAACCTCAGAATGGCCTCACCAGTTGTCGGGGCCATTCTGCGTCAAACCGTTTTCGCACTCGCGAAGCACTCTCGCTGAAGCCGCGCTCTGAAATGTCGTGGCTTTCAGGGCTTCGATCATGTCAATCAAAGCCACTCTCTCCAGAACATCTCCACTACCCTAGGGTTTCGTGTCCATCATTTTTGGAGGCTTTCGACTCTTTATGGTTTTGTGGGTGTTGGTCTCAACGCAAATTTACAGGGAACTGCGCAGCTGCTAAGCCAAGACCCAGTTGCAAATGAGGCCGCGAATGGTAGTCCCCAAGGTCAAAACCCAAGCACATCCGCGTAACCACCCTGTGCACCGAAATCCGGGGGCCTCTGCTTGCGTTACCAATGATGAGGTGAGGTCTTTGTCAACCGCAGTCCCTTTTCAGAGCAAGAAGCAATTTAAAATTCCACGATAAAACCTTCGATGTGGCCTTTAAATCGTACCGGCACCCATGCACACACAATTCCGCACCGAACCTCAGGCCCCCAGACGGCCCAGAGCATCCAGCAAAAAGCCCCCCCAACAGCCCACATTCTACAGCTCGGCACTTGCACGAAGCCAGGACACGAGCTGAGCTCCGCACTCTGCTCTGACAGCGCCTCTTCACTGGAAAAATCTCCGCCTGCAACTGGGATTCAGGGCCTCAGGCCTCGGCGATGGGCTGCTAATTTGTTAAACCCCCCCCCAAAAAAACAAAAGACAATAGTCCCTATATCACCCTTCCCAGGAAGAATAGTTTCACTTGTTCTTGTTTTTTTTTTTTTGGGGGGGGGGGGGGGGAATTCTTAAACGCATACCAGTTGGGTCTGGTAGCATTAGGACTAGCAGGGCGATACCTTTTTGAATTCCGTTCTGGATGATGGGGGCTTACGAAAATAGGGGACCCGAACATGGATCCCCTAATAAGAAGAAAGAACCCCACTAAAGCACCCCTAGTTTCGGAAACCCCCTTAGTGTTTCGTCCACAGTGACAGCACACAAGGGATGCCAAGCACAAGTACCACAACTACTGAGGATCTCGTCGCTGGGCTGTAACAGAAGGGAAGGGAGACGTTCTTCACAAAACCTAAGTAGGGATGAGAGTTGTATAGGGTAGTATCTGATCCCCAACTTAGGTTCATTTCGTTCACAAGGTTCCTCCCACTTCAAAGAAAGCGCCGGTCAACGCTTATCGGGTGCTCACCACTTGCAAGCCGAAGGTTCCTAGGCCCTAACATGGACAGAATCTCCTGGTTCTTGATAGGGAACATATATATATACATGAGGGAATGAGGCACCTTATATCCACCTCTATATCCCCTTTGAGGGATTATAGAGGGTACCTCTTTCTGCTAAGAACCAGTGAGAGAGTCTCTTGCCGGAGGGAAAGCTTCTGGGGCTTGGGGTTTAGGATGACTTGTGCCGCAGCTTTTCAGCTTCAGCGCTGGCCCTTTGAAGCCCTTGAGGCCTGCACCACACCTGTCCGAGCTTTCCTTGGCAAACCCCCTTTATTCCAAGGTGCTTCAACAACTGGAGGGTCCCCTATTCTTTGTCATAGTCTATAGTGGGGTGAGTTTTTTCATGTTTAAGGGTACTTAGCCTCAATAAGGAATAGACATTTATGTTTTTAATCCTATCGAACCGTTTGCAGCTTCGGGTTTAGGGTTTAGGGTTTAGGAGGGGTCTCCACTCACAATGATGCTATGCCCCCAACACCGCTACCCTAGACATGGGAACACGCCCCTCTTGGGAGCCTGTCCCTGGACCCTTAAACCCTTAAACCCTTAAACCCTTAAACCCCTAAACCCTTAAACCCTTAAGCCCCTAAACCCTAACTTCTTTTCTCCCACTGCGACATGCAAAGCCTCTCCGAGGTTCGGGCGGTTCGGGTCCCTCAGAGACGGAACTCCACAGTTTAGTGTTTAGTGTTTAGGGTCTAGGGTCTAGGGTTTAGGGTTTAGGGCTTATTGCTTAGGGCTTAGGGTTTCGGAAGGTTTCGTGAGGAGGTTTTGCAAAGGTTGGGACCAGCCCGGCCCTAGACATGTTCTTAGATGATGCCCCATGTACGTGGAGGTTCATGCTCAAAAATCCGACTATCATGGGTGTCCCTACTACCCCCGCCCCCCCCCATACTGCCCCCCCCCTAGAAATATCCTTAAATGGGCTGAATTATCCCTAAAGAGGCTTAATTGTGAGGGGGGGACCTGAGGGGAGTAGTATAGAGGGGTAGTAGGGGAACCCATGAGACTGTAAGTGTAGCTATCACCCACTTATGGGCACCTTAAGTACCGTTATCATTGCGTTTTAACCCTAAACCCGAAACCCTAAACCCTATAAGTACAGTTATAATTGGGTTTCTAAACGCCATGAACGAACCTCCAAGTAGGGTTAGGTTCTCTGTGTGTTCTTTTTTGAGCCGGGCCCAGACAGTTTTAGGGTTTAGGGTTTAGGGTGTAGGGTTCAGGGAGCTCAAGAGCCTCACGGACGTCGGAGATGTCGGGCCCACTTAGTTTTGAGTTTTGCTGCCCAACGGCTTGGCATGTCAAACCCAGAAATACCGCTTGGCGGAATCGTACGATTCTGCTGGGCCCAGTACGAAAACCAGATCATCAAGGCAGATATCTGCAGCAAGAAGGGGTTTAGGGTTTAGGGTTTAGGTGTTCAGAGAGTGCGAAGAAGGTACAGCCGCTACTCCATCCGGTGACGCTGTTGCCTTGTCCTTGAAGCCCCTTAGAGCTTCATTTACCGCCCTTGCAGGACCGCTACGCTCCGTGACCGGAGGATGTTGGCGTTTTCGCGACGATGCACCCTGGCTGCCTGTACACGAAGTTTGGCTTTCCCAAGTTCGCACCTGCTCAACGTTCGACGCCGCCTGCCCGGAGAATCATTCTGGCTCAGAGCAAGGTGATCTAGGATTGGGAAGTTTTTCCTTTGTCGTGGCGCCATGCCGAGCGAGTATACGCCGGAGGTAGTGCAGTCATTGAAGAACACGCGGATGTGCAAGTTTGTTGAGTCTGGACACTGTCGCCGCGGGCAGGCCTGCAACTTTGCTCACTCCAAAGAAGAGACTTCCTTCGATAGCAGCTGTTATATTCTTATGGGTTTCCTGATACTTTTAATGGGTTTCCTGATATTTTTTATGGGTTTCCTGATTTTTTTTATGTAGGAAGAAGCAAAAGTTCAACCCTTTTTTCTTCCTTGGCTACTGGAGAAGTAAGGACCTACGCCCTCAGCCCAACTTGGTCAGCACCCGGCTTTGTGCCCAGTTCAGTGCAGGTGGCTGCCGCTATGGCAGGCGGTGCAGGTTCGCCCATGGACAGGTGGCTCGGTAGGTTTTTGGGATGTGTTGATATTCCCCTAAACCCGAAAACCCTAAAGCCCTAAAGCCCAAAACCCCAAATCCTAAACTCTAAGCCCATTATTGGGTTTAAGAGGATTCTTCAGAGTTGTGTATGGGCCAGCCTAGGCGGAGCTACGTCAGATCCCTCTTCCGGAAGAAGGAAGACCGGGCAGGAGCTCCACCGCGCGCAGTGGGGGTCCGCAGTATGCGGATCTGCTTCTTCCAGTCACCGCTCCCGGTTATGCAGCTGTAGCACCAGGAGGGGCATTTCAGGAGTCGCCTTCCCACATCCAAGCAATTTTAAGGCAGTACCCCATGCCTTGCCCAAGTGCTTCCGCCAAGGGAGCCTACCCTGATTCGCCTCAGGGCACTTGGGGGCAAGCAGGGAGAGGCATGGCCTTACGAGGGCTGTCAGATCCAGAGGTTCAGGCCTCATGGGAAGTGCAGACCTCGTTGCCGTGTTCGACTCTGGCGAGCCGGACGAACACGAACCAAACGGACGCGGAGTTCAATCGAGAGTCAACCTCATTCTGGCTCTAAACCCCGCTCCAGGCCCGCCATGTCCGATGTGGCCAAGGGTACTTCTGATGTGGGGCAGGGTGCTGACGCTGAGAAACCAGCGTCCTCATCTACATGCGCTGTGCATCCGCAAGAAAGTGATGTCAGGTGATGTCAGGTGATGGCTGCTCCTCAGGGTTCTTCCAGCCGAGTAACGGACAATCTCCGAAAACCACGGCTCCTCTAAACCCAATCCTCCAGAAGCCCTAAACTTAAAAAAAAGAAAAAACCCTAAACCCCTAAACCCCTAAACCCTCCAATGCTGGCTTGCTCAGTCCAGTTGTAATAAAGACTCGGCTGGTAGATCCTTTTGCTTTATGAGCCGAAGGCTTGAACCGGCAGCTTGGCTGCCTCAAATCACATTTATATATGATAAAACATATACATATATACACACATATGTCTATACATATATATATATATATATATTGTATATATATATATATATAGATTGTATATTCTATGGGGTTGTTGTTGTTGTGGTTTATTTTATGAGATTCGGATGTGGTCTCTTGCTCTTGCCTGGCCTTTATGAGCCGAAGGCTGAACCGGCAAACTCCTCTACTCAAGGGTTCAGGGTTTAGGGCGTTTAGGGTTTAGGGTTGGGACGGCTTAAACCACCAGAGCTGGTGTTAAGAATCCTGGAGCCGGATCTTTTGCGAGGTTCAGCCTGATGACTAGATTCTCCTGCTTTGCAGGCCTCAGTTTTCTCTGTCCCGAGTGGCTTTGGGCTCGAATCTTGACAGCACCGAGCCTATTTTCGCGCCTGGGGTGTGGAGCCATGCAACTTTATAAGTCAGTTCGGGGTGATCGCCCCCGGTGAGGTTTGCCTGGACTTTCGGGGCGGGTAGATGAGATGATTGGGCGCAGCTCGTCCACAAACTTCACGCTGCGATGCATATGCTTTATGATGCTTTGGAGATGCGAGCTCCCGCATATGTTTTTGTACAAAACCACAACTATCTGGTAGCCCATTGGTGCCCTTCTCCCTTTTTCAGGTTCAAGGTGCCCTTGTAGAGTAACCAACCCAAAACAAGGTTGCCCTTAGCACAATATGGTTGCTGTGCTACCAAAAGTGGCGTGCGGTGGCGGCACTCGAAGCCCCCGAGCAGAAAGTGCACGGCCTTTTTCTTCTGTGCACCGCGCGCTGCGTCTTTAACCACAGGAGATCTCTCGCCCAAAAGTGCGAGTGGTCACGACGTTCAGTAGTTGGGATGTTCCCCCTTGTTAAACAGTCCTTCTAATAGGGATTCTAGTACACTCCCTGTTATCATCCACCTATATAACCCCTACACAACCCCTTTGAAAGTCCATATGCAGTCCCTATATACCTAAGGAGGACTGTCAGAAGCTCCCAGTTCAGCAGCCTAACAGGCTGGCCTTCGACGTCTGGGTTTGGAACGTGCTGGGATGCGGCCCTGTTGGCTGCATCCTTGTGCTTCGAAGCAAGAGTGCTTAGTAGCTGAGTTAGCACACTTTGCGCATGTTGGGATACTATCATCTCCTCTCGAACTGAAAGCGTAGACTTCTTTGGGGGGGCTTATGAACTCAGCAACTACGATTGCAGGATCGGGCAATCTGGCTGTCAAGACCCACCTTTCCTAGAAGCTTAAGGGGTAGAAGGAGGCAGCCACAGAAGGGACCCTCTACTCTTCTTCCACCTATATAACCAAACCCTAAACCCTAAACCCTAAACCCTAAACCCTAAACCCCTCTACAACCCCAGAGTCCCAGATGCAGTCCCTAGAAACCTAAGGCAGCCCCTAAAGAACCCCAACAGAAGCCCTTAAGGTCCCTCATAAGGAGCGTGGCGATGAGCGCTAAACCCTAATCCCTAAACCCTAAACCCTAAACCCTAAACCCTAAACCCTAAACCCTAAACCCTAAACCCTAAACCAAGAGTTGTGCATTGTGCAAGTGCCACTTTGTTATTGGGCCGACGCCTGGCTCCTGCTCGTTTTTTGCACCAGTTTCACCTCAGCTTGCATTGAAGTGCCGCTCTACGCCACATTTTGGCGTTCTCCATTCTATGTGAATAACGAAGTCTATCGTTTCAAAGGACACGCCCTAGGACATGGAGCAGGCGCGACAATGATCTGCTGCATTTATACACTTTCCAGACGCGCCCTGCGCGAATCTGACGCCAAACCCCTGAACCCTGTGCCTAAGCCCCATACACCGCACCCTATACACCCCATAAACCCTAAACCCTGAACCCTGAACCCTGAACCCCCCAACTGACGATCTCGGATTTAGAATTTGGCAGCGCTTGGGCTGTCGACTGAGGCTTCCCAGTCCGGCCCAACCGACTCAAAGACTGTACAGGGCTTTCCTCCCAACGATGGGAGGGAAGCAATTTAGGGTTTAGGGTTTAGGGTTTAGGGTTTAGGGTTTAGGGTTTAGGGTTTAGGGTTTAGGGTTTTAAGGGCTTGGGCATTTTTTAGGGTGTGCAGAGTGTAGGGGGGCTTAGGGTAGCTCATTGTAAGTTGCACGGAGCTTGAGGCTAGCTGGAAGCAGAGAGAACGAAAATGGAAAACACGCAGAGAGCTGCCATGGAAACTTCAGAAAATCTTGCTGTAGGGTTTAGGGTTTAGGGTCTAGGGTTTAGGGTTTAGGGTTTAAAGTTTAAAGTTTCGGGTTTAGGGTTTAATTAGGGTTTAGGGTTAAGGTAGGACCCGGAGTCGGTACACAGAGGGCCCAGTAAGTCCCTTCGAGTTGGAGTAGCGAAATATTGCGACAAAGCCCGCCACTTGCTCATTCTAAGGCAGTCTGCAAGCCTCTCCGCAACAGGTCCGCGCAGGCATGGGGAGGTTTGGAGAGTTGCGTACCCGAAGGGTTTAGGGTTTAGGGTTTAGGGTTCAGGGTTCAGGGTTTAGGGTTTAGGCTTTAGGGCTTAGGGTTTAGGGTTTAGGGTTTTGTCCAAGAAGGGAGAGCACCTGCAGCGTGAAGAACGTCCAATTTCATGTTTCGACTTCAGTTTTCTTTCAGACCGACTCGCAAGGGTTTAGGGATTAGGGGTTTAGGGGTTTAGGGGTTTAGGGCTTAAGGCTTCGGGTTTAGGGCTTAGGGTAAGAGCCCAGGAACTCCCTTCAACTCCCAGGAAGCCCCCGGACACTTGTCTGTAATTCAGGCAGCAAGCAGAAGCAATCAAAACCCGAGATTCGCACCTCTAAGCCCTAAGCCCTAAGCCCTAAACCCTAAATCCTAAATCCTAAACCCTAAACCCTAAACCCTAAACCCGAAGAGCGCCCGGATGTCTTGTGCACTGATGCCAGGTTTGTCCTGCAGTCTGGCCTGCGCGGCCCGAGTTTCCCGGATGGATCCTTTCAGTGTGAGCTCTTGAGGCCCTCTGAGCTTTTTGGGTTTAGGGTTTAGGGTTTAGGGTTTAGGGTTTAGGGTTTAGGGTTTAGGGTTTAGGGTTTAGGGTTTAGGGTTTAGGGTTTAGGGTTTAGGGTTTCAGTGTGAGGGTTTTAGGGTTTTAGGGTTTAGGATTGAGGGTTCAGGGCGTAGGGTTTAGGGCTTGGCGTTCCTTTAAGGAATTTTCCTTAATCTGGGTACGTCCCTGCAAGGGTGTTTGGACCCCCAAAACCATTGTGCATGTCAAGGATACCCGAAACCCCTGAACTCGAAACCCTAAACTCTAAACTCTAAACCCCAAACCCTAAACCCTTGCGGTTTAGGGTTTAGGGTTTGGGGTTTCTGGGTTTTAGGTTTTGTGGTCGTTCTTCGCCAATACTTGAACTCAACATGAAACTTTTTGGCTTTCTTTTTGTAGCGGGAATGATGAGTGTAGCCTTGTTTTCCCTTGGTTATTGGAGAGGTAAGAGTTGGTGCTGTCCCAAATACATACAGACTTAGAGTTTGTTGAAGGAAACGGTGCTGTCCCCCTCAAAAGAAACAAAAGGCTAATTTAGCTCGTTATCCTCTCCGAGTGTATAGGGGGCCACTAGAAGCAACTCAACCCTAAACCCTAAACCCGGATGGCCAGGGAATAGGGAGAATCCCGGCGGGTTTTGGGTTTTTTTTTTTGGGGGGGGAAAGGGGGGGGGGGAAGGGGGGGGGGAAGGGGGGGGGGGGAAGGGGGGGGGGGGAAGGGGGGGGGGGGGGGGGGGGTTTAGAGGGTTTGGGGCTTATAGGGCTGAACTATCGTCAGGATAAAGGGTTTAGGGGGTTTGGGGAGTAGAGTTTCGGGTTTAAAAGTCTTTGGAGTACGAGATGTGTCGGCAGAAAGGCGTCCCCCTCTCCTCCCTCGTTGCTGTCACACCCGAGGTCACACCTGAGGATGATTCTTGGACATGATCACCACCGCCAAGGAAAGCCTTCAAGGTTTTAGGGTTTTAGGGTTTTAGGGTTTTAGGGTTTTAGGGTTTTAGGGTTTTAGGGTTTGAGGGTTTTAGGGTTTTAGGGTTTGAGGGTTTGAGGGTTTGAGGGTTTTTGGGTTTTAGGGTTTTAGGGTTTTAGGGTTTTAGGGTTTTAGGGTTTTAGGGTTTGAGGGTTTTAGGGTTTTAGGGTTTTAGGGTTTTAGGGTTTCAGGGTTTTAGGGTTTAGGGTACCGAAATCCCAAAACCCTGAACCCCATGTTTCGACCGGCTTTCAAAAAGTGCTGTGCTTCTTCTGCTGCACCTTCGAGCCTTGTGTGAGCGTGGGCTTTGAATCTTGACAGGGTACGTATGGGTACTGCCCCAAACAAGCAGGGAACCTCCATAAACAACACCTCCATTTTCGGAAGCCCCCATATGAACGCAGTCTTATTTCTGCCTCATCTCACTCCGAACGTCGGCTCTTGAACGTCGATCTGAATTCTGGCGAAATGCCAACATCGGAGCCTGTAAGAGCTTGTGGTTTTCTCTTCAGCTGAGCTTCCCAAAGGGCACAAGGCTCAAGGTAATCCCCGCTCTTGAGAGAGAGCACGCCACCTGCTATATAAATCTGCGCACTGATGGAGCTACCGAAGCTGCCCTCGGCTTGGACCCCCTCTCTACCGACGGTAGAGACGACGCCGACCAGCTTTGGTCGTCAGGTGAGTACCGGCAAGAGGCCGCAGGTGCGCGTTGGCGGAAGCTTTCTCCACAACTCAGCGGAGGGGACCGGGCCTGTCTCTTGCAAAAGCCGGTTCGAGGCTGTCATGACGAGCATGTACTTGGCGAACTTCATGGCAGTGGTGGTGCTCGTGGATGCCATTAGCACTTGTGCAGACATTGATGCTACTGCAGCCGATGAAGCAACACCTCCGATCTTCCAGACGATCTCCGACATGTGCTTAGTTTGCTACACGTGTGAGGCGCTGGGCTTGTTTGGCTTGTATGGCCGTCCGCTCTTCAAAGACTGGATGATGATCCTGGACGTAGTGATTGTCCTGTGTGGCTGGGGTGAGAAGATTCTAGCTTCTGTGAACTTGTTTGGCTTTCGCATCTCAGTGCTCAGGGCGTTGCGATTAGTGAGGATCTTCCGGCTGATGCGCCTCTTGAAACGGATTCGACCCTTGAGGGAGTTGCACAAGCTGGTGATGATGATGGCCACATGCCTCCGAACCCTCATTTGGTCTTTCATGCTTTGCTTCGTCGTGATGACCGTCTGGGCCATGTTGATGGTTGAGCTCCTTGGTAGGCCAGTGGTACCCTTTTTCCTTTTTTTTGTACCAGGTTCCCTTATAAAGTAAGCATCCCAAAAGAGCGGGGCCCTTAGTATCGTTACTGGGCTACCCAGGATCGTACATCCAACCTTGCTGGAAATGTACCAGCAGAACAAGTTCACCGACTGTGATGAGCATTGCTTGAGGTCTATGTCCTCTGTCATGGATGCAAACCTCTTGCTCTTCAAGACGGTCATTGCAGGAGACAGCTGGGGTCAGATTGCGGTTCCAGTCATTCGTGAGCATCCTGCAACAGAAACTCGGTAGGCCCTTGGGACGTGTTATGTGTTCCCTTTATTGGGTTTAAGAGGGCCATCCCTAAACCCTAAACCCTAAACCCTAAACCCTAAACCCTAAACCATATTCAGAAAATATTTTTCCGAGGGTTTTTAGCGGCCATCCGAGGCAATCATCTTTGTGGGATCCTTGCTCACTCTCGTGTTCGGTGTGCTGAACCTGATTGCTGCCCGGCTTCTCTTAATGAAATTACCTTGATTCTGTGGATATCCACCAGGGTTTAGGGTTTAGGGTTTAGGGTTTAGGGTTTAGGGCTTAGGGCTTAGGGCTTAGGGTTTAGGGTGGTAACAAAGGCACAAGATACGAAGCACCCAGACACGCCTGTAGAGACTTGAGGGGAGGCACAGACAGGAACAGCTCTATGGCACGGAATCTGGGGTAGAGAGAACTACATATCAGAAAGACTCTGGCCCCCGGAAGTGTTCTAGGAGACATTTCAAACGCACGTACTCTTTCAATCTCCTAAACCCTAAACCCTAAACCCTAAACCCTAAACCCTTAACCCCAAACCCTAAACCCTAAACCCTGACGACGCTGTTTGCAGCACTTGAGGTCGCTGTCGTCGTTGACACTTTCGCGGAGCCTTCGCTTGAGTTGGGAAGTTGTTTGGGGTTTAGGGTTTAGGGTTTAGGGTTTAGGGTTTAGGGTTTAGGGTTTAGGGTTTAGGATATGGGGACGTGGAGGTATCTCTGATTCTGTAGGGTCTTTGTTTCTGGGTGTTTTGCAGTTGAAGACATTGACTGGAAGCGATAAGGCCGTGGCTCTCATGTTAAACCCTAAACCCTAAGCCCTAAACCCTAAACCCTAAACCCTAAACCCCAAACAACTTGCCTAAAAACCCTACAAACCCTAAAAGCCTTAAAACCCTAAGCGAAAGACCAAGGATGCTAGACTCAACGATGTGCAGAACTTGGCAGAGGAGATGGAGGATGAGATTCTTAGTAGCTGAGTGAGCACACTTTACACTTCTTAGGATATTAGAATCCCCTACAGAACTGAGAAAGTGTACGCTGTTTCGGGGGGGCTTATGAACTCAGCAACTAAGCCTAGAACCCGAAACCCAAAAACCCTAAAACCCTAAGCCCTAAACCGCTTTTTTTGGTTGCTTCCAGTCATAAACCCTAAACCCTAAACCCTAAACCCTAAGGATTGAGCACGACCGCAAAGCTTTGGCAAAGCTGTTTGCCAGAATCGACGAAGATGGAAGCGGCCAGCTAACTCTGACTGAGATGATCGAGGGTGCACGCCGAGATCCAGGAAGGTTTAGGGTTTAGGGTTTAGATGGGTTTAGGGTTTAAGGTTTAGATGGGTTTAGGGTTTAGGGTTTAGGGTTTAGGGTTTAGGGTTTAGGGTTTAGGGTTTAGGGTTTAGGGTTTAGGGTTTAGGGTTTAGGGTTTAGGGTTTAGGTTTAGGGTGTAGGGGTTAGGGATTAGGGTTTAGGGTTTAGGGTTTAGGGGCTCTTTGTGGAGTAGAGCCCCTCACAAGACATCGGAGCCTGAAGGCACCTGTGTTCAGAGTTTCAGTATCTAGTCACTATCCTACTTAAGAATGTTTTGAATACGCGGCCAAGAAGTTCCGAGATGGGGGACGCCCGTTCACAGGTGTAAAGTCTTGCAATAAGTGCCGCATCAATCGTTGGCAAAGTTTCAGATGTCTTCGCTTCGCGCATTGCTTCCCTCGAATCTTCAGTTCTTCAGTGGAGGCCTTTCATCGATCCACCTTCTTGCTTTTCCCCGACCTTCCAGCAAAAACCATTCAAATCATCCACTCTCCTTTGCACCAACACGCTGTTCAATCCGATTTTCGATTTACGCCTTGAGACACGCGCGGCGCGACTCGCACGGCCAACCTGCCGCGCACGTTTTCTCCTTACATGTGGCTCGCTCTCATCGCTGCCTCGCCCCCCTTCTCTATTGATTGCTTAAAAACCCCCAAAGATGAAAAGAAATATTCTTCCTTGTAAGGGTAACATAGGGATCTGTGTTTTTCTATTCTTTTGGGGTTCTTAAGCAAATAGTAGTTCTCACCCCGGCATCCTTGAGAATAGATTTAGAGTTGTCTACGACCCCAGGGTAGGCCCTTATTCCCATCTTTGAGCGGGTTTTTGATTCCCTTATAAGCCGCCTTAAAGCAAAAAGTGTAACTTTTCTTCGATTCCTAGGATACTCTAGGGCCACCCTAACCCCCAAGCCCTGAACCCTAAACCCTAAACCCTATTTGGCCAGCATTGAAAGCTGCATCTTCCATGTTGGAAAGTACATCTTGAGTCAGTGCCGCTCTCGCTTTCCCAGCCTCTTTCCCTCTGCTACTTCAAACTTGCATACTATATATATATATATATATTTATTTATATTTATTTATTTATTTAGAGAGAGAGAGAGAGAGTCATACATACACACTCTATACAGAAATACACAATCAGTATACATATTACATATACGTATATATATATATATATGCATATGCAAAAATGTGTGTGTGTATATATGTATATGTATGTATACATATTATATGTGTATATATATATATACTACACTAAATCTATTGCAGAGGATTTCAGAGTCGCCTGCGGGTGATGGACATCGACGAGCAAGACCTGGAGCAACTTTTTCAGATGATCGACCGCGATCAGTCTGGTACAATCGAAGTGGCTGAATTCATTGGTCCGCTCAGCAGGTGGGGGGGAGGGGCGGAGGGGAGGGGTGGTCCCCAAATGTTCAGGGTTTAGGGTGCAGGGGTTCCGGGTATTCCCAAGCATGGCCTGCCCCTTATTGCGGTCTCTCTGATTATACTTAATTTGAATACATGTCAACCCTAGACCCTCGCTCCCCCCTAAGTTTCCAAGGTGGGCGCATGATTCCAAAACAGCCCCCCGCTTCATCAAGTACCACATGCTACAGATGCTTGGCAGACCAGGGATACGCTTTCACCCCCCTTCTTTGGTTTTGGGGTTCCCTTACGAACGCCCTGACCCCTAAACCTGAAACCCTAAACCCTAAACCCTAAACCCTAAACCCTAAACCCTAAACCCTAAGCCCTCATGGATGCCACCAAGGACGATGCAAATGCAGGAGGATCTTTGGGACCTGTCAGTGGAATCTAGGATGCCCATTAGTGCCCTTATTCCCTTTTTGGGGGGGTTAGGTTCCCTTATAAACCCCTTTAAGCAAAAACGGGCACCCTTTTTGAGCCTAGGTTACTGGGCAGCCTAGGAATGCTTTGGGCAATTGAACAACCGTATTGAGGAGTTGCCGGCTGCGTGTTGGGATGTTTTCGTGCTTTTCCCTAGTTTGATCTACGAGGCTTATCGTCAGAAATATTCAAACACTACCTAAACCCTGAACCCTAAACGCTAAACCCTAAACCCTTCTTTTTTTCCGGAGGCTTTAGACAACCTTAGGCTGTCCAAGCGATGGTTGGGTCAGGCAGCTGGAGAACACGAGGCCCCCCCAGCAGGAAGGCGATTCTCCCACCACAGCGCCACCAGCACCACGGAGTCGTGCTGCTTGGGAGCCAGGGTTTAGGGTTTGGGGTTCAGGGTTTAGGGTTTAGGGTTTAGGGCTTAGGGTGCCCGATACTTGCAGTCCTTGCACTACAATCCCGATTGATAGGGATTATAAGGGGAATGGGGGGACTAGAATCCCAATTAAGGACTGTTAGTATAAGGGGCAACATCCCTAGCTGCTTGGGAGCCTGCTCGCGGGATGATCATAGGGGGCACTCTAATACCTATCAAGGACTGTTAGTATACGGAGAAACATTCCAACCTTTTCCTCTTTTTTTGTAGTGGGTTCAAGGTTCCCCTGTAAAGTAACCAAGCCCCCTAAAACAAGAGGTGCTCTTATTCTAATGCTTTTTTGGGTTCAAGATTCCCTTACTAAAGTCGCCAACCCCTAAACAGGGGTGCCCTTATGAAGAAGCATGGCTACTGGGAGTCCGAGGCTATGAAACTGCTGGGCACACGGCTGATTCCTCGGTCATGGAGACGAACCACACAATCGAGTTGTCGAGGGTGCACTCCAGGGACTCGCAAGGTATGACCATGGAGACTCTTAGTAGCTGAATGAGTACACTGTACACTTTTTTTTGATGCTCTATTCCCCGCATGAACTGAAAGTGCACAAGACTTCCTTGGGGGGGGGGGGGGGCTTATGAACTCAGCAACTCAGGTCTCGACCCAGTGACGGGAGTCAGATGTCGCGAGTTTCGCCCCAAGACTTCTCCCTCCTTCAAGGCGGGGTGTCGACCTTCCATGGGGTGGATCAGCCTCGCTCCTCGGCGCACGCGGACTTCTTGGCCGCCAAGACCGAAAGCAGGCAAAGACATGAGGAGTCACTCGTCGTGCTGGGCCTCTTGGAGGCAGCCACGGCAAAGTTGGAGTCGAGAATGGAGAGCTTCCTGGCAGAGATTCGTTCTCCAACGCAGGATCACGCGATGGCTCCTGCTGAGGTGACTTGGCCGCTGAGTGACCGTAAAACTTTAAGTCCTAAACCCTTTCTTGGGGAGAGCAGCCGACTAAACCCTAAATCTGCAACACCGCCACCTAACAGGGTGTGCCCTTATCATACTGTGGCAACCAACCCCCGAAACCCTAAACCCGAAACCCCCTAGAACCTAAACCCTAAACCCTCAGTATTCTTCCTCCACCAAGGCGATACTGGCGAAGAAGAAGGTCAAGAAGAAAGGAAACATTCTCCATCCAGAGGCCTTCAGGAGCAGGGAGATGAAGAAAAAGAGAAAGGTTTAGGGTTTAGGGTTTAGGGTATAGGGTTTAGGGTTTAGGGTTCAGTAGGTGAAGACGTAGAGGTTTAATTCGCTTTCTCATTCTTCACATGGTCCAGGAATATGTACATGGATCGTGGGCGCCGGCTCTTCCAGCCGCAAGATGTGACATCAAACTCGCCTCACCACGCTGTGCATGCGCGAAGCCACCATGCAGCCGATGATGCTCCGGCTCCAAGCAATGCAGCAAAGTACAAATCCAAGTCTGATGCCGCTCGCTCAAGAGACAGCGATGACTCTTTCCCACGAATTTAATTTGAAAACTTTGAATGCACTAAATAAATAACGTACGTCTCACCTGTTTCACCTGCATTCGGCAGCTTCCTTTGTCTCTCGGAAACGGAAGAGTGTTGAAGGAAAAGAAGCGACAGAACCCTGCGCTGTGAAGAGATACTTTCATATGGGCATTTGCCAAATTAGGGGTACACCTCTTCTAGCCCAAATAGAATCGAATCCCCTTCGAGGAACCCGAAAAAAGGGTACCCCTATTTTCGAAAAACCCTAAACCCTAAACCCTAAACATGTGGAGTCGTGTCTGTTGCAGGAAAACAAAGAGCGAAGACGCCGCCTTGATGGGATGTAAAGCAAGGTGAGGGGATGGACATCATATAATATGGTACATATATATATATATATATATGCTACCCCCCCCCCAAAGATCTAGGTATTTTCATGATTTAGCGATATCAAGTTGAATACTTGCATGGGCCCGGAGGCGATGTGAAGTTGAAGATTTAACCGCCATTTAAACCTGAACCCTTAACCGTAAAACCCTTTTGGGTTAAGGCTTAAAAGGTTTAGGCCTTAAGATTTAGGCATTTAAACCTAAGCCCATCGAGTGTAAATCTTAGCGTACAGGGCCTAAACACTTAACCTTTAAGCCCTATAGGCTATAGGGCTAAGGTTTAATGGTTTGGGGTTTAAGTTCAATAGCAGGCCCATAGAGTTAAAGCCTTAAGGGGCCTAAACGCTTAACCTTTAGACCCTATAGGCTATAGGGTCAAGGTTGAAGGGTTTTGGTTTTAAAAGTAAGTCTATAGAGTTCAGACCCTAAGGGGCCTAAACGCTTAACCTTTAAACCCTATAGGCTATAGGGTTAAGGCTTAAAGGTTTAGGATTCAAGATTTAGGCATTTAAACCCAAGCCCACCTTAAGGGTTTAGGGTTTTAAACCCTCAGGGCTTAAGAAATACCCTAAGCCTTTGGACCCCCCTTAAGGTTTAAGCTCTATGGGCTTGTGTTTTAATGCCAAAATCTTAAACCCTAAGCCTTTCAACCTTAACCCTATGGCCTATAGGGTTTAAAGGTTGAGCGTTTAGGACCCTTAACCTTAAGGGGCCTAAACGCTTAACCTTTAGACCCTATAGGCTATAGGGTCAAGGTTTAAGGGTTTAGGTTTTAAAAGTAAGCCTATAGAGTTCAGACCCTAAGGGGCCTAAACGCTTAACCTTTAAACCCTATAGGCTATAGGGTTAAGGTTTAAAGGTTTAGGATTCAAGATTTAGGCATTTAAACCCAAGCCCACCTTAAGGGTTTAAGGTTTTAAACCCTCAGGGCTTAAGAAATACCCTAAGCCTTTGGACCCCCCTTAAGGTTTAAGCTCTATGGGCTTGTGTTTTAATGCCAAAATCTTAAACCCTAAGCCTTTCAACCTTAACCCTATGGCCTATAGGGTTTAAAGGTTAAGCGTTTAGGACCCTTAACCTTAAGGGGCCTAAACGCTTAACCTTTAGACCCTATAGGCTATAGGGTCAAGGTTTAAGGGTTTAGGTTTTAAAAGTAAGCCTATAGAGTTCAGACCCTAAGGGGCCTAAACGCTTAACCTTTAAACCCTATAGGCTATAGGGTTAAGGTTTAAAGGTTTAGGGTTCAAGATTTAGGCATTTAAACCCAAGCCCACCTTGAGGGCTTAAGGTTTTACACCCTCAGGGCTTAAGAAATACCCTAAGCCTTTAGACCCTATAGGGCTGAAAGGTTAAAGAGAGCGTAATGTCTGGGCATTTATACATTCAACGCCTATAGGGTTAAACCCTGTTAACGTTTTAGAGCCCTACAGGGCTTCAAGGTTCTGACCCTAAAGGGCTTAGGGTTATCGTTTCAATGCTGAAACCTTAAACCCTTAAGGCTTAAGCTCTATGGGCTTGTGTTTTAATGCCAAAATCTTAAACCCTAAGCCTTTCAACCTTAACCCTATGGCCTATAGGGTTTAAAGGTTAAGCGTTTAGGACCCTTAAGGTTTAAACTCTATGGGCTGACTGTTGAACTTTTCAACCCTAAACCTTTAAACCTTAACCGTATAGCCTACAGGGCTTAAAGGTTTAGCCCACGATCCCGAAACACCGCAAAAACCAATAAGAAACATAAAAACTATGGTTTCTGAAACTACTCGGCCGGCCACCCCAGCCACTAGTTTCGAAAATCATGGTTTTTGACATGTTTTTTTTAATTGTTTTTTTTGCGATGTTTTGGGAGCATGGGCTCACGAAACATCGGTTTTACTGATGATTTTTAGAGGTAGGCCTTCAATAACATTGGTTTTACCTTTGTTTTTTGAAGGTAGGCTTTCAAAAACATTGGTTTTACCGATGTTATTTTGAAGGTAGGCTTTCAAAAACATCGGTAAAACCGATTTTTAGCGTGGGACCCACGCTCCCGAAACACCGCAAAAACCAATAAAAACCATAAGACTGAGCCAGCCACTGGGATGCGAGCCATTGCGAGTATTACAAACACAAATGGTCAAGTATATTTCGAGTGGAATGTCTGCGAAGACACGTAATCTTGAGCGACGTCACGAAAGCTAATTCTGACACTTTACAAGACGTGAACCCGATTGAAAAACGATTGAAACGATTGAAATTCAATCGGGGGCCCGATTGAAAAACGATTGAAACGATTGAAATTCAATCGGGGGCCGGATTGAAGATTGAAGATTGAAGATTCCCAGAAAAAAGCTTTCCGGGAATCTTCAATCTTCAATCTTCAATCCGGTCTCCGATTGAATTTCAATCGTTTCAATCGTTTTTCAATCGGGCCCCCGATTGAATTTCAATCGTTTCAATCGTTTTCAATCGGGCTCACAATTTGAAAATACGACCACGCACATATGAAGACTCGCACATATCAAGATTTACATGTCCATATTGAGATTTCCATGTTTAGCTAGCCCCCCACCCCCAACCCTAAAACCCTAAAACAGATCCCAAAACCAGGAAAATACCTAGATCTTTGGGGGGGGGGGGGTACCATATATATATATATATATTTATTTATTTATTTACTTATTTATGTATTTAATTATTTCTGTATTTATTCTTATTTGTTATAAGGGGGTGCGCCCAGTGGCGGGCAACGCCCCGAGGCAGAGGCATGCAAGCGTGGGCGCGCGCACGGCGCGCGCGGCGCGCACAAGACAAGGTTACATGGTCCCTCAATGTGGTCCCTTACCTTCTGTAAAGGGTTCTGATGTAGGGCCCTTGGGAATATAAGGTTATATAAGGGATCCCCTTGTAAGGGCCCATATCAGGGACCATGTAACTAGCCCAAGACTATAAAGCCCCACGGCGTATTATGGTCGGAGTCCCTTAGGCCATCAGTTCAAAAACTGGCTTCACAACCTCGAGACTTTTCAATCCCGTTACTTGCAGAATATCAACCGCAAACCCTAAACCCTATTCGCATCTCGAGGCCCCCAAACGGATCCGTGAACCCTTCAGGTTTGGTTTAGGGTTTAGGGTGCAGGGTTTAAGGTTTAGGGTTTAGGGTTTAGGGTTTAGGGTTTAGGGTTTAGGGTTTAGGGTTTAGGGGTACCTAAGTAGCCCGACGACGAGGAGGTGTTTTTCCACGCACTTTGCAGAGGTAGTCTTTTGGGCCCTAATCCCTGAAGCCTAAAGACCTAAACCGCGGCTCCACCCGAATCACGGCTCCGGATTCGAATCTCTAAGGGTAGTTTCATAGTCCCTTAAAATAGTCCCTGACCTCCTTCAAAGGGTTCTGAAGTATGGGCCCTTGGGTTGTGTAGGGTATATAAGGGGCGTATAAGGGCAAAGGGACCATGTAACTGAAGCGCGAGGCCGCACGATCGTCACAACACGGCAAGCGCCCCATGAGGCGCCATCGTTCCCCAGCTCGGTTGTGCTCTCGGACATTCTTTAGCTTCCCTTCTTTCCAAAACCCTAAACCCTCAACCCTGAACCCTAAACCCCAAACCCCCAAACCCTAAACCCCCAAACCCTAAACCCTAAACCCTAAACCCTCAGCAGAAATTCTTCTGAAAGGTAACAGCCCACCACTCAGCCGACCCCAGGCCCTAATGATGACTCGGCCCTATAGGCTGTCCCTTCCAGCAATCCTCAAAGCAGCCGTGGAAGCCACTCTTCATCTTTGCTCCTGACCCTTTAGGGTTTAGGGTTTGGGATTTGGAGTTTGGTTGGGATTTGGAGTTTGGGGTTTGGGGTTTTGGGTTTTGGGTACCCCATTGCTACGTCGAGGGCTTCGGTTTAGGCGGTTTGGGGTGCGCATGCCCTCAAAATGATCTAAAGCCTATGGTTAGGGTTTGGGGGTTTAGGGTTTAGGGTGTTAGGGCTTAGAGTTGAGGGTTTAGGGTTTAGAGTTGCTACTGGCAAGATGCTGCCGCTTGAAGTATCCACCCGCCCGGGTTTAGGGTTCAGGGTTTAGGGCTACCCTAAACCCCCAAACCATTTCGGTATGGGTTTAGGGCTTCGTGTGTACTACGAACCCATCTACTGAGTCGATCCAGTGCCACGAGGGCATCTTGTATTGAAATCGCCTCCATCTCCCTCAACCCCAAACCGCCCAAATCCTATAAGCCCTCTGAACCCTATAACGCCCCTAAACCCCAACCATAAACCCTAAACCTGAACCCTGAACCCTAAACCCTAAACCCTAACACGCAAGCACGTCCCTCAGCAGAAGCGCTGCGAGTTAACAGCATCAAGGCTCTCTCAGCTTCCCCTCCACTTCTTGGGGCGTTTTGGCGGCGGGTGCCGAGGCCTTAAAGTTACGTAGGGTTTCCAGGCTAGGTCTTTCAGGTACGTCTGAAGAAAAGGGACCTCGATCACGAATGCAATTGCAGAGCAAAGCCGGCCAGGATGGAAAACTCCGAACCCTAAACCCTAAACCCTAAACCCTAAACCCTAAACCCTAAACCCTAAACCCTAAACCCTAAACCCTAAACCCTAAACCCTAAACCCTAAACCCTAAACCCTAAACCCTAAACCCTAAACCCTAAACCCTAAACCCTAAACCCTAAACCCTAAACCCTAAACCCTAAACCCTAAACCCTAACCGGAAAAGGAACATGAAGCTCTGCGCCACCTCGTGCGCACCTGAAGAGCCGAGGGATGCGCCCCAAGCACATTTTAGGGTTTAGGGTTTAGGGTTTAGGGTTTAGGGTTTCGGGTTTAGGGTTTAGGGTTTAGGCCATAAAGGACGTGCATAACTACTAGGACCCAGAGTAGGCCCTTATTCCCTTTCTTGAGGGCTCAGGTTCCCTTAGAAGCCCTTTTAACCAAACAGGACACCCTAATTATTCCTAGGTTCCTCTTGGGGCTAGACTCTATCTAAGGGTAGTTACATGGTCCCTTAGCAAGACGGTTCTATAGTCATGTTCCTAAGACCCGAAACCTTGCCCAAAGAACGGAGGTTTAGGGTTTAGGGTTTAGGGTTTGGGGTTTAGGGTTTAGGGTTTAGGGTTTAGGGTTTAGGGTTTAGGGTTTAGGGTTTAGGGTTTAGGGTTTAGGATTTAGGGTTTAGGGTTTAGGGTTTAGCCTGTGATACCCTGAGCCCTGACACCCTGACACCCTGAAGCCTGAACCCGAGGTGCCCCGAACGTAAGCCTAAACCCCAAAGGGAGGAGGATGCCAAGGCTTCTCATAAACTGGGTTTTGGAGTACTACACTTTAATACTTTTTTTGGTTCTGGGTTCCTATAATAGCTACTTGTACCTAAAAAGTATATACTTTTTTTCCAGGGTCTACTCCAAAGCTGAGTAAATGACTTCTTGTGAGGTCTCTGTTGTTGACAAACGAGGCGTCGTGCCAGGCTTATGTATCTACAATTTTATATATTTGTCTTAGTAGAACTCGTATGTATGTATACATTTTTCCTATTGGGCAACAGTTTATCGGTGAGCATCTTGCTTTTGTTTCACGGATATACAGGGTTTAGTTGTTTGAGCTTACGGTTTCGCCTGCTGTCGTCCTTGCTTTCAGACACTCCTGTGCGCCAAAAAAGCCTTGGCGTTTTGCAACCCGAAGTTTTGCATGCCGCAGAGCTTTCGGAACTGGAGAGGCGAGGGATATGGGCGTTAGGGTTTAAGAATAAGGGGTTAGGGTTTAAGAATAAGGGTTTAGGGTTTAGGGTTTACGGTTTAGGGCTTCGGGAAACCCAAGATTCAGGGCACTTGTAGATTGATGGCCAGCAAAACCTCTGCCAGCTGTGCGGCTAAACACAGACTGCAGACCTTGAGTTTAGGGTTTAGGGTTTGGGGTTTAGGGCTTAGGGTTTCAGGTTTAGGGTTTAGGGTTTAGGGCTCCTGGTCGTAGGGCCCCCAAAGAAGGGGCCAACAGAGCGGGATCCCTCGCAATGGCGCAGCCGTGGCTGGAAAGCAAGTGTGCAGATCTGTGCACTGGCATCGACAGGTATCTGGGTCGAATTTAGGTTTAGGGTTTAGGGTTTAGGGTTTAGGGTTTAGGGTTTCCAAATGGGCATTCCTTCAAAAATGCAGGCGAAGGTGTGCCATGAAAGCCTAAAATTGACACATTTCAAAACACTAAGGCGCATTTCAAAGTACAAGCTACTTTGGAGCATCTTCATTCATGTGTGGCAACACCTAATACGGAGCATGCCATTGCAATTATGCAGTAGCCCACAGCAGCACCACCCCTTTGACCCTAAACCCTAAACCCTAAACCCTAAAAAAAAAAATGGCCAGCCTTGATATATCTGTCGCTGAACATTTTTGCAATCTCGATTGCAAAAGAGCATGCTGAAAGAAGTAATATGGGGGGCCTGAATAGGGTTTAGGGTTTAGGGTTTAGGGTTTAGGGTTTAGGGGTGTATTCTTGTATAATCATGTAGGGCCGCCCTCAGGGAATGCTATGACGATCAGCAATAACCGCAACATACACGGCCTTCAATTTTGACTTTGTTTCGATTTCAATGGCGCGCGCTCTGTCTTTGAAGATATAAGTCGTTACCTCCAGATTGGTTTCAAAGTTTACAAAAAGACGAAAAACCTCAAAGATTCAGGGTTTAGGGTTTAGTGTTTAGGGTTTAGGCCCTGAGCTCACACTGTAAGGCTACTCACCTCCAGCAACTGGTTCAGTTGCAAGTTTTTTGTCGGGTTTGTTGTGAAGATATCTTGTTTGGCAACTTCGAGCGAAATCGGATTCCCTGGGACAGAACGCAGTAGCCCTCCAGGAAGGCAGGGTTGTCGCGAGTAAAGCAGCGTAGTCATCATACGGCAAAATATCAGGTGGATAAGCCTTAAACCCTAAACCCTAAACCCTAAGCCCTCCATGGGTGTCAGGAGCCAGCCCCGGGGCTACGAGCCTTGGGGTTCCTACACCAGGATGCTCGCCTAAAGGCATACACTATGAACCAGGACCCAAGGACCCAGAGTAGGCCCCTATTCACTTTATTTTTGGGTTTAGGGTGCACGGTTCAGGGCTACTACGACCCAGAGCAGGCCCCTTTTTTTTCCCCTCTTTCTAGGGGCTTAGGTTGCCTTGCAAGCTCCGTTAAACCCAAAAGGGGTCCTCTTTTGATTCCTAGTTTATTCTTGGGGCTAGTGAAGAAGCTGATTTCATGAAGCTGTATGCGCTCGTGGTAACGAAAGCTAGCAGTCCATGGAAGCTGAAACCTGCATCAAAACTCAGAAGTGCATTAGGGTTTAGGGTTTAGGGTTTAGGGTTTAGGGTTTAGGGTTTAGGGTTACGTAGGGTTTAGGGTGTATGGCCTTCTCAACAACAGCTTGACCGAAACGGATGTAGCAGTTATTCAAAAATGCCATCTCGGTTTTCGTATACGCGCAACTGGTCATGCAACCCACTGTGTTTTCCTCGCATATAAGACCCAGGCTACTCTGCAGCCTCTGTCAGATGAAAGGCACAACAAAACAAGCATCCTGGACCAATCTTTGTCACTCTGCCATGTATAGTTCTATGGAAAAGCACCGCAAGTACATTTGGTGAGTTCTCTATCTTATGGTCTCTTTTTTGGATTACTATTGCATGGCGACTGCGAATATTTAGGCGACCCGAACACGGGCCATAAATTTGAAAGCTGACAATTTCGAGTATGTTCGACTAATCTTCTTGCTACTTTCAATGCCAGGCTCTCAACAAGCCGTGCCTAGATGCTTCTTATTCCCCTTTACACCCAAAAAGGGCACCCTTTGGATTCCTAGGTTACTCTTGGGTCTAGTATATGTTTCTTATCGTTGTTGGTGCTTGCAGGCTTTATACATGTGGCGAAAAAGTGGAAAATCAATCTTCTGCGTACAATGCTTGCAGTCACCTACAGTTACAACACATAGTGCAAGGTTGTTGTGAGTTGCACCACGCTTTCCCTCCACCTCGCACAGGTATCTGGACTCCAAGCAGAGTTTGAACGGTGCAAATGCTGCTGCTTATGTTCTTTGCTCGCCCTTGTGCTCCCAGCGCTCGGCATCCGGGCCACGCCTCCGGTGAGGATTTAGGGTTTAGGGTTTAGGGTTTAGGGCTCAGGGCTCAGGGCTCAGGGCTTAGGGTTTATGGTTCAGGGTTTGGGCTTTAGAGTTTAGGGATGCCAGGCATCGTTTTTGCAATACTTTTTTAACTATACACTTTTTGGCTTCTAAGGAAAAGTACAACCCTTGTAGGGTAGATGTATGAATTGGTTACTTGGGGTTTCATGGTACTTAGTAACCCAATTCTAACTGTACTTATAAGCCAATCATAAGCTTAAGGGGCTTATCCTTGGTAGGATAAGGGGGGACCCTTAAAAGGGAACCCCTTCTGAACCCTCTTCTGGCTCTCTTAAAAAGGGACCTTATTCAGAGGGTCTATATCCCCAAGGGTCCCCCTAATCCTATCCCCTAGCTTAGAAATAGTTAGAGCTACACGTAGAGTTCGGTTATAGGTGCCCTGAACCTCCAAGCACGGCCCCGGCTCCGAGCAAGGCATGTTCATGGCGGGGCAACTTGTTCAAAAGGCGCGCCCATGGGCCCTAAACCCTAAACCCTAAACCCTAAACCCTAAACCCTAAACCCTAAACCCTAAACCCTGAGGCTAGTAGGCTTACAATTCGGTACCATCAAGCCACAGAACTCGGATTCCTGCAGCTGGAGCCCTTCACCCGACACCCGCAAACCAACCCCTAAACCCTCAACCCCCAAAACCCTAAACCCCAAACCCCGAACCCTAAACCCCAAGCCCCTAAACCCTAAACCCCAAACCCTAAACCCCAAACCCTAAACCCTAAACCCTAAACCCCGAAGGCGAAACCTTGGGCGACCTCGGCTTCTTGGCGCGAGGCACGCTGCGAAGTACTCGCTACAGGAGTCGACTCCCCGACCTCCCGAAAAAAAATCCACCAAAAGTTAGGGGTTTCGGGGCTTAGGGTTTAGGATGTAGGGTTTTAGGGTTTAGGTTTTAGGGTTTAGGGTTGAGGGTTGAGGGTTGAGGGTTTAAGGTTTAGGGTTGGGGGGTTTGGGGGTTTGGGGGTTAGGGTTTAGGGTTTAGGGTTTAGGGTCCAACCAGGGTCCAGGGGGAGGGACCCGTTCCCTTCCCCACGGCATCAGGGGTAGGGTTTAGGGTTTAGGCGTTCAGGGGTTTAGGGTTTAGGGTTTAGGGTTTGGGGTTTAGGGTTTGGGTGGGGTTTAGGGTTTGGGGATTGGGGGTCTCGGAGTTTAGGGGTCAGGGTGAGGAGGTACGGGTTGAGGGTGCAAAGGGCGGTTCTTTCCGGGCAACTCCCCAAGTAGTGAAACCTTCGCTTCGAGTTGACTTGGAGAAACCCTAAACCCTAAACCCGAAGCCCTAAACCCTAAACCCTAAACCCTAAACCCTAAACCCTAAACCCCAAATCCATGACAGGAGTCAGCTGCCTCAATAGCAACCCGAGCGTGAGGAGCACCTGTTCCGGCTACAAGGCCCACTCTGCAAGATGTGGGGTTTAGGGTTTAGGGGTTTAGGGTTTAGGGTGCGGGGTTTAGGATTCAGGGTTCTAAGTTTTAGGGTTAGGGTTGAGGAGTGAGGGATTTGTCATTTTTTGGAGGTAGGTTGTTTAAATGGATTCCCCAATAGCCCGAAGAGATCGGGAATCAAAAAGGAGCCCACACTTTCTGAGCAACCCACTCCTTGAGTGCCTGGAACAGGGGTTCCCCTACCACCCCCCTCTATACTACCTCCCCTGGGTTCGCCCCCATAATTAAGGCTATTTAGGGATAATGAAGCTGATTTAAGGCTATTAAAGGGGGAACCTGAAGTCATGGGTAGAGTAGAGGTAGAACTGGATAACACTGCACTTGCCACACCGATCAGAAGCTGCCGTCTGCACGCAATTTCCCCAAGGCCTCTGACCCTACAACCTTGCTTTCCTTGCTACTCAAACCCTAAGCCCTAAACCTAGGATGCACAGTAGTGCCCTTATTCCCTTTTTTGGGGGGTTAGGTTCCCTTATAAACCCCTTTAAGCAAAAAGGGTACCCTTGTTAATCCTGGGTTACTGAGCATCCTAGAAACACAGAACCGCCACAAATCTCCGAGATAAGGCAGGGAGCATGCCTTTGAGTGAGCCGCCGGTTTTCCCGACTGAGATGATGGCAGTCTGCCCCGGCGCGTACTGGTGCTCAAAAGAGCAGCTTGGAACGTTACCTAAACCCTAAACCCTAAACCCTAAACCCTAAACCCTAAACCCTAAACTCTACAGGGTGTAGGGATTCCCTGTGCTAGTATTACTGCACTGTTACATTTTATTTCTGGCATTGCTTATACTTTCATGGCTCGTTGGGTGAGGCGTGCAAGCTGGACAACTAAGGCAGGAAACGTGCACCTGCCAAGGTGAGATCACCTATGCTACGGAGCTCTTCACGGGTGAAACCTATACCGTACCTGAGGCCAGCAGGGTGTGGCCTCCTTTTTCCCCTTCTTTTGTGAGTTCAAGGCTCCCTTCGCAAAGTAACCAACCCGAAAAAAGGGTGCCCTTGTTATGAGATGGTTTGTGAGGTAGCAAGTATGTAATTCAAGGCAGGCTGTCGCTTGCTGTGTAGCCACGACTGTCTAGCTTATAAGCCAGGTAGAGGCACCCGTCCTGAACTTGCAGGTAGCTTCCCTACGATGTTCGGGGTAGGGTTTGGGGTTTAGGGTTAGGGTTTAGGGTTTAGGGTTCAGGGTTCAGGGTTCAGGGTTTAGGGGTTAGGGTTTAGGGTTTAGGGTTTAGGGTTTGCGGGGTTTACGTTACTAGGGATACCTTATTGGGGTCCTTATTGTAAGGGAATTTGCTCTTTGGGGGTCTCTATTAAGGGTCCCTCATTCTCGTAAACCCCCAATACCCCAACTGCCTCTAGAGAGCACACGTGGTGTATATTTTCATGGCCGGATTACTTTGCTCTTTAGGCACGTGGACTCTTTTGGGACTGCACCTGAGGCCGAGCAGAAGTACAAGGTTGTCTCGAACGGAACATGGCTGTGTGGGACGGATCAGTCGGGACGGCCGTTCGCGGACCCTGCGCCCTACAAAGTGACTCTTCAGGGTTTACTGGTTAGGCATTGGTGTAGGACAGTGCCCATGTGTTTGATTGAAGAGCGTTTTTACAGCGAGGGCCTTGGTTGGGGGTACCCTCACACCAAACCCTAAACCCCTAAACCCCAAACCTTAAACCCTAAACCCCCAAACCCTCAACCAAGGTGAAGCACTGCTGGTGCACGCCCAAAGGCATTCTGGACATTGCCGCTGGATGACTCGGTTTAGGGTTTAGGGTTTTTTAGGGTTTCGGGTTTAGGGTTCAGGGTTCGGGGTTTAGGGTTTAGGGTTTAGGGTGAAGGGTTTAGGGTTTAGGGTTAAGGGCGGGTTCCATTTATATGCCCACAGTTTCAAGTTTCAAGCCGCTACTTACAAGTTACTACACTACACATTGTAAGGACTTACGGGCAAGTTTTGAGTACTTGAAGCTTTGCTGCTACCCTCATGAATCAGTCTGAGCCTTGAACCCAAACCTCAGACCTTAACTCACTAACCCCCACACCTAGCCCGAAACCAACCCTCAACCCCAACCCCCAAGTGGCAGGACCCAATATACCAAACTACCATCCAAGGGCAAAGGGTGCAGAGGAGCATGTCGGATTCCGGGCCCGAAACCCCAAGCCCAAGGT